GAAATCAGACTTCCTGTCAAGATGGTGGCATAGGCAGACATGGCTTGTCTCTTTGCACAACCACATCAAAATTACAACTAAAATATAAAACGACCATCACTTAGACCTGTCAGAAATTGAGTTGAATGGAAGCCTGACAACTATGGAATTAACGAAATTGTCACAGGTGGGCACAGGTAACCAGGTTCTTGATGATCATGGACAAAGAACTGAACCAAACACACAGGGTTTATAGCATAGAGAGCAGATTTATTAAACGATAGTGCACTCCACAGAACATGGGAGCAGGCCAATTCCAAGCAGAGATTGACCTCATGGGCTGGAGGGGTTCTATTCTTATAGGGCAGATATTTCCTAGCTAGTTTTGGTGGGCTTTTATTGCACATGTACAAGTTGTTACATTACTTTAAAGCTACTGTACATGTGGTTTCCCATGATTTTCCTTGATTGGCCACCAGGGAAGAGGGTCAAACAATGTTAACTTATTATAATGCTATTATAATTAAGCAGGGATCATGTAGCATCTTCTGCGCAGGTGCATTCATGATCCGCCATGATTCAGCACTTTTCCAGAAAGGGAGAACAACCCATCTTAGAACACAGTTTCTATCCTGTGTCTCCATCCTTTATCTTAGCCTTGGGGCATCTCCAGAGTTTCCTCCTTCCTGACTATCTCCTGCCTCAAAAGAGCTTACCTGCATGACCCTCCACATGAACAATGGTATGGGGATTGCCTGAGGGAGCACGGGGTGCTGGGTGGAGGGGGGAAAAGGGAAAAATCAGAACAAGTATTCCTGATTTAAATCAGCATAATCAATAAAATATAAATTAAAAATAAAATTGACATAGGATCACATTACATTTCTCCTTTAAAATGCAGAGATAATTTCATTAAGAGGATGAATAAGAGATTAAGAAAAGTAAAGGCAATTAAAAATTCTAGGAAAATATAAAAGGTATATAAGAAAAGTTATGATCTTAATATTAAATATACTAAAATGCAATATTAGAGAAGATATGGATCTCAAAAATCCAAAACTACCTCAACTATTAAGGATGGGGTGGCAGGATAGCCTCAGAGCAAAATATTTTCTTCTATCTGTGTCGGTTATCTCTTAAATGTCTGCAGTCCCAGCCTGCATGCCTTTTATATCTCTACTGCATTCCTGACATGGTGGGACAGATGATTTTTCTGTGAGGTCACCCTGAGACTCATCTGTCTGAACACGCAATGCAGCTAGACTCTCAAGTCCAGCCACCTTCCCAACATACTTCCTCCTGCTCTGGAAGCTCTAAACTTCACCCTCTTCTCTCACCGGCCAAGTGAATCTCCTTGTCTTAGGGAAAAGGCTCTGCTTCTCTGAGACATTATGTGTACCCACAAGTCAAATTCTCTTTTACTTTCCCCCCACCCCAAATTCTGTGATTTCTTTAAAGATATTAGGGTTGATGAAACGAAAGCTAGAGAAAGTGTAGGAAATGTACTTGTTCCATTCTGTCAAATATCTCACCCGAGGTAAATAAGTACCAAATTGGCTCCCTACTTGAGTGGGGAAAGAGGAAATAGGAAACCAAGAAGCAGTGAACATGTGTAAACATCTCAATGTATTAACTAGCTGTACTCTCCCACAGCAAATTTTTGTGTCTTCAAAAAGGAAAGTTTATTTTTGACCTAGATTCAACTCTCTCAATAGCATAGAGTTCAAGTTTTTAATTTTCCAGGGCAGTATGCACTGTGACTTACTCCCCAATATTTTCATTCTGTTCCATGCTTAATCTAAATAATTCAGGGTAATTTACCCCCTTGTCAGTGATGGGTTCAGGGATAAACAAACTGAACCTAATTTGGGTTAATGAGATTTAAGGAGAGTCTTGGTAAAGGCTGTGGGAAAGCAACTTCCTCAGTCTCTGATGCCATGGAAGGACAGGCTCTTCTCTTCTGCTATAAGTTGTGAATGGGGAAGCACAGAATTTCCATTGCCACTGGCAGTCATAGTAACAATAAAGATAATTGGATTTAGGTTACAGCCAAAACTGTGGATGGCATAACAAAGAAGCAGAAAGAACCTGTATCTTGATGCCACTGAGGCAAGAGATAGCATGGGAAGAATTCTGAGACTGAGCTGCTGTTGCTGACCATCCAGCATCCTGGTTGTGAGAAAATGCCTTTTAGCACTTAGGTAGGATGGATAGTAAACCAAGGCAGGGAGGAAGAGTGGCACATGTGTTACCCACTAACTCAGCAGTCCTGAGCCTGGTCCAATAATATTGCCAGGTTTCCAACATCACAAGAAACTCTATGTTAGCACAGGGGGAGGGAAGTCCTTGAAATTCTATGTATCATTTCCACTATCTGGGAAAGAAAGCCTTGAAACTGTGTATTCATCCCAAGGCCTGGAAGAGGGAAGAGGAGGGAGTCCACAGTGCCCAAAGAAAAAGCTTGTAAAACAACTTTGGTTAACTGCCTACCTCTGGCCACTATCTGTTTTACTTGGGAGTCCCTAAAGCTTACAGAAAGAGCTGCCCCAACTTTAATTAACTGCCTCCTGTCACATATCTGTTTTACAACAAGGGGTCTGGAGCAAAATAAGGATTCAGGCTAAAAGACCCCACCCATACCTACATTTGGGTAGTCATGTCTCCCAGGGAGAGCTGGCACCACCTTTACATGTCAATCAATATGTAACTTCTTCACCCCATCCTGCCAACTATGTAAGTCCTCAGAACAAAGGACCTGGGGCTCTTGCCACCCTGCTTTTGCCACCCTTGCCCTTGCCTCTTGCCACCCTTACCATGCCCTGAACCTATGCCTTTCACCCCCACTTTGGGAACACCTGTTCTCTTCAATGAGAATGTATCACTAATAAACCCTGCTTGCAAGGTAGTAGACTTGCTGATCTGTAATTATTTTTTTAATATATTTTATTGATTATGCTATTGCAGTTGTCCCATTTCCCCCCCTTCACTCCCCTCTGCCCTGCACACCCCCTCCCACCCACATTCCCCAACTTTAGTTCATGTCCATGGGCCATACATATAAGTTCTTTGGCTTCTACATTTCCTATACTATTCTTACACTCCCCATCTATTTTCTACCTGCCATTTATGGTACTTATTCTCTGTACCTTTTCCCCTCTCTCCCCATCTCACTCCCCTGTTGATAACCCTCCATGTGATCTCCATTTCTATGTTTCTGTTCCTGTTCTAGTTGTTTGCTTAGTTTGCTTTTGTTTTTGTTTTAGGTGTGGTTAATAATTGTGAGTTTGCTGTCATTTTACTGTTCATATTTTTTATCTTCTTTTTCTTAGATAAGTCCATTTAAAGTTTCATATAATAAGGGCTTGGTGATGATGAACTCTTTTAACTTGACCTTCTCTGAGAAGCACTTTATCTGCCATCTCATTCTAAATGAAAGCTTTGCTGGATAGAGTAATCTTGGATGTACGTCCTTGCCTTTCGTGACTTGGAATACTTCTTTCCAGCCCCTTCTTGCCTGTAAGGTCTCTTTTGAGAAATCAGCTGACAGTCTGATGAGAACTCCTTTGTAGGTAAGTGTCTCCTTTTCTCTTTCTGCTTCTAGGATTATCTCCTTCACTTTTATGTTGGCTAATGTAATTATGATGGGCCTTGGTGTGTTCCTCCTTGGGTCCAACTTCTTTGGGACTCTGAGCTTCCTGGACTTCCTGGAAGTCTATATCCTTTGCCAGATTGGGGAAGTTCTCCTTTATTATTTGTTCCAATAACTTTTCCACTTGTTACTCTTCCTTTTCTCCTTCTGGTACCCCTATAATTCAGATGTTGGAATGTTTAAAGATGTCCTGGAGGTCCCTAAGCCTCTCCTCATTTTTTTGAAATCTTGTTTCTTTATTCTTTTCTGGTTGAATGTTTGTTTCTTCCTTCTGGTCCACTCCATTGATTTGAGTCCCAGTTTCCTTCCCATTACTATTAATTCCCTGTACATTTTCCTTCATTTCACTTAGCATAGCCTTCATTTTTTCATCTACTTTGTGACCAAATTCAACCAATTCTGTGAGCATCCTGATTACCAGTGTTTTGAACTGTGCATCTGATAGGTTGGCTATCTCTTTGTTGCTTAGTTGTATTTTTTCTGGTGCTTTTATCTGTTCTTTGGTTTGGGCCATTTTTTTTTTTTGTCTTGATGTGTGTGTTCCATAGTAAGGGGTGGAGCCTTAGGTATTCACCAGGGCGGGGTAACCCATGTCGCTGGGTCATGATACTGTATGTGGAGCAGGGGTCCGAGAGGGAACAATGGCACTTGCTCCACTCTCTGCCAGATTTCAGTCACTCCCCCTGCTTCCCACCAATAAATTGGGCCCTTCTGGTGCTGACTCCCGGGTGGGTGGGCCTGTGTATTTTCTAGGACCCGTGGGACTCTCCAATGAACTCCCCTGTGAGGCTGGGAGTTTCTCCCATGGCCACCTCAACCCCAAGAGGTGTTTCCAATCAGTGGTTTGAGGCTTTATTTCCCTGTGCTGGGACCCTGGGTTGTGCAGTCCATCCTGCTCCCCAGTTTCTCCTGGTTTATCTGTGAGCAAATGTGGGACCACCTGGTCCACCAGCCACTGCCTTGCTGGCCAGCTGCAGCCTTGTGTGCCATACTCGGTTATAGAATCCATACAATCCACTGCCTTGCTGATCTGTAATTCTTTACTGTGTCGGCAAGAATATCCATTAACACCATCATTCAGCTATGGGATCTTGCCTTAACTCTTTACTGTTTAAGCCAATGATGAGTTGGCTTTTCAGTTACTTGCATCTCAGTGCATCCTTCCTGATACAGAATTTGGTGCCAGGAATAGAAGTGGTGCAAATAACAGACTCAGTGGGTTGTATGGGGACCCCCAAAAGTATGTGTCCACATCCTACTCCCTGGAATCTGTGAATGTTACCTTATTTGGAAAAAGGGTCTTTTGTAGATGCCATTAAGTTCAATTTTATTATTTTCATGTTCTGCCAGATGTTGAAGAGACACAAAGACATTTTTTAAAAAATTTTCACATTTGCTTTTATTACATGACCATTCCTCAAGATCAAAAACATCTTTTTTTTTCAATAGAACTTCATATGACCCAGAAATTTAAGGTATTTTTTAAAAAATTTAGTTCAATGAATTATTTAACAATGTTATTAATTTCAGAAATTTATTCTTCTATAACAAAAATCCTACACTGGGAATCTGAACATCTGACTTTTATCTTGGTCATATGCTGAGGGGCTTTGAATTGGTCACATCCAATCCTCCTCTGAGCGTTAATTACTTCTGTGGAGCTATCAGCAGTTCCCAAGTGCATCAGAATCATCTATGTTCTTGTTACAAATACAGATTTCTGGGCCCCATCCCAAGTCTACTAAGTCATATTTTCTAACATAAAGGCCTAGGAATCTTATTTTAATTAACTGCATGATTATGACATACAGACAATTTTGGGGCCCCCTGAATTAGATGACCTCCAAGACTCTTAACAGCTCTAAAAATGTGGTTTTCTGATTTCTGTTTCTTTTATCACTGTTTATCCATCGTCACTACTACATACTGTGCTAAAAAACAAAAACAAAAACACAAAATAAACCAAGACCATGATTGAATCATTTTATAACCTAGCAGCTACACAGTGCCTGGTATGTAATAAGAACTCAATAAATATTTGAAGAATTAATTAATGGTAATTAAATAAATGTATATTATTTCATGTGGGCCCCAATCACCTATGGATAGAGAAATCCAAACAGAGCGAAAGTATCCTAAACTTTCCCTGTTTATTCATGTACTCCGTCTGCCCTACCATACACTTCAAATAATGGGTTGTGTGTAAGAGGTTAATGCATAGTGAGAGACCCAATAAGAAAGTGGTCGAGACTCTCCCGTGGTCTGGTTGTGCCACAGTATTTCCCGGTGGCAGCGACAACTGAGGGAGGTTCATGATTCAGCAGGAGTTAGTTATCCTCTCCTTGACTTTCCCAGGTCCAGCAAAAGCCATATACAGATCAGGCGACAGCTAGTGCCGGGGCCATCCTGCAGGTCTTTGAACCTGCAAAGGCCATCGCAGGTTTCTGTGTGGCCCCAGTGAGTGGGAAGAGGCCCTCATCTTCTATTAGAAGTTACCCATAAATTCACCAGCAATGTGTGTCAGCCAAGCAAAGTGTCCCCAGAAAGTCTGCTGCCACCTTTTGTGACCTCAGAGTCCCTTCTCCCAGCATCCTTCTGGACACTTCACTGACCACCCTTTGGGCTTCCCCGGCTCAGACACTGTCTGCTGGCCTTGGAAGGTACCGGCTCAGGATGAAATCTGTCACAGGGGTGGGCAGCTTAGCCAAGGGCAGGTAGAGGAGTTTCGCATCCAGGCCAGGGTTGTAGCGGATGCGTGGGCTCCGGGAAACGATGGCATGTTCCATGCTATTGATGACATCTCTGAGCCTTGGCTCTGCTGACCGAGTCATGTTTATTAACTTCTCAGTATCTGTTTGGGGGAGGGGAATAAAGGGCTTTATTATTTTTCATTAATGATGGTTCTTTCTGAATTCCATCCAAGCTCTCTTTCCATCAGATAACTTATCTAATGTTTCAGGCAGATCTACCACACCCTCCAGGTTGTCCCTTACACAAACACCCTGTAAATAATCTTATTTCTATTCCTGAATTCAATAATTGTTTATTGTACTAATTCAAAAGAATATATCCATCCCTATGTTCATTGCAGCATTATTTACAATAGCCAAGAAATGGAAGCAACCCAAGTGCCCCTCCATAGACAGGTGGATAAAAACGTGATGGTACATATCTACAAGAGAATATTATGTGGCTATAAAAAATGAAATCTTACCATTTGTGACCACATGGATAGACCTATAGGGTATTATGCAAAGTACCCATTATGGTGTACCATATATTGGTATTTGTATGATTAAAATACCATACAATTTTACTCATATGTGGAATCTAAAGAGCAAAATAAATGAACAAAGAAAACAGAAACATACTCATAAATAGAGAGACCAGACTGATGGTTGTCAGAGGAAAGAAGTTGAGGGGTTAGATGAAAAAGGTGAAGAAATTAAGAAGTACAAATTGGTAGTCACAAAATAGTCACAGGGACATAAGTATAGCATAGGGAATATAGTCAATAATATTGTAATGACTACATATAGCACCAGGTGGGTACTTGAAATATCAGGGGGATCACTTTGCAAAGTATATGACTATCTAACCACTATGCTGTGCACCTGAAACTAATACACAATAGTATTGAAGGTAAACTAATTGGAAAAAAAAAAAAAGAATCGTGTGTTGAATTACTACTATTGTGTTAGACTAGCAACAAGAAAACCTGTGCCCTGTTCTGCTGCGTATTAGTTGTGTGACCTGGAGCTTAAACTGTCGTCATCTGTAAAATGAGGATAACTCATCTGTCACCTGTCCTAGAGAATAAGAAATACAAATAGCCCTGGTTGGCGTAACTCAGTAGATTGAGCATGGGCTGCAAACCAAAGCATCGCAGGTTCGATTCCCAGTCAGGGCACATGCCTGGGTTGCAGGCCATGGCCCCCAGCAACCACACATTGATGTTCTTCTCTCTCTCTCTCTCTCTCTCTTTCTCCCTCCCTTCCCTCTCTAAAAAGAAATAAATAAAATCTTAAAAAAAAGAAATATAAATAATAGCAGGTTAGAAAGTGGAGGAGGATGACATAGAAAACAAATGTATTTAACTGCATAGAAAAATTGGATGGAAGTAAAATATTATCTGGCTATTGGGATTTCCAGTTGCTGGAGGGTTTCATGCTTACTCCCTAGAGTTCCCAAATTTTCTGCAAAAGCATACATGGAAAAAATGTCATTAGAAAATAGTAACACTGATCTTACCTTGGTTACAGGCCATTGTGGGGTTCAAATGGTTTCAAGCACAGACAGGTGCCTTGTAAGGCTCTAATAAACATGAGGGTATTCTGCTAACAACAGGCACATAAGTGTGGAGGTGGATGCAAAGCACCCAATTGGTCCCAGCCTGCTGAAGCTCACCACGCAAATAGGAGAAAGGAAATACACTTGTGGGCTCTGATCTGCACGGGTGCCCTTGGGCTTGTAATTTGGTGACATCCCCAAGCACTCTGAAGGAAGTGGTGCCTTTGAGTCAGACTTTGAGGTAAAGGATTAAAACTTGAAAACAAAGAGAGAGCTAAAGTGGGCCTGACTTTGGAGATGGTCCAAGAAGGCTAGGAATTCACCCCTCTGAGCCAGACACTGAGTTGATGAGGACAGGACAATATCATTTGAGTTTCCCTAACCCTGACTTTGAGGAACTTCCCTTTCTGCTTCCTAGAGAGAAAACTACTGCAGTGAAAAAGAACAAATGACCTTTTAGGGTCTCCAAAAGAGCCACACTGACTTAAAGCCAGACTGTCTGTAAAGTGATAATGTCTTAGGATTCCAACACTCGGCCCTCTGTCCTTGGACCTGACACACAGTCCACTAGCAGCAGGTCCAGGCTGGGAGGCGAGTGTCAGGGGACTCATTCACGATGCTCAGGGCTGAGTGTGCTCACTCAGAGCCAGGGAAGGCTGTGTGGGCTGAAGAGGCGAGGAAGCTGATGTGATAAGGTGGTTTTGGAACTAGGCTCTGAAAGATTGGAAGGACCCACACAGCCAGTGGGATAGAAAAAGCTACCTGAGACATGAAGTTGTATAAAGCACATTCTTTCATTCTTCTTTTAAATATTTATCAACCTCCTATTTTGTGCTGGGCACCCTGTTAGACATGGAGTGGGAAGGGGGACAGGAGTACCCATCTAAGCCATCATTCTCCTATACAGTGAAGAGCATGGGCTTTGGATTCAAGCAACAGGGCACATTTGTGTTGTGAGAACTCAGCATCAGGGACCAGGCTTTGGCACTTATGGACCCAATAGTTGAGTTTCTGGCCTCTTCTCCTTTGTCAGAGACAACTACTTCTGATCTAGTCCCTCCCCAGGAAGAGAGGGGGCCAAAAGGGGAATTTTTGGTGGCCTCCCTGGCAGGGTTGAGATAAAGAAAGAAACCTGGCAGGTGACTGTGTTGCCTGTAGGCTGTGGCTCAACTCCAGGCCTATTAGGACGAATACTGTGCCCTGTTCACGTGCCTGCCCTGGTGATTCTGTGTGCTACTTCTTTGGGAATGTTCCTGTGTTAAGTGGTTATTAATTAGCGTAACTATCACTCCAAAATACCTAATCTGGTCCAGAGTTCACAGGTCATGGGACTGTCTGATTGGCCATAACTTGCTGGAGGTTCTGCCCAGTAGAGCTGTATGACCACTCCTAAATACTTCTTCAGTCTGTCTCCACAGGACTTGCCTCCTTAAACACTACCCGCCCCCCACCAACACACACAGTTCCCATGACCACTAAGACTTCATGCCTTTGTTGTTCCTTCAGTGGATTTCTGCAACAGCCTCCCAGCTGGTCTCTTGTCTCCACCCTTATCCTTCCTACAGCAACACAGGTCCAAGCAGGTCACTTCAGAGCCATTTAACAGGCTCTCCAATGCTTTCAGGATAAGAGCCACACTCCTTAGTGTGGCCATCGAAGCCTCCTATGATCTGACCCCTAATCGCTCCCAGCCTCACCTCCACCACAACCCCTTCATACTTCTCTCAGGCCAAACTGTACTGACGATGATGGCTGAGGTTTAATTCTCTGAACGATCCATGAGAGAGGAGTTAATACACTTTATAATGAGGAAACTGAAGTTTAGACAAGCTGTGAAACATAGCCGGAGAGATGGCTGTGATCTAAACTCTGAATCCACACTGGCTCCAAAAGCATGCAGTGTAGTCAGGCCTCCAAACACTGCTCACACTCCTCCCTGCACGGGAAGTAGCTGCCATCTCTTCCCCTTCTGGTTCACTCTTCAAAGCTCACTATGCAGTCCATTGTCACCTCTGTGAAGATTTCTGCAACAGCAGAACTAAGACTCTGCACTGTTGCTTTGTTGTTGTTTTTTAAATATTATTTATTTACTTTTAGAGAGAGGGAAAGGGAGGAAGAAAGAGGGAGAAAAACATCAATATGTGGTTGCCTCTTATATCTCCCCTACTGGGGACCTGGCCTGCAACCCAAGCATGTGCCCTGACTGGGAATTTAACTGGTGACCCTTTGGTTTGCAGGCCAGCATTCAATCCACTGAGCCACACCAGCCAGGGTGTTGCTTTGTTTTTGTTTGCATGTTCGTTGTTGCATGATTCTCCTGTGGTGTTGTGTTTGCTTCTACAACTCAGCTAGACTGATTCCTGGACACTTTGTCTCATCTCTGTGTCCCCATACACTCCAGTTAAACTGAAGTGAAAATTAGAGTATAGTCGCCTGGAAATTTTTTTACCTAAAAGTAGTCAAATGCTGCCTGAGGGTTTTTTCCTGCAATTGGACAACAGATCACTCAGCACATGGTATTTTATAAACTCAGTCCTTACTATTCTTCAGAAGAATGATAGCAGTTTTTGACAAGTGGTTTTCAGAGGAAGTTTCTCTTTCTCCATGTTCTTTTAAGGCCCCCAGAAGATTACAACTTTTGCCTGCACTGAGCCACTTTACGTACTTAGAAAACGGCCTTGGGAGGTTTTCCTGGGACAGTCTGAATCTGTGTTATACCCTAGCCCCACAGTGGCCCCATAAATAATTTGGGCCACTCTTTTGTAAGGGAGAGTATAAGGATGACCTCATAGAGGATATATATTATTCCCCCCACCACCCACCCATCTATTTCCCTTGCTAAGAGCAACAGCTACAGATTTGTCTCTGGGGATTCTTGCCTCTCCCTCTCTGAGTCTTTTGGTTTGGCAGAGCACACGACCCAGCCTGAGCCAATCAGATCTTTGCATTCCCCTGGGTGCAGTGATGTGCTCATGGTTGGGTACATCCTGTGGTCCTTCTGACCCTGATCCTGCCATATTAGGTCCACTAAGTCAGACTGAGTCTTAGGCCTTTTGAGGAGCTACTGAAAGAACTATCCCTGGGAGGAGATGAGGAGATGCTGCAGCCACATGACCCCCACAGGGGACAGAGCCTATGAGACTGGAGCCAACACAAAAGAAGCAGAGCCAAGAAATAGGGTAAAACCAGGTCCTAAAAACATCATTTGTGGACTTGATCAGGCTATGCCTGAAGGCTATCTCCTTCAATTTTTTTTTAGTCATGAGTGTCAAGAAATGCCTTTTCTGCTTAAATAATTTGGGTTGGATTTTCTGTCACTTGTCCACTGATTGAAAAATTCTTAACTGATATAAATTCCTTCAGGCTTTTTTTCTTCTCACAGAATTCCAGTATGTCCAGAACTAAAAGATTACTTTCTTCAAGGAATACTCTGAATATTTTCCCCTAAATCAATAAATGAATGATACTTCTGTCCACCAGGTTCCTTGAATGATAAACCTGGTACTCATCCATTATGGCTTCTTCTCCCTCCCAGTACTAGCAGACCTAATATACACCTGGCATCTATCAACTTCTTTCCATTTTCTCCACTTCCTCTCTAGTCCAAGCCAATGTGAAGTCTAGCCTGCGACACTGAAGCAACCAGAGCAGTCCTTCCTAATTACAAATCAGATCACCTCCTGCTCATCCTCAGTGGGCTTTGTTGCTCTAAGTTCTGTTCCCCTCAACTCCCTCAACTGCTCCCCACCCTGTGGCATTCTTAAAGTTCCTCTAGAGACTTTCTTGCCTCGGGGCCTTCCTGCAAAAACTTCCCTGCCTATCCCCTCTTTCCAGTCTTCAGCAACACCTTATCTGTTCTTCCCCAAAGTCAACTCCGAGAAGCCCTCCTCTACACCATAATCTATACTGGGATCCAACTCCCAGCCCCATTCTTCTTCCACAGCCCTGTGTTTCTCTCTGTGGCACTTATCCACATTTGCCATTAAATGTGTGTGTTTATTAAGATCTGTCTCCCCTACTGAGCCTCAAGCTGCAGGCAGCAAGCTGTGAGCCCTGCTGCTTGATGATCCACTCTCACTCGCCAGCCCCACGTGGTGCCTGGCAGGTGGTGGGCTCCCAATAAAATGTGTGTTAAGTGAATAAATGGTTGTCATGGTTTTGGTGTCTTGACCTTTTACTCTGTTGATGTATGATGTTCAGGAGAGTATGCCCCTAAAACAAACCCGCCGGGCAGTTAGATATCTGTCATGGATTTGATTGAGTGATTACATATAACCCACCCAGGGTTTCTGGGTGTGTTTCAAAAATTCATCCCTTTGGATTTTGGATCATTACTATCTAAGAATCTCTCTTTGCAATGCAAGAACTTTCAGCTTGTAGATACCAGTGTAATGGAGGGATGGAGGCCAGACTCAGTTTGAGGGAGGATAAAAACCACTTTTAAATGAAATTTTTCTCACCAGGGATCAGGTCATCTTCTAAGCACTTTATATACACGAATTCATTTCATTCTCATAACTCATTTCAGATGGGAAAACTGAGTAACTTGCCCAAGGCCAGCAGGAGAGCTGAAATTTGCACTCCAGAAGCCTAGATCCGGAGACTAAGAACTTACCTGCAGCAGTAAATTGTCTTTTAGGGATGTTCACAGAAGCCAAATAAAGAGAGGGAAAAAATCTAGGTTAGGGAAATGAGTAACTAGACCACTGAGGTCCAAAGGAAGCAGGAAGGGGCTGAGAGCCTCCATGGCTGCTTCACTCTGGCCCAGGAGAGCCTCCCGAACCAGCAAAGGGCCAGCCCTGCCTTCCTGGTCAACAGCCAGGTCACAGAGAAGCACCTGGAGAAGTGAGCTGCCTGCCAAGGAGGTGCCAGCTGGTGGTGCCAGAACCAATTTATAGTGACAGGTCAGAGGCTGCCCACCCCCAAAGGCAGCTACAGAGATAGCTCTGAGGTGCCGGGAGCCAGAAAAATGGAGAGAACTAAGAAGTCGTCTGGAGCATCCTCTCATGAAATCAAACCTCAGCTTTGAGATTAGATGATTTGAGTGAACATGAGCACTTCTGGTCCTCAGAGTGGCCTTCTCTTTCCTACCATGAGATGCTCTAACAAGTGTTTCAGCCAATTCCTCCTCCAGTGTACCCACAAGCCACACCCCCTCCTCTCAAGGCCCAATGGCCAGGGTTCCATTCATCCATCAAACTGGAAGTACTGCACCAAGTTTTGGGGGCAGCATAGTAAACAGCTGTTATGACCCTCCTCTTCTCACCCCAAACACCTGAGATTCACTGAAGACCCTTAGCTCAGAGAAGAAGAGAGTTGCCTAGAGACGCTTCCTTTAAAATACTCCTGTGCTCCTTTTCCTCTTTATTAATTTAACAAGCACTCAGCGTGTGCAAGATATCTCAGATACTAATCCTCAGAGCAGCCCTGTGAGGTAGACACTGTCATTAGCTCCATTTTATGGATGAGAAAACTGAGGCATAGCACTATTAGGTCATGTGCCCAAAGTCTCCTAGCTGGTAAGTGGTAGAGCCAGGATTCAAACCCAGGCAGTCTGGCTAAAGCAGCTGTGTTCTTAATAACTTCTCTGTACTTATGTCGGTGCATTTTCACCTGATTGCCTAGCATAATGACGTGGGGCGGGCGAGTGGGTGCCAGGAGCGGGCTACATCCCTGGACAGCATCTCTCCTAGCACAGCAGCTCTAGTTCTGTCACTGACATAAGTTGTCCACTTGGTCTCTGTTCTCAAATCTCAGCTCTGTCACTAGCTGTGTGGCCTTGGGCTCTTTAACCCCTCTGAGCCTCCACCCCATCTTCTGTAAAATGGAAGTATGTCAGTGACCCCCAACAGCTCCCTGTTCCTCTCAGAGAACCCTCTCCCTGCGAAGAAAACTCACAGATGCGGAAGTACTCCTCTCCATAGCTATCCCGGGTCTCCCGAGGCAGCTGCTCCCACAGCTTCTGCATGCGCAACTCTATGCCGTCCTTGCCCAGAATGGACGTCCGATAGTTCCCAGGCTCAATGATGCTGACTTTAACCCCAAAGTAGTGGAGCTCACGCCTGGGAAAGAAGAGTTGGATTCAGTCTGGGACTCCAAGATGACAAAGGGTCACCAGGGGAGAGTCATTCTGACACCTGTGTAGGTGCTGATCTCCTCAGGAAACTGGAGGCGTTCTCCCTACCCCTTGCACCAGGCCAGCCTTGGCTTTCATGCAAGTAAACCCTGTTGTAGGGCCTCAGCCTTTTCCTAAGCCTGGTCTCTGGGCAATTGACATTAGGCAAACCCAGAGGGTGGAAGTTAACAAAAAATCTAGACTAAAGCCTTACCTCCCACCAGATCCCTCCCACTCAGCCCCACACCCAGCACTCACAGGGCAAAGGGGATGAGAGGTCAATACAAGGCGTGTGTCCCCCTCGGAGGGTCTCCCATGAGCACATCTATCCCCAGGCCTCTCTGTCTGTTTGGGGGACAGTCCCCCCTATGCCCACAGGCCCAAATAGGGTTCACTTATTCTGGGGCAGCTCAAGGGAAAGCAGGAAGATAGTCTCCTAGCACCAACCCAGCTCTTCTCTAGTCCTTTCTTCTCTTGGTCCTTGGGGAAGGACCCCCAGGGCCGGCCTGCTTCCTACTACTGTTTCAGTTTCTTCTCTTCTGAACTCCCCTGCCCCACTGCTGTCATTCTCACCGCCCCCAGCCCTCTCTTCCTGAGGTGACACCCCAGGACTCCCACCCAGAGTGGCTTGGCACCAAGGCTCAGTCACCTGATGCTGTCAGAGAAGGCCTCAACACCAAACTTGGACACACAGTAGCCACCACCAATGACAGCCACACGACCACCAGAGCTGGACATGTTGACGACCCGGCCCCGGGCTTTCTTGACCATGGGTAGCATGTGGAGGGTCACTTCAATCAGTCCCACCAGGTTCACATTGATCACCTTCACAAAGTCCTCTATAGTCAGCCATTCGTTGGGACCACTGGGCAGGCCCACACCAGCGTTGTTCACCAGGGCCCAGAGACCTGTGGGGAGACGGAGAGAAAGAACCACACAGAAATCACCAAGGTTTCCTACACACTGCTCAGGGCTGTTGAGGATTGTTGAGCAGGTGCACAAAGCATAAGACGCTGAGCTGGAGCCTGAGCAGGGAGCTATTACAGCCCAAAGGAAGATGTGCCTTTTACTAATTAGTTTTCTCTAAAGGGGCCCGTTTTCTGATTCACATCATCTACCAGCTACCTGGGCCCTGTATCAGCTAACAATGCCAGCTTTAGCTAATGGCATCTAAGGTGTTAGCTCTGGGAAAAGAGAAAAGAGATATCGTTTTCATACCAACAAATAAATGTTTGAATTCTTTTTCCCATTATGCTTCCCACTCTGTATTCCCCTAAGTATAAGAGACCAATTTTATTATACACCTTAATTCATTTATCCATTCACGAACCAGTGTTCTGTCAGTTACAGAGGAAAGTGCTAGAGACATGAAGTGAACAAGACAGGGTCTTATCACTCAAGGAGCTCACAGACCAGAGAAGAAATAAATACCATTTATAAATAAATATATGAATCATTTAAATAATTATGGAAAGTGTGAAAAGAGGTGTCTGAGATCATTAAATTGAGTTGGTATAAATGGAGAGAAAAAGTGCTAAGTATTGCCGTTCAGTTCTGCAGGGGCCCAGGCTTGAAGGGCTCAAGTTCTAGTCCTGGTTCTACCTCCAGCCTTGCACAAGTCTCTTTCTTGCTCTGGGCCTCAGATTCTATGTTGACTGGACTAGAATAGTTGTTTCCACCCTGTGGTTTGCAATTCTGAGCTTTCCAGGCTGCACCTCAGAACCTGCCCAAGGAGGGGAATGCAGGAGAAGCTCAACTTTCATTTGTTTTACAAGTTAAATTCTACTTGGAGGAGGGTGTTTGATGCTAAAAAACATGTTGGAAAAGCCTCTAAATGATCCCCAAGAAGGCCTTCCCGGTCCTTCATTCAGGGATTCCATGAGCCCCACTGCCTTGGCTCCTTCCCTTCCCCTCCCCCATAACCCCTCAGGTACGCCTCTAGGCACGCTTTCCACTCCTTCCTGAGGGCAGGGCTGGAAGTAAACACCACACCTGGGCTACCCCTTCCCCTGGGGCCCTGATCCACACAAAAACCATGCCCCTGCCTATCCTCCTCTTTCCTCTAAGTAGAGAGACCCCAGGAGACCAACTGGCTGACAGAACTCAGAACCTTCTCAGGCAGAGGGGACTCTCTTGTCTTACAGGAGGGAATGAAGCTTCTGAGACCAAAGACTATAAAACCCAAGTGATCTCTGCCTGTGGTTTAAAAACACACACTTACCACTACCTCTGATCATCCCGGGTAAACAACTTTGTCTGCTGGGGAATCAGGACAATCTTAATTTTTTTTTCTGCAAAGAGCAACTAGAGAACTGTCAGAAGAGTGCAAAAAACTTAGTCAACCTGTCATGTCCAAAGACTCTCAGGCACAATAAGAAAGTATGCCAGACCCCCCTCCCCCTACTTCCCAATGCTTCTTAGCTCAAGGATGTTGCCTCATGGAGTAGGCAGAAAATGGCCCCCTGAAGATGGGCCCACACTAATCCCTGGAACCTGTGAATATGGTGGATTACATGGGAAAGAGGAATTAAGGTAGCAGATGAAATTCAGATTGCTAATTGACTGTCCTTAAAATGGGGAGATTATCTTGGATTAGCCTGGGGAGACCAGTATAATCAGAAATGTCCTTCTAAGTGGAAGAGGGAGGCAGAGACGTGGCAGTGTGAAAAGGACTTGGCCTGACCTCACTGGCCTGGAACACAGAAGAGGCTCATGAGCCAAGGAATGCAGGCAGCCTCTAGAAGCTGGGAAAGGCAGTGATGAGGGTTTTCCCCTAGAGCCTCTGCAAAGGAACACAGCTCTGCTGACACCTTGGTTTCAGCCCAGTGAGGCCCATTTTGGACTTCTGACCTCCAGAACGACAAGATAATGAATCTGTGTTGTTTTAAGTCACTAAATTTGTGTTAAATTATTACAGCATCAATAAGAAACTAATATACCCAGTGAATCATTAACACGAGTGGCTCAGGGCTGAATCTAGGGCGCTGGGCAAGGCAGCTTGCTGAAAAAAGACACTCACTCTTGCTGAATTATTCATGACTTAATTCACCCAACAAATATTTGGCACCTTGCTAGATGCCGGGCACTGTTCTAAATACTAAGGATATGTAGTAAATAAAAGAGACAAAAAGCCCTGCCCCCACTAAGCTTTATTTTAGCAGGGAAAATAGACAATAAATGAGAAAAAAAATACTAAATAGGGAATAGTGGTAAGTGCTAAAGGGAAAAATAAAGCAGGGAGTTATTGCCTGGTCCCTCCAGGGCTCTCCTGTCCCCACCTGTGGGCACTGACCCCAGACTAGTTCCATTAGGAGTTAGGACTTCCCCTAGGCTGTCACTTCTACTACAGAGCCACCCTGTTCTTCCTGTTCCTGTGTCCATGCCCTTCATGCAGGAAGCTCCCCAGGCAGGTCCTTATACAGCTCATAGCCTCCTTTCCCAATAGGAGCATCCATTCTGATGTCAGCACTTACTCTGAGTTCAACCTAATATCCACCAGGATGTGAGGAAAGGACAGATCTCTCTGTCCTCAGCCTTCTAGCTGGATGCAGTCAAGGAGAGCAAATGCCACCACTCAGGGAGTCCAACCTCATGTTCCTGTCTTGCCTTCACCCAGCTTGGTCCTGGCAAGAGCTGTTGACTGGGACCGCCAAAGTCCCAGAGAAGCAACTCCGTCTTTAGAGCTTTGGACATACAGAGCACAGCTTCTCTCCCCTATTTCCTATGGTGACCTCCCTCCTTCCCTCTGAGTATATGGGAGAGAAAAGTTCCTTGGGAAATCAGCCCTTCCTGCGGACAGACCAAACCATGCAATGGCTTCCCGTCCCACTGGGCCAGAGCCTCAGCCCCTGTCTCCACTTCTCCCACCCCATCTGAACAACAGGGCCCCTGATAGCTGTCCGATGCCTGTAGGAAAAGACAGAAAAAGAAGGATAAGTTAAAGCTTAAGAATGCAATTCACCCCACCTTGCTCGCCCACTTGGTCCCTCACCCACTGGGCCGCCATCTGGATGCTGTCTCTCTTGGTGACATCCAGTAGGGTGGTCTGCAGCCGGTAGGAGGTATCTTGCTGTAGCTTCTGGGCCCCCTCCTGGGTGAAACAAGCAGCCAACACCCGCATGCCTCGATCAACCAGCTGCTTGGCCAGTAGGTTCCCAAAGCCCGAGTCACAGCCTGTGATGAAGACATACTTGTCTGAGAGGTTTCGAACAAGATTGCAGTTCTTGAACCAGCGGTACATAAAAGAGAGGTCCGTGAGAGCCGCCATAGGGCAGGAAAGAGGTGATGGCCAAGAAGGATGGGGCTCAGGAGACAGAGGGAGAGGCTGGTCCTCTGACCCTCAGCTGGCAGTGTGCTGGAGGCTACTGAGAAGAGCTCTCCTCCCTTCCACTGCTGGCAACGCACACAGCACCCTGAGTGAGCCACGCTATAATTTTTATAGGTGGATGGATGCATCACACACCAATTAGCCCAGATGCAAGAAATTCAAGTCTAACCTGAAGCCTTGTCACCTCAGACAGCCTGGTAGCTGCCCTTTTCTCTCCCCAGCCCCGATGGGTCAAGGTGCCAAGGATGGGACAGACCCCAGTGGTGATGTTGGTGCTGAGAGGTGGCTCACCTGGGTGTTCTGAGCAGGGTAAATGGAAAAGAACTCAGCCTAGAAAGGCCCCCTGGGAATTCCCCATCCCTAGTCCAGGGATTGAAATAATTTGTCAAGAGTGCAGGCATGTAAATAAACTTAATTTTTATTTTTAGAGGAAAAATTAAGATAAATTCATTAATGTAAAACAAACAAAATTGGTTTTGTGCCTTCCAAACCCCAAGAGAAATTAGTTCCAGGTTATTAGCTCTCTGGAATTCTCTGCCCTTAGGTGAATGTCCATTATGGGAGATGATGTAAAAGAGTTTCTCTCTGGGAAGCTATGTCTTCATTGTCCTGAGGCCAGAGGCAGCAGGACCCTCCTATAAAGGAGGCTGGTGATGAGAGGCCCCTACTCATGCAAAGCAGAAAGACCGAGAGCCTCAGGGCCTGGGTCCATGGGAAACGATACTCAGATCACCAATGAGGAGTCCTCATTGCACTCCAGGCAGGCCTGGCAACCAGCCTCCCCCAGTCACCAGGCAAATGGAGGAAGTCAAGGACTGAGGACACATCAGCAACCCTGGGGCAGGGCCCCCATTGGGCATTTTCTGGGCATTTTTTTTCTACCCCCAGGATCAGACACACACGAGGTGATCTGGTGATCTGAGGAGCCTGGTGTTGGGGGTGGTGATGGCGGGAGGAAGGGATTATGAAGTCAACTGGCACAGTGGTTAGTTGGGTGTGCAGAGAGAAGGGGGGCCAGGAGTCAAAGTGATTCTAATGTATGGGCTGATAACAGGTAGAACCACAGGTGGCAAGAGTAATAGGAGGGGGGACACTTTGAGCATAGAGAGAGAAGGCAGAAGAGAGAGTTCTGATATGAATATCAACGAGATGAGGTCATGAGGATGGGTCATGAGCTCCCTGGGCAGCTGCAGAAAGGGCGCAGGGCTGAGTCCTTGGTTCTGAGAGGGACACATGGGAGGATCAGAAGACTGGGGCCAGAGAGCTGCTTAGAAAGTTCTCAGGGTCAGGACTTGGAAGGGAGGGAGAGATTCCAGGCCATGGGGATCACAAGAACTCACAGAAAGGTAGGAGGGAAGCTGGTCAACATAAGGAAATAAGGATGTGAGACAGAGGTGTGAGTCATGAGGGACCACACCCAGGATTGTATAAGATGCAGGCACAGGTGATACTAGAGTCTACAATGGTTCTTTGGATAAACCTCTAGGGTCACCACTCCTCAGGATGAGCCTGGTGACCAACTCATGACCAGGGAACTCTGACACAAAGTTCCCTAGAGTGAAAGGACAAAGATGCATCTCTGTGCTCCACTGTCTACCAAGGTTGGTCAGTTCCAGAATCAGTCAAAGTAGGTGTCTCCTTGGAAAAGGGCAGAGAGCTTGGCTACTCCATTCCAAGGGTGGTGGGAGGTCAGATTGTGTACCCACCTTTGGGGAACAAACCCAAAGCCTATATGGGAAGTGATGGAAGCAAACCTCGCTTACTTCATAACCACTCCGAGACATAACACCGCTTACACTGGATCTAGAAGGCATTTCCCAACTCTGCCTCCTGGGTGAGTGGACAGGGAAGTCTTGGCTGGGAGATGTCAGATAATTTCACTTGAAGGCTGAGCAGGCCCAGGAGTAACCCAGTTCTTGAGAAGACAAACGAGACCCAGGGGCTGCCTCTGGATCTTGAAAAGGATGACTTGGGACTGCCCCAGCACAGGCCTAGGCCTGGCTCATCATATTATGGGCCTCTCTGTTGACTACTGGTTAAGGCAGTGCTCCCCTGGGCTCAAACTCCTAACATCACAAAATAGGCCATGGACTGGAGGCTTGGAGTGCTGTGGGACCACATAGAAGGCTCTTTTCCTAGGGCTGGGAATGCCACCCACCCTCAGATGACAGGCCTCCCTGGTGAGTCAGCCTGGTGATCGTCCTCCACACCTCTACCTCTATCCACGGGTATCTTCAGTAGACAGGGGCCTTCACCTCCTCTAGGCGATTTCCACCTTGTGGGAGGGGGAGACTGGCCAGGGCCAAGGCACACTGGGAGGAGATAAACAGAGGCAGAGAAGATGGGACCGAGCCCCCTCCTAAATGTTCACTCTTTCCCAAAAGTACAGATTTGGGTCCACAAGGCTCAGAGCCTTGAGAAGCTGCTCAGGCAATGGGGCACATATTGTGTGCTACTGGGTCCCTGTTCCTCAGCCTCAAAGTGGGGTTCTTCCCTCCTGATAGCCTCAGAGTCCTGGGAGAACCTGGGGCAGAGGTAAGGAGGAGAGTAAACAACATGACTGTAGAGACTGAAGAGCTCACTCCCTCCACCTTATTTTCTTCCCCATAAAGCATCAACCTTCACATAGCATCCCAACTCTACCCTCCATGCACCCCAGTCTTGGCTTCATAGGGCCTTGGCAGGCTTTGGGGAGCTCCAGTTGACCACAGCACCCACCAGGAAGGTGGACACATAGTTCATGGGGAGGTAGGTGAGCTTGGTTGGCCTCTCAGCCAGGTAAGTTCTGGACGCACTCCATGCAGTCCATCACCATGGATAAATTCAACTTGCATGTTTTCAAAAGATTTTTATTTATTTTGATTAATTTTATTTCTCTGTTCAAAATGAGAAAGGATCCTTACACACTTCCCCATTCCTCTTTTCCATTTCATGGCTCTAATTTAGAAAGTTTCAAAGAACTTCCTCTCTGGCTTCAGTTTCCTCTTCAACATAATCAAGGCTTTACATGACACAGTAGTCCCCCACTAACAACCTAAACTTTTTCTTGAAGTTACTAGTTGACCACATGGAATCAGGGGTATGTAGCCAAATGTCCCTACTGTGTAGATGAATCAGCCAGAAGGATGAACCTGTGACTGTAAGAAGCTCTAATGAGGAACCTACACTTCCAGAAAATGGTTTGCTTCTCTCCCTATGGTCCACAGCTCACTCACTGAACTAGAAACTTCTCCCCATAGATCTCCTTGACCTCTGGGCTGGCCCAATCCCATGCTTCCTCGAAGCGCTAAGAAAACATGTCAGGACTGCTCCTGTGGGTGTCGAAGCAATGGGGCTTGATGACAGCTGCCTTCACCCCAAAGTGGGAGAGTGCCCTCCTGTAGGGCACACAGGCAGGGAGGTAAGGTGGTCTTGGAAGACAAACAAAAACAGTACAATCCCAAAGAAAACTGGGTAAAATAAGTTTAAAAGCTTGGGATGTTGTGAAGTGCAGCAGCCAGGGGGAGAAAAATCTGAAGGTGAAATAGTCTCTGTGGAGTTAAAGTAGTTATCTATATATTTTACATATACAAACCTATGACTCTAAATCCTACCTATTCTGCTGCAAAGTACCAAATAAATGCTATTTTATTTCCTTCTAGCCCCCCTTACATTCCATCAGTCTCCAGTTTTCCCTTTTTATCACCTCCATACTCCTCAGTCACCTCCCTCCCCTCTACTGCTCTAGTCAACTCCCTGACGATCTGTCCTCTAAGGAGCATCTCTCTGCCTGTGTCTCAGCTTCCCCCCATTCAGAGCCATCCCCTACCCTCCAGCCAGTGTGTTCTCTGGAGGCTGATTTGATTAAAAAAAACAAACAAACCCATGATGTTGTGCTGCCTCCAACAGCGCGAAAGTTAGCAGCCTGTCCAGGGCCCACCTCCCTTCATGAGCCCACCATGTCCACCTCCCCAGCACCCTTCCTGCCAGGCCAGGCCAAGTTGTTTATCACTGGAGGACCCCACAGCATAGGCAGTCAATCATTCCTCACCCTTACTTCCCACACCCAGGAAGCCTTCCCATCCTACTTTGCTAGGTTGCCAGGTTCCCAAGTTCAGTTCTTCTTCTTTTGTAAAATGTATTTATTTTTAATGTATTGATTATGCTATTACAGTTGTCCTGTTTTTTTTCTCCCCTTTATTCCCCTCCACACCCCCCCCCCCACCAACATTCCCTCCCTGCCACTTAGTTCATGTCCATGGGTTGTACATACAAGTTCTTTGGCTTCTCCATTTCCCATACTATTCAGACCTCCCCCTATTTTGTACCTACCAATTTATGCTTCTTATTTCCTTTACCTTTTCCCCCATCCCCCCTCCCCACTGATAACCATCCATGTGATCTCTATTTCTGTGATTCTGTTCCTGTTCTAGTTGTTTGCTTAGTTTGTTTTAGGTTCAGTTGATAGTTGTGAGTTTGTTGTTATTTTATGTTTGTATTTTTTAACTTCTTCTTTTTCTTAGATAAGTCCCTTTAACCTTTCAGATAATAAGGGCTTGGTGATGATGAAGTCCTTGAACTTGACCTTACCTGGGAAGCACTTTATCTGCCCTTCCATTGTAAATGATAGCTTTGCCGTATAGAGTAATCTTGGATGTAGGATCTTGCCTTTCATGACTTTAAAAAAAAAAAAATTCACTTATTTATTTTAGACAGAAGGGAAGGGAGGGAGAAAGAGAGAAAGAGAAACATCAATGTGTGGTTACCTCTCATATGCCCCCTACTGGGGGCTTGACCTTGTCCACAACCCAGGCTTGTGCCTTGACTGGGAATCGAACTGGCAACCCTTTGGTTCACAGGCTGGTGCTCAATCCGTTGAGCCACACCAGCCAGGGCTCATTACTTTGAATACTTCTTTCCAGCCCCTTCTTGCCTGCAAGGTTTCCAATGAGAAATCAGATGATAGTGTACTGGGAACTCCTTTGTAGATAAGTGTCTCCTTTTCTCTTGGTGCTTTTAAGATCTTCTCCTTGTCTTTAATCTTGGCTAATGTAATTATGATGTGCCTCAGAGTGTGCTTCCTTGGGTCCAACTTGTTTGGGACTCACTGAGCTTCCTGGACTTCCTGGAAGTCTATTTCCTTTGTCAGCTTAGGGAAGTTCTTTTTCATTAGTTTTTGAAATAAGTTTTCAATTTCTTGGTCATCCGCTTCTTCTGGCCCCACTATGATTCCGATTTTGGGATGTTTAAAGTTGTCCCAGAGGCTCCTAAGCCTCTTCTCATTTCTTGATCTCTTGTTTCTTCATTTTGTTCTGGTTGAATGTTTATATCTTCTTTCTGCTCCAAATCATTGATTTGAATCCTGGTTTCCTTCCCTTCACTGTTGGTGCCCTGTACACTTTCCTTTATTTCACTTTTCATAGCTTTCACTTCTTCCTCTATTTTGTGACAATACTCAATCATGCCTGTGAGCATCCTGATTACCAGTGTTTTGAACTCTACAACTGATAGGATGGCTATCTCTTTATTGATTAGTTCCATTTGTGGAGCTTTGATCTGTTCTTTTATTTGGGCCATATTTTTTTGTCTCGGTGCACCAGTCTGGATAAATATTTATTCTTTAACTCCTTGGTTGTCGAACTTCCATACAGTTTGATTTTCTGGCAGTTCAGGTTATTTTTTTGTTTTTAAATTTGTTGTCCTTCTTTTGGTTGTGTGAGGAGACACAGTCTACCTACACCTCCATCTTGGCTGGAAGTACAAGTTCAGTTCTTCAATCCTCAGCTCAGACCTCTCTCCAAACCCTCCCCTCATTCCACTGTCTACCACGGCCACCATGGCTAACATGGCCACTATATCACAAGAGATGGCCATACCACTTCTGTATCTCTTGTCCCTTTCACAGCAGTCAAGAGTTTGTGTCTCAAGTAACAAACCTAGTTATCCTCATACATTAATTGTGCATTCACAGAAGTACCCAGAAATATATGTAGAATTGAGTCAATTCCTCTACCCTGAGCTCAGGGGCTTCCAGAAACTAAATAACATAGGGTTAAGGACCCAGGCTCAGCAGCCAAGTTATCTGGATTCCATTTCTACCTCAGCCACTTTACTACTGTGGGCCCTCCTTCAGGGCATGAAGGGGTTGAATCAAATTTTATAGACCTGAGACCCATTCTGACTCCCAAAAGATTAAAAGGTGCTTCCTAATGAATGCCTGGCAGAAAGCAAGAGAGAGGAATCTGGAAGGAAGAACGTCTGACGTTGTGTGAAATGAACTTCCTGGAAAAGTCCCCACCAGAAGCACAGACGCAGGACGGAGGTGGGGGGCCTCTGTCCCAGCCCAATACCTGAGGGAGTCTGAGAAGGCCTGGATGCCGAACTTGGAGATGCAGTAGCCCCCACCATACATGGACACACAAACTAAGATGCTGGAGACGTTGATCACATGGCCTCTTGCCTTCCTCACCCGGGGCAGCAGACCTCGATCACCCCCAACAGGTTCACATCGAGAATCTTTATGAAGTCCTGTTTTATGAGCCAATCATAGGGTGCATGGGCATGGAGATGCCAGCATTATTCACCAGGCCTCACTGAGCCCTGGGCACAGTGGGGGCAACATTTGCTGTGACCATATAGTGAGGATGGGTGTGTGGTTCCAATTTATGTTATGATTAAATTTATCTTATTGAGTGAACAACAGCGTGGTACATGGGATATGGGAAAGCGTGCAGGAGAAGAAGTAGGAATGCTGTGGTTGCAGGGTGTCAGGGCTTGCAAACACATTTATAGCTACTGGATGGCAGGGATGGTCATTTTCCTGCTCCTCATTGCCTAGCATGCAATAGGCAATAAGCCCATCTTTGTTAAGTGAATGGACAGAGTTTGAGATAATAGAGTAATATTCAACAATATAATTTTTTTAAGATTTTGTTTATTTTTTAGGGTTTTATTTATTTTTTTAATCTGTTTTATTATGCTATTAGTTGTCCCATTTTCCCCCCTTCGCTCCCCTCTGCCCTGCATACCTCCTCCCACCCACATTCCCCCGCTTTAGTTCATGTCCATGGGTCATACTTGTAAGTTCTTTGGCTTCTACATTTCCTATACTAGTCTTAACCTCTCCCTGTCTATCTTCTACCTACCATTAATGCTACTTTTCCTCCTCTCTCCCCTTTCCACTGCCCCTCTTATAAGCCTCCATGTGATCTCCATTTCTGTGATTCTGTTCCTGTTCTAGTTGTTTGCTTAGTTTGTTTTTGCTTTTGTTTTAGGTTCAGTTGTTAATCACTGTGAGTTTGTCATTTTACTGTTCATATTTTTTATCTTCTTTTTCTTAGTTAAGTCCCTTTAACATTTCATATACTAAGGGCTTGGAGATGATGAACTCTTTTAACTTGACCTTCTCTGGGAAGCACTTTATCTGCCATCTCATTCTAAATGAAAGCTTTGCCGGATAGAGTAATCTTGGATGTAGGTCCTTGCCTTTCATGACTTGGAATAGTTCTTTCCAGCCCCTTCTTGCTTGCAAGGTTTCTTTTGAGAAATCAGCTGACAGTCTGATGGGAACTCCTTTGTAGGTAAGTGTCTCCTTTTCTCTTTCTGCTTCTAGGATTATCTCCTTCACTTTTATGTTGGCTAATGTAATTATGATGTGCCTTGGTGTGTTCCTCTTTGGGTCCAACTTGTTTGGGACTCTCTGAGCTCCCTGGACTTCCTGGAGGTCTATATCCTTTGCCAGATTGAGGAAGTTCTCCTTTATTATTTGTTCAAATAACTTTTCCACTTGTTGCTCTTCCTCATCTCCTTCTGGTACCCCTACAATTCAGATGTTGGAACATTTAAAGATGTCCTGGAGGTTCCTAAGCATCTCCTCATTTTTTTGAATTCTTGTTTGTTTCTTCATTCTTTTCTGTTTGTCTTTTTCTTCCTTCTGGTACACACCATTGATTTGAGTTCCAGTTTCCTTCCCATCACTGTTGGTACCCTATACATTTTCCTTTATTTCATTTAGCATGGCTCTCATGTTTTCATCTAATTTACGAACATATTCAACCAATTCTGTGAGCATCCTGATTACCAGTGTTTTGAACTGTGCATCTGATAGGTCGGCTATCTCTTTATTGCTTAGCTGTACTTTTTCTGGAGCTTTGATCTGTTCTTTCATTTGAGCCATTTTTTTTTTTGTCTTGGTGCACCTGTTACGTAGTAAAGGGCAGGGCTTTAGTGTTCACTAGGGTGGGGCAACCCACATTGCTGCATTGTGACACTGTTTGTGGGGGAGGGATTTGAGAGGGAACAATGCCACTTGTTCTGCTCTTTGCAGTTTTCAGTCACTTCCCTCACTACCGATAAGCAAATTAGACCCTTCTGGTGCTGATTCCCAGTGGGTGGGCTTGTGTGCATTATAGGACCCTGTGGGTCTCTCCAAGGAACTCTCCTGTGAGGCTGAGAGTTTCTCCTGCTGCCACCTCAACCCCCACAAGTGTTTTCAATGAGTAGTTTGAGGCTTTATTTCCCTGTGCTGGGACTCTGGGTTGTGCGGTCTGTCTCGCTCCCCAGTTCCTCTCAGTTTATCTGCACACAAATGTGGGACTGTCTGGTCCACAATCTGCTGCCTCACTGGGCCTGCCAGCCGCTGCCTTGCCCCTAGTCCTCTCCACCTGGCTGCCCATCTCCGCCCCTCCTACTGGTCTGGATGAATGTTTTTTTTTTTATCTCCTTGGTTGTGGGACTTCCATGGAGTTCAATTTTCAGTCAGTTCTGGTTATTTTTTTTGTTTTTAAATTGGTTGTCCTTCTTTTGGTTGTGTGAGAAAGCATAGTGTGTTTACCTATGCCTCCATCTTGGCCGGAAGTCCTATTCAACAATATCTTATAGGAGAGAGACATAGATAGGTAGAGAGAAATGAGTAAGAGAAATGAAGGGAAACCTAGAGAAGAGAAAGGAAACAGGAAACAAAGAAATGAGGGAAAGAAAGCCATGAATAATGACTTTCGACACCCTGGTTGGAGAGACACAGTTGACATCCCAGGCTAGGGTGAGTAGAGACCAGATCTGAGACAACCTGCATTAATTCCAAGGCACTATCTGCTCAGGAAGCCAAGTTCATCTTCTCTGTTGGAAAATCCCAAATTTCACCCAGGAGTGAATGGTGCAGGCTCTGGGGAAAGGTGCGGAGGCTAGGTGCCACACCTTAGTGTAGACTGGACCCTTGGCTCCAGGGAGTCCCAATGTCCCCTTTCACCCTCCCAAAGGCCATTCTTGCCACATCCCACTAGTTCCCCAGTCCACTCAGCTTTCAGAAAACTTCTCTGGAAGAAACAGAGGGAAAAGGCACACGGGTCAGTAGGTGCAGGGTGATCAGTGAGTTGGGGATGGTGAGGGAGGTGGGGGCAGGCAGAGTTTGACCGTGGGGATACTGGAAAGAGAACTAGTCCCTGCTCTGCTCAGAAAACTTCCCTGAACTTCCCCGGCCTTAAGGAAATGCATATTCTTTGATTTAATTATTTAATTTTACTTAAGTAACATTATTGAGAATGTGAGCAAAATGCACCATACTTCTCTCCACGGATACATCCCTTCCCTCACATAGTACCCAACTCTGCCTTACTGTGCACCACAGTCATGGGTCACAGGGCCTTCACGGGCCTTGGGTTGCTCCAGCGGATTATGGTATCCACCAGGAAAGTGGGCATGTAGCTCATGGGAAGGTAGATGAGCTTGGAGTCCCAGCCACATGAGTATCGGGTGCGGGGATGGCAGGCGATCAGGGCATGTTCCATGCAGTCCGTCACCAAGGACAGGTCCTTCGTGCACATTTTGTCCAACAACCCAAATGACTTCATCGCTGTCCAGAATGAGAAAGAATCCAGATGTATTCCCACCTCCGACCACTCCTACATTAAAATCAACTTATGGAATGGGTTTCTAGAATTCCTGGCCCTCTACACAGTCAATCCACCCAAATCCCTCAGAGAGTACCTCACTCCTACCTCAGGCACAACTATTTTACACAACTATCTTTTCTCTCTGGCTTTAGTTTCCTCCTCAACACAACAAGAAGTTCACATAAGACACTGGTGCTGGCTCTGACAAGCCTGGATCCCTTCCTTGGGTTACCAGTTGGACCATGTGGGACTACGGAGATGAAACCAAAGGTCCCCTGTTTGTGGGTGAGTCAGAGCACTAAGGTTGAACCTGAGACTCTAGGTGGTACTGATTATAAACCAGGCTTCCAGAAAGTGGTGTGCCGCTATCCCAATGACCCACACAGCTCACTCACAGGCTGCCAGGAACTTCTCCCCATAGATCTCCTTCACCTCTGGGCTGGCCCGATCCCATGTCTCCTGGAAGCTCCTACAAACCGTCTCAGAACTCGCCAAAATGGTCTTGAAGTAACTGGGCTCGATGATTGCCACTTTCACCGCAAAGTGCGAGAGCTCCCTCCTGCAAGGCACACAGGCAGAGGGGAAAGGACTTCAGAAGTCTTATACACACACGCGTGCATGCACACACACACACAACACCAGGAAAAAAACAACAAATAAAACATCAATATAGGGTTGCAGTAGACTAAGCTCAAAAGCCTGGGGAGCTGTGAAGTGTAGCATAGGAAGGGGAAATGTATGATAATGGTAGTGCCTCTCAGCAGAGTTTTTTTCCAAGTTTTACATACATTTGCTTCTAACTCTAAATCCTACCAATTCTGCTGAAAGGTGCCACTTAAATTCTGCCTCCTTGTATTTCTGTCACATGCAATCAAAACTGGGTGGTGCCCATTTTATCGTTCCCGTACTCCTAAATTCCCTCCCTCTTCTCCCCGACCCAGGTCAACCTCCAGGCCGTCTGGCCTCCAGGAGCATCTGTCTGCCTGTGGGCTCAGCTCCTCCACATCACAGCCATCCTCAGCCCTGCAGCCAGTGCAGCCTCCCCTGCTGATGTGATGGAGAAGCTCCCTGAATAAAGTGCTTCCCTGAGGCTTCACTGCTAATAAGGATCCCGGCACCCAAGTGTCGCAGCAATTATGTTCATGAACGGGCTGCACAGCTGAAGAATATTGGTTCCAATTCTGCCCCAGATGCTTTCTGACTATGGGCAGGGACAGCTTGAATCAAACGTTAATGTCCTGGGGCCCATCCCAATCCTCAGAAGATAAATAGATGCTTCCCAACGAATGCCTGGCACAAAGCAAGAGAAAAGGAGCTGGAAGGAAGAGACTCTGAGGCTGTGTGAAGTCAACAACCCCTTGGAAAAGGCTCCCCTGAAGCACAGAAGCAGGAGGACCAAGGGGGCCTCTGTCCCAGCCCAATACCTGAGGGAGTCCAAGAAGGCCTCGACGCCGTACTTGGAGATGCAGTAGCCCCCACCATACAGGGACACACGACCCAAGATGCTGGAGACGTTGACCACGCGGCCTCTTGCTTTCCTCACCAGGGGCAGCAGGCTCAGGGTCACCTCAATCAACCCCAGCAGGTTCACATCGAGAATCTTCATGAAGTCCTATTTGGTCAGCCACTCATTAGGTGCCGTGGGCATGGAGATGCCAGCGTTATTCACCAGGCCCCAGAGTCCTGGGCACACAGAGGGGAGAAAGCAACTGCTGAGGCCGTGCAGTGAGGACACAGCTGTGACTCAGTTCACCTGCTAACCCTGTGAGGAGGTGGCATGGGGAGTGGGTAGAACAGACAACTACGTGCCATCAGCAGAGCTTGGGGCAGTGCTGGCCCTGTAAGGTGTTGGCAACAGAGAGTATGCCTTCCTTCTGACTTAGTCCTCCTGTCCAGCCCCCTGCCACATTATATAAAAGACAAAAGTATAAAATATGGGTAATATTTGGGGACAATTTGATTGGGTAAAACAGATCAGAAAGCTAGGTGTGGGGAACCATGGAGAGCAAGTCTGTGACTGACCACAGGCCGCTGGCCTGGACACACCCTGTATCGACACAGAGCTGCGTAAGGGTGGGCTCTCTGGGAGACCCAGGCTGCCCTTCCCACCTGCAGGCACAGACCTCGCTCAGAGCCCCAGTCAGCGCCACCTTCCCCTCTCACCTGTGCAGGAGACCCTCTCCCCCGAGGCCCCTGGCCCATAGTCCCCTGTGCTTCGTGTGAATCTCTCTGCAAGATCCAAAGGCACGGTCCCAGAGATGTCAAGATGTACCAGCCACGTATGGCAGGGCAGCAGGAGCAGAGGCCAGGAGGACACAGGACAAGGGCTGGCGGTGAGGACTCTGGAAGTACTGACTCAGCGTGGAGTCCCTGGCCTGCTCACACAGGCCCTGCCCTTGCAGGAATCATCCTCCCAGCATATATTTTCCTTCAAAGAACCCAATTAATGTACATGGTTATAGATAGAGATTTGAGTAAAAATAAGTTTCCCAAGATATCTTTATGATGAATATGATGAATAAAATGTAGGGAATAATTTCATATCATACCATAAGATACTGCTTTAGTAAGTCATGTTATTCAGAAGGATAGAAATGTCTCAGTCATTAAAAATTAAGTTTTTAAAGAAATTTTCACCATGCTATGAAAGTATTATCTTCTTTTAATGCAAAGGATTTGACAACTATGTGCAAAATATAATACCATGTACCATATATTTTGGACTATAAGATGCACCTCCCCCAAATTTGGGAGGAAAATGCAGCAGCGACCCTGCTGCTTCCTCCTGTGACTCCGCTCCACCGCTACCCTCTACCCACAGCAAGCCAGGTAAACTGCATGCAGACTATAAGACACACACCCCTTTCCCTCCCAGATTTGGGTGGGGGGTGTCTTATAGTCCAAAAAATATGGTGTATCAGAATGTTAATAGCACTCATCTTTAGGTAGTGAGATTTGGGGTGAGGTTTTTTAAATCCCTGTACTTTTCTGTGTTTTCCACATTGATCGTATTGTACATTCATACTTAGATACAGGAAAATGATGTTCTTTTCTTCCCCATAATTGGACAGGCACAATTGTAGCTTAGGAAAGAGAGAGAGAGGAGTGAGTGACCCCGCACTGATTTCCTGACCTTCCTTAGGTGAGTCCTGGGAGTTCAGTGTCATCATCTGAAAATGGATGATATCACCTCCCTGGTTAGATGATTATGAGTCACCAGCATGAAGATATTGATGTGCTGAGAACAGGGGCCCAGCTCAAGTGCTGTTCATTTGGGCGCAGCCACCCATTTAAGCCTCAGGCTAGTGCCCTCTTCTCCACCCCTCCTCCAGAAAGTGGACCCTGCTTTCTCCAAGGCATTCAATATCTGGAAATCAGAACCTCTGCTGAGAGAGGAGGGGACACCAGAGACAGGATTCTGCCAGGACAAATTCTCATCAGCTCAAACTCTCCTCAAAACTGCACAGCTCCAAGGTCGGGAGGTGTGGGGGGCCGTGGAAAGATAAAAGACTTGGCGATTAGCTGGGTGAGGTGAAGAAAGCTGGTATGACTTCAAGTCCCAGAAAAGATGTTGGGAATCTTTCCCAAGTAGCAGACAAGGGGTCTTCCCTTCACTGAAAGAAAAGAAAGAGCTGAGAAATCTGTGAGGTACCTCTGTCCCCTACACGCTCCTTCACCCACTGGGTGGCCGCAGCAATGCTCTCTGTCTTGGTGACGTCCAGGATCACTGTCGCCAGCCTGTCTGACGTCTGGCCCCTCAGCTGCTCGGCCCCTTTCTCTGTCAGACATGCGGCCAGCACCCTCAAGCCTCACAGGTCCAGCTGCCTGGCCAGTAGGTTTCCGAAGCCTGAGTCACAGCCCGTGATGAAGACATACTTGTCTCGGAGGTGGCTCACCACCTGTCTCTCCCAGTACCAGCGAAGAAGGTAGTACAGGCCCACGAGAGCTGCCAGGTACAGCCACATGGCTTTGCAGGGGATAGGCAGGCAGGCAAGAGTGAAATACGAAGGTGGCCCGTGTTCAGTCAGGAGGACCTAAGGACACACAGGATATGAGTTAGCACACCAAACTCCAGGCTTCTGGCATGGAGTCCTCAGATTGTTCCTGTTTACCACATCTGGTATTATTGATTCTGGCCCCGACTCATATGATCTTTGGCACGCTCACACCATTACTAATAGAGGACATTGCATTTCTCAGACTACCCCTTGATCTATGTATACTTCTCTCAACCACTGTCTCCTGGTCCTCCCACTCCACCAAACCTATCATACTCACACACACACACATGCGCGTGCACACACACACATACACACTGGAGCCCCCTGTGATCATGGCCTCATGGCACAGAACTGTCTTCCTATCTTTTCCCTGCTCCAGTCTGGAACCCTTGTCCCTTGACCTACTGGAGATTCTATAAAGAGGACACACTATGAATCAAGACATACTTGGGTTCAAAACCCAGCTCTGCTCCAACTGCTGTGTCACCTTGGCCACTGGCATAGCCTCTGAGCCTGGGGTCCCCTCATATGGCTCAGCACAGAACTGACTGAGGAAAACAAGCTTTGTCAGTTTCCAGAATTAGAAAGAGAAAGAAAAGAGTATAAAGATCCCTCCTTTTTTTTTTTTGTATTCCATACAATTTTGTTTTCTCCCTTCAACCATAATGATACGATATCCAAATTTTGTCTTAACTAGAGGGTCTGTAAACACAGGCTTGTCCAGGCCACTTACAGGCAAAGCAAATGCCGCTTCGTGAAATGGTCCCACCAGGGACCCTCTGGTCATCCCACCCAGGTCGCCCCCTGCCTGGCTTTATCTTCACTACATCGTGTGGCCACTTCATTGAATTTCACTCCAGACTTTAACTTTTCCAAGGCTCCCATGATTTTTCCGTGTTTCTCGCACAGAATGTACCTGACCTTTACTGCATTGCTACCACCTTTGGGACCCTGAGACTTGTGGTCAGAACTATCACTCCCATATGCTGCTCCCCTTCTTTCCCCTTTTCCAGAACCACTTTTTCCTTTAGGTGACATCTGCAAAACTTGACATTCAAGATGCCTCTGGATACAGTAACTCTCAGTGGCAGAAAGGTGTTCAGGAGAAAACAGCGGCGTCTGAGCTCAAAGGTAAGGAAGGGAGAAGGGAACAGGGTGAGCTCACTCAGTGAAGCGTCTCGTGCAGCCTGGGAGGGCTGAAAGGATGGACTTTTAAAAAGTGGCCCTAATGGTTGTCAGCCTCTCACTCCATGAAGATGTCCTGTCCCCCGCCCTGATGTCGATTACATGGCCCTCTGCCTGTCCTGGGCTGAGGCTCCCCCTGACAGCCTTGCAGGCAGAATCCAGACCCAGACATGAACTCCAAAGGCAGAAATGACTGACTTGAAAAGAAATCAAGGATGGGTCCTTAACTTTACTATCAGGGAGGGCTGTAAACCCCAATAACTGCTAGTGTCTCATTTCAGGTTGTATCAGGGGGATGATGGCAGGCAGAGGGAGCTGCTCCCTCAGGAGACTAAAGGAAGGACTAGAGACTGTGGAGCCCAGAGCAGCTGTCTCTGAGGGGCTTCAGAGTGAGCCTGAGGAAACCATTTCCTAAAATGGGGTGGACTGGTGAGTGGAGCGAAGCTGGGAGTGAGACAGCTTCCACATGGCACCCCTGTGGCATTGACTCAATTGATCCTGGGTCCTGCTCACATCCCCAGAAATGACTGGACCGCCTTCTCAGGAAAAGAGGCCTGGGGGGGGCGGGGCGGGCGGTGAGGCTGGCGGAGGTTCAGAGGGACTTTGAGGCTGGGTTACATTGGACCTCTTTGCCAGTGCAGTTCTCCCTCCATTGTAGCCAGGCCCCTCAGTTGTAGCCCTGGTGGAGTCAGGCAGTAAAGCATCAGTGGTTTGTGTCTCAGACCAGAGACCTAACCTGTCCATAGCTCCCTGATCTTCTGGAGAGGACTCCTGGAGGTGGGCACAAACCTCTTGAACACCTTTCCTCCAGCACTACAAAATGGCTCAATGATCATTGTTTTGGGGGAAGGGAAGTGAGAGAAATCCAGATGCTCCAGGGTAAGCGTGAAGCAATGGCTTCATTTTATGAAGCAACATGGACTTCACCCATGGGCACTGAATACCAGAACACTGACCCGAAGCCTCTGCAGGGAAGGGACTGAGTTTCGTCATATTTACATTTCCAGCACTTGGCAGCGCCTAGCATCTCACAGAGACACACGGGTGTGGAACTAGATGACACTGCAATATCCTGCTTCATTCTGCCTTTTCTCCTGCATTTCTTACATTGTCTGACAATATGAGATTCCCAAAACCTCCATTTCCCTCCTATTTATAGTGAGGGAGGAGATTCAAGATGACTCCAACTCCAGCTCCCAAGGAGTCTAAGAAACCATATGTTGTCATCAAAATGGTAAAACCTTAGGAAGTCAGGGCCTTAGGAAGCACTGGAGAATTCAAGGGGAATTTCTGTCAAGCACACATTAGGTGCTCAACAAAAGTTAATCAAAACTGAGTAATTCTGGAATCAGAGAGGGATTGTCAACACATCTGCAGAGACCATGGGGTGGGTGCTGGGGATCGGAAGGTGGGGGAATCTGAGGGAGGAACAGTAGGGATAGGAAATTGAAGGAGGGGAGAAGAGCTGAGGCATACTGGGAGGCCGTCAGTTTTCCTGGGAACATGGTACCTAGGGCCCTTCTGGTCTCTATCAGTCTCTCCAGGCTTCCTCCTCCTTAGACTAAACGTTGCACATCCCCTACACACACAAACACACATGCGCACACACTCTTGGGAAGTCAGAGAGAGGAAACGGCTGTCCTTCGACTTGTGGAAGGATGAGGGCTAGCAAGCAAAGGCAATTACCCATCACTTTCTCAAACCCTTCCCACATCATCTCATGCTTCTCTAAGCCTCCATGAAGAGGACTTTCTCCTTCACTCAAGAAATTTCCCAGAGGACTTCTGGCCAAGATGGAGGCACAGGTAGACACACTGTGCCTCCTCACACAACCAAAAGAAGGACAACAACAAAATTAAAAGTGAAAAACAACCAGAACTGACAGAAAATCGAACTGTATGGAAGTCCAACAACCAAGGAGTTAAAGAAGAAACATTCATACAGACCGGTAGGAGGGGCAGAGAAGGGTAGACAGGCAGAGAAGACCTGCAGCAAGGTGGCAGCTGGAGGACCTGGTTGGGCAAGGCAGTGGCTGGCAAACAGAGCAGTCCCACATTTGTGTGTAGAGAAACTGGGAGGAACAACTGGGGAGGGAGACAGACCATGCAACCCAGGGTTCCAGTGTGGGGAAATAAAGCCACAAAACCTCTGACTAAAAAAACCTGTGAAGGTTGAGGAGGTAGGAGAAACTCCCAGCCTCACAGGAGAGTTCACTGGAGAGACCCACAGGGTCCTAGAATGTACACAAAACCACCCACCTGGGAATCAGCACCAGGAGGCCCAATTTGATTGTGGCTATCGGGTGAAGTGACTGAAAACTGGCAGAGAGCAGAACAAGCAGCACTGTTTCCCTTTGGACACGTCTGCCACATACAGCGTCACAGCACAGCGATGGACCTTGCCCTGCCCTGGTGAATACCTAAGGCTCCTCCCCTTACTACATAACAGGTGTGCTGAGAAAAAAAAATGGCCCAAGTGAAAGAACAGATCAAAGCTCAAGAGAAAATACAACTAAGCAACAAAGAGATAGCCAACCTATCAGATGCACAGTTCAAAACACTGGTAATCAGGAGGTTCACAGAATTGGTTGACTATTGTCACAAATAGAGGAAAAAGTGAAGGCTATGAAAAGTGAAATTAAAGAAAATGTACAGGGCACCAACAGTGAAGGGAAGGAAACAGGGACTCAAATCAATGGTTTGGAGCAGAAGGAAGAAAGAATTATTCAGCCAGAACAGAATGAAGAAACAAGAATTCAAAAAAATGAGGAGAGGCTTAGGAACCTCCAGGACATCTTTAAATGTTCCAACATCTGAATTGTAGGGGTACCAGAAGGAGAAGAGGAAGAGTAACAAGTGGAAAAGTTATTTGAACAAATAATGAAGGAGAGCTTCCCCAATCTGGCAAAGGAAATAGACTTCCAGGAAGTCCAGGGAGCTCAGAGAGTCCCAAACAAGTTGGACCCAAAGAGGAACTCACCAAGGCACATCATAATTACATTACCTAAGATTAAAGGTAAGGAGAGAATCTTAAAAGCAGCAAGAGAAAAGGAGACAGTTATCTACAATGGAGTTCCCATTAGACTGTCAGCTGATTTCTCAAAAGAAACCTTGCAAGCAAGAAGGGGCTGGAAAGAACTATTCCAAGTCATGAAAGGCAAGGACCTACATCTAAGATTACTCTATCCAGCAAAGCTATCACTTAGAATGGAAGGGCAGATAAAGTGCTTCCCAGAGAAGGTCAAGTCAAAGGAGTTCATCATCACCAAGCCCTTATTATATGAAATGTTAAAGGGGCTTATCTATGAAAAAGAAGATAAAAAATATGAACAGAAAAATAACAACAAACTCACAGCTATTAACAACCAAACCTAAAAAAAAAACAAACTAAACAAATAACTAGAACAGGAACAGAACCACAGAAATGGAGATCACATAGAGGGTTATCAGCAGGGGAGTGGGACAGGGAGAGAGGGGGAAAGGGTACAGAGTATAAATAGCATAAATGGTAGGTAGAAAATAGACAGGGGGAGGTTAAGAATAGTATGGGAAATGTAGAAGCCAAAGAACTTATATATATGATCCATGGACATGAACTAAGGCAGGGAATGCAGGTGGGAGGGGGTATGTAGGGCGGGGGGAAATGGGACAACTGTAATAGCATCATCAATAAAATATATTTTTAAAAGAAATTTCCCAGAATTCCCAGGGCTGAGGCACCTCCCCAGAAGTGTATGCCTTGCTCTACTTTTTTTTTTTTTTTTAAATCCTAGCCCCTGTCTATGAGAAGTTCTTCTAGGGCAGTCATTTTTAATTTTTTGTACACCATGAACTCCTTTGAAAATCTAAAGGAAGTTCTAAGCCCCATAAAAATGACTTGGGATTTTGTATATGAGGTCTGTTCAGAAAAAGTCCAACCATTGTTAATATAACAAGAATGGTTTGTGTGACGTTGATGCCTGGCAGCCAAGGAGAATGGACTGGAATGCGCATGCATAAACAATGACAACATCACTGTACCAGTCAGTGGGGGTGATAGACACTGTCGAGTGAGCATGTGTACTGTGTGGCCGTTGCATTCAAAATGAGCGAGTAGAGCAACGAATCTGCATCACATTTTGCATTAAGCTTGAACATTCCCTGTGGAAACTATTCAGATGATTCAGAAGGCCACAACTAAAGGCAACTGGTGATTGGCAGTTTTGTCACAACAATGTGCCTACTCATACATGCATCTCACGCAGAGATTTTTACCAAAACATGAAATCACCCAGGTGGCTCATTAACCCTATAGCCCAGATTTGGTGCCCTGCAACTTCTGGCTTTTTCCAAAACTAAAATCACCTTTGAAAGGGAAGAGATTTCAGTCAGACTGTCGATGAGATTCAAGAAAATCCAGTGGGACAGCTGATGGTGACTGGGAAAACAGTGTGAGGTCCCAAGGTGCCTACATTGAAGGGGACTGGGGCACCATTGTCCTATGTACAGTGTTTCTTGTATTGTCTTCAATAAATGTCTCTAGTTCTCATAGTGTGTGGCTGGATACTTTCTGGACAGACTCTCGTATACTTTTCAGGGAGTTCACAGGCCACCTAGAGCCATTACGTGCCACAAATCCAGGTCAATTATCACTGTAATAAGGGTTTACTGAACTACTAGCAGTGTGACTCAGGCAAGTTGTCTAACCTGTCTGGGCTGTAGCTCCTTGCCTACCCCAGCGCCCACCCCGTTAAGTTATCATGAGGATTAAATGAGGTGATACATGAAAAGCCATTGTGCCTGGCAGGTGGTGAGCATTCAATAAATGTTAGCTGTCATTACATCTCTTCTGCGATAATTCATAGTGGCATTTGGGAATATTTTTCATCTTCTATGTGAGAAATACAATGTCAGACAACTAGTAAAAGAGGAAGCTAGTGTTGATTCATTTTAGAGAAACAGGCTGGTGATGGTGGGACTCAGGAGCAGTACCTGAAGAGCATTTCCACAAAAAGGGTCTCTTCTTCCTCATCTTCAAGAAGGAGAAAAGGGCCATACTGAATGCCATGCACTTTCTATACCGATGTTTTATCTGATGTATCCCGTACATCATTATCCTTATTTTCTATATAAAGAAGCTGAGACTCAGAAAGGTAAAGTAACTTGTCTTAAGTCACACAGCTACTAAGTGGTGGAACAAGGGTGCCAGAGCCAAGTCCAGTCCCCAAACTAGTGTTACCTCCACTGCATTTGGGTGACACATGAGTGAGCAGGAAATTGCTGAGCCAAGCCAAGGACAGGGTCACTGGGCCACATCCTTCTTTGGGAAGCCCTTTATCTGTGCTGCTGGGCAGACAAGGTTGCGTCTCTGGCAGGCCACTCAGTGGCCTTCTACAAGCTCAGGCTGGGGATGGGAGTGCAACTATTGCCGAACACCTCAGCCTTGACCCGTGCCCAGTCCACCTGCCCTTGCCACACAAAGTAGGGTCCTGGCCCACAAAGGCCACAAAGTGTGTGCGGAGGGCAGCAGGGTGGGTGGAATTCCGGGGACAGCCTGTTCTGCCCCTTCTTCGAGGGTCCAGGCACAAACCCTTGGCCCCTAACCGACCCTGGGAAGCTTCTTGTCTTTATCTGTGACTTCCAATAACTCCTCCCTGGTACTTTCCTTCCTTTCTGATTGTTAATTACAATGTCTTGTCTACATTTGTTGAAAAACAAAAGTGGGGGGTAGGAGGGGGAAGAAGAAAGAGTAAATTTCCAGTAATTGTTTCACTGCTGCAGCTCCTTTTGCTTGCAAAGCTGTTTGCCCCCATCCTTTTGCCTGAGCTCCTGCCCCTCCCTCTTTCCCTTCCTTCCAATCTCTCTCTTTCCAGCTGCCTCCCTCCTCCCTCCAAAGATAAACACTCACATGAAAACTGCAGAGCTATCACTTACTGCTTCCTGAGGATGATTTCCCGCTGAGCCTCTGGCTGTACACACACTGGGCAATGTGAGGGGCGGGGGCTGGGGAGCAGGTGGAGGTGGGACAATGGGGGGTGATGTTGCCATATGGGAGAGAACAGATCCTGGGGTGGAAGATTCAGAGACACAGGTGACATGAGCCACTAAAATGCAGTCTTCAGAGGGATGGAAATGGCCTTGGGTCTGTGTGGAGAGAACAGAGTCCAGAACTAGGGGGGCCCGGTCTAGTGGAGTCACCTCCTGTGTGGGTCAAAGGCATGGAGGATGAAACAAACAGAGAAGCCTCATAAGGCTCCTCACTGAAAAAGATATCCACAGGCTAGCAACTGAGATCCCAAAGAGAGGGGGAGAGAGAATAGAACTGTCTGGAAAATCAAAGTAAAGCACATTTTGTATCATCAGAGCTCATCATGACAGATTTCTTGAACTCCGCCCCCCGTTCCTGGGTAATAGGAACATCTCTTCCTCTAATGAGGTGGATGTCATGGGCTCCTGGATGGCGTCAGGATGGAGGCTGGCCATCAAAAAGAACAAACCTTGATTAGAAGCTTGGAACTTTCAGCCCCATTCCCCATCCTACAGGAAGAGAGTGGGCTTGAGATTAATTTAATAATCAAGCGTATGCGATGAAGCCTCCATAAAAATACCTGAAGTATGGGGTTCAGAGATCTTCTGGGTTGGCGCACACATCCACACGCCAGGAGTGTGGTGCACCCCAGCTCCTCGGGGACAGGAGCTTCGTGACCCTTCCCGACCTCACCCTGGGTGTCTACCTCTTTGTCTGGCTGTGCAGTTGTGTCCTTCATAATAAATTACTACATGTAAGTGGATGTCTCCCTGAGCTGTGTGAGCCATTCCAGCAAATTATTGAAACTGAGGAGGACTTTGTGGCCACGTTGGACAGAAGTGTGTGCACCCTGAGGACTAATTGCTTGTGACTGGCACCTAAAGTGAGAACAATCCTGTGGGACTGAGTCCTTCAAACTGTGGGGTCTGACACTAACTTCAGGTGCTTGGTGTCAGAATTGAATTAAATGATCAGATACCCAGTTGGTGTCTGGGGAGCTGAAAAATTGGTGGGTGTTGGGGGGAGACCCTCCACACTTAGTGCCAGAAGTTTTGTGAGCAGAGAAACAGCTTTTCTAAAGGAGGCTTTAAGAAAACTGCAAGATTAAAAATACCCCTTCCCACGGGGATGGCCGGTGGCGGCGGCCGCACTGGAGTACACTCAAGGCTGCTGAGCTGTTTAAAGTAGTTAGAACGGCAAATTTGATGTTTAATGAAAGTAATACAAAATGAATTAGCGAACTCAAAAACATCCCCTCCCTGAAGGGATAAACAAAACGTGCCCTATTAGCGCAGTGGCCTAGGAGCCAGTTACGCACAGGAACGTGACAGGACATAAGTTACGTGCAGGTGAGCCTCAAAGATATCAAAGCAGTGTGGCTTGTGAGACAGGCAACCTCTCTGGGCCTCACAGAGGATAAGGAAGCCCAGCCTTTCTCCCCCCAGGGGCACCTCAAGGACCAAATGATGAACTGGGGTGAAAGCGCCCCGAGAAGCAGGAAGCTCTGCCGACACAAGATGTTCCCCCACAACACGACCCACGCCAGGGGTTACCCTATGGGCTGGAGGGAGGGAGGAGCTGAGTGACTTTCAGTCTCTCTCTCTCCCTCCCCCTCCCCTTGCCCTCTCCCACGCACACACTTCACTGGAAGCGTGGAGCCGTGGGGGAAAGAATGCAGTCTCCCTGAAGTTCAACACTGCCCCTTCCCCACCCCGCATCCAGCCTCTCCTCTCTCTCCAGATTCTCAGCCCAGACCTCCAAATGAAGCCTGGGAGAACTGGCAGGGGAAGGGCCAGAGCGGTAGTCTGACCGATTTTCTGATGTTTTTAGCCAACCCCCCCCCCCCCGCGCCACCTCTCTCCAGTTCTGCTTTAGTAAAAATGAAGGCAGACATGGAAGAGTGGGATTCCAAGCTGATTTAGAGAGTGGGAAACACAAACACACATAAAGTGTTAAACACAGGCCCGTCCTGTGCTCAGCACTTCACCGGGAGGGCTCATTTAATTCCCACACAACACCCCCAATAGTAGATCCTACTGTCCCACTTTGCAGGAGAGAGAACCCAGGCCATAAGAGGTAAATTCCCACATCTAGTGAGGGAGGAGCCTGGATTTTAATGCTTGCAGCCTGGCTCCTCCCTGACCCTGGCACACTGGTCTTTTGCTGAACTTTCCCTCTAACTGGATTGGGGGAAGGCAGGAAAAATCCCAATCCTCTCCCACAGAGCCTCAGCCAGTGATCTGCTTCCCGGATGAGGAGGGCGGCCCCGCAGCCCAAAGCAAAGCCAGCCCCAAGGCTACCGTCCCTCCAGCCTCCTCGCAGCTCCCCAACAGCCCAGACTCCCTGGCCCTCCGGACTGGAGGTGCTTCCTAGGGAAACTCAGGTGAGTGTCACTCCCTCTCAGGGAAGAAGGAATGCGGCTTGAAAGCAACTGCTTTTCCTACATGATCCTCAGATGTTCCCAGAGATGAATTAGAGGGGTGTGCATGTGTTGCACATATTTGTTTGTGTGCGTCTCACACTCAGAGCCCAAATTGCAAAACAGAGCAAGAGCCTCCTGAGAAAGGCCGCGTGAAAGGGCTGCGGTGTGAAGCGCCAGGAGTAAGTGCAGGCTTGAGCTGGCCCACCAGAGGCTGGAGAAGGGTGGGCCTGGCCCCACCAGGAGGAGGTCTGCTTGGGCACAAACACTTCTGGTCTCTCCCACCCTGAGGCCCCTTAACAAAGTGTCTCTGCTCTTGGGTCAAAGCTGACAAGTGAGCTCTGTACTATTTGCTCACAGTCTGAATGTGTATCTTCCCTTTCTTGCCTCTTCACTCCTAGAATCTTCTCCCAAAGCCTCCTGGTCCCAGTGACCTGCTACCTGGGGGACACAAAGCTGTCACCTAAGTCTCCTTTCTCTTCTAACCCTCTCTTCTCCCCGCCAGGCATTTTCCTAATGTCAGTCACAGGCAGCATGGAGTCCGGCCCCTCCAAGGGGGTCACTGCGGAGCCTGACTATGACATTGGAGAGATCCACAACTGGACTGAGCTGTTTAACTTCTTCAATCACACTTTTTCTGAGTGCCACATTGAGCTCAGCGAAAGCACCAAGCGAGTGGTCCTCTTTGTCCTCTACCTGGCCATCTTCGTGGTCGGGCTGGTGGAGAACCTCCTGGTGATCTGTGTCAACTGGCGCTACTCCAGCCGGGCAGGGCTGCTGAGCCTCTACATCCTCAACATGGCCATAGCGGACCTGGGCATCGTCCTGTCTCTGCCAGTGTGGATGCTGGAGGTCACGCTGGACTACACCTGGCTCTGGGGCAGCTTCTCCTGCCGCTTCACCCACTACTTCTACTTTGCCAACATGTACAGCAGCATCTTCTTCCTGGTGTGCCTCAGCATTGACCGCTACATTACCCTTACCAATGCCTCTCCCTCCTGGCAGCGCCACCAGCACCGAGTGCGGCGGGCGGTGTGTGCAGGCGTCTGGGTGCTCTCAGCCATCATCCCGCTGCCCGAGGTGGCCCACATCCAGCTTGTGGAGAGCTCTGAGCCCATGTGCCTCTTCATGGCACCTTTCGAGACCTTCAGCACATGGGCCCTGGTGGTGACTCTGTCTGCCACCATCCTGGGCTTCCTGCTGCCTTTTGCTCTCATTGCAGTCTTCAACGTGCTGACGGCCTGCCGGCTCAGGCGTGCGGCCCGGCCTGAGGGCCGGCGCCACTGTCTGCTGATGTGCGTCTACATCACAGTCTTTGCCGTATGTTGGCTTCCCTACCACACGACCCTGCTGCTGCTCACATTGTACGGGACCCACATCTCCCTCCACTGCTACCTGGTTCACCTGCTCTACTTCTTTTATGACGTCATTGACTGCTTCTCCATGCTACACTGCGTCATCAACCCCATCCTTTACAACTTTCTCAGCCCGAGCTTCAGGGGCCGGCTGCTGAGCGCTGTGGTCCATTACCTTCCCAAGGTCCAGGCTGGGGCAGGCAGACGCGCTTCCTCTTCCTCCTCCTCCACACAGCACTCCATCGTCATCACCAAGGAGGGTGCCCAGCCCACCACAGCAGGCCCCCACCACCATCCCAGCCTGGACTGCCAGGCACCGAGTACTTCACCCATCTCCACTGCTCAGTCTCTTACATCCAGCTGAGGTAGAGTTCAGTCTCCTCCCTCTGTGAAGTGGAAAGCTGGAATTGTAGGTGAGAGATTTGGGGGGAGCAGGGGAAAGGGTCAAAGCATCATGCATGGTCAGTTTTGAATTTATCTTGTGTCTTGAGGTGGGGAGAAGGAGAGGGATGGGGGAGATAAAGAACAGGTCCTTGGTGTTGTACTGGTTGTCTCAGGCCTTGTGTCTAAGGCAGACACACAGCAGGGAAAAGGAGAAATAAAGTAATAGAGACAGCCACAACTCTGCATCTCCGAAAAATCTGCTCTTACAGCTGGGGCTGGGGAAACAGCCAAGGCAAAAGGGATGTGCCGCAGAAAAGGCACTCACTGCAGAAATCACCCTGGCCCAGAAAGAGTGAGCTCTGCAGGGACCTCACAAAACTTTCCTTTTGTGTTTGTGTGCTTGTTGATCTGCCAGCACTGCATGCAAGCTGTGGGGACAAGAGGCCAGAGGCCAAGGAACCAGGAGGTCTCAGCAGGACACAGCGCATCCTCACTGCTGCGATAAACGGAGGGGGCGGGGAAGCAGGGACAGGCGAAGCCAGGGTCTGAGCAGGCACCAGCAGCAGGGTTGTCAGGGAGGTTCTCCACCCCCTTCCACCATCCAGGAAACTCTCCATTTCCTTGCTAATACTCTCCCCATCACTTGTCCAGCTCCCCTCCCCCCAGAGCAGAGAAACCACCCCAGTCACTGCTGCTCATTAGCCCATCTCCCTCCAGCTTTGGATGGAGGACATTTCGGATCTAGGTGAGATGCTGTCAGAAATCCGACTCGTCCCTCCCTTTCTCCCCAGATCTTCACAGCACAAAGCAAGGGACACAGACCCTGGGAGCAGGCAGCAACAAGCACTGACAGAAGCTGTCCCTTAGCCTTTATTTCCTGCACAGGACGGGGAAGTGGGAATCTCCCACCTCTGCGACAGGGCAGAGCTCTGGTGTTCTTCGATCAGTTCTCACCCTCATACTTCTTTCTGGCCTAGGCTTTTTTACAATTTATTTGTCCAGCAACTTATTTCTATAAACACTTGTCCTAGAGATAGGAAAAGAAGTCCTCTTGTTGACCTCAAGTAGGTCTTCTGGAAAGGCTCATTTATCAGTTTGGGAAACTAGGACCATGACCATGAAGAACTCTGACTGAAGTAAAAGCCTAAGAACAGGTTCAAGTCCTTAGCCTCTTAACCCTGCCTGTGGAGACAGAAGGGCTTGTGGACAGAACCACTGAGAGCCTCTGTCCTGCTCAGTGCTCCATGTCTGGAATGTTTAACTTGGAATAACTCATCAACCTGGAGCGCTGTCTCCTCTGCTCTTAGAAAACTGAAACTGGCCCTGGCTGGCGTAGCTCACTGGATTGAGCGCGGGCTGCAAACCAAAGTGTTGCAGGTTCGATTCCCAGTCAGGGCACATGCCAGGGTTGCAGGCCACGGCCCCCAACAACCGCACATTCATGTTTCTCTCTTTCTCCCTCCCCTCTCTAAAAATAAATAAATAAATCTTTAAAAAAAGAAAGAAAGCTGAAACTGTTCACCAGCTGCATTAAACACGCGCTCCAATGGTGTACACTCCCATCTCTCAGAAGCATGGGGGGAAATCTTTATCCACAGCCCCCTTTACACCAGGCCCAGCCTCAAAGGGTCTTAAGCTACAAACAGCTGCTCGGTGAAATACAGCTGAAGGCTTTTCAACTAGGAGAGTCCAAGCTGGGGTTGCAGTACGGACTCGCCAATATAGGAAATATTATTACAATACACATTACACCTTCTTCCCTTATGCCAATGTGAAAACCAAGCAAAAATCTGAAGCCCATGCCGTCACCTCCTGACCTATGCTCCCGAGTTCCCTAAAGGAAATTCAATTTTGTACCTCTGTCACCTCCCAGGTTACCTCAGAGTCCACTTCCCCAAGACTGTGCTCTTCTCATGGACTTCACTCTGGCAACCAGCTACGACCCTGTTCGCACACTCCCTTAGGGCCTTGGGAGGGCAGGGAACAGCCGTGCTGCCCACAGCCAGGCTGCTCGGCTCAGCCTTTCTGAGCGGGCACAGGGTCCAGGCCCAGGCAGCACACTGAGACCAAATGGACCACATCCTACCTCGACTTCGAGAGGCTTGTCTCCTTCTCTGTGGAGGCACATTTGTTATCAACCTCAGAAAAGGATGCCAAACCTCTGCCTCTGTCCGATCCGCCTCTCCCCGCTCCAACGTGCCACGTCACATTGAGTTCCATGGCACTGTCAAGACAATCTGTGGCCAAATCTCAAGGCCAACTAGACATTAGTAGAGTTCCACTTTGCTCTCTGGACCAACAGAAGACCCCCCTCAGACATGTTCCCCCCCCCAAAAGGTAGGATCATTTACTTAATTTCCCACTAAAAACAGGACATCGAGTTAACCCTGGGGAATTCCAGCTACAGGAAAGTGTGCTTGCTACCTAAAGAACCCCGCGGAGGAGCGAGCACAGCTACTGCCCGGGCCGCGGCCCCCACGCTCTGAACTCAGGGACGTGCATGACCACGGTGAAAGGAAAAGAACTCCCATTTCCAATTTCCTTTTTTTATTCTAAATAAAAACCACACTTTGTGCTGAACAATGGAATATAAAAGAATCAGATGTACAACGATTTTAGACATCTACTATTTGGGAAAAAAAGTTTACAAAATATACAAAACTTTACAGCAATAGATAGTAAACACTTAAATATTAGGAGGTCAGTACTTATTAATTTAATGGAAGGAGTCAGACAGCGATAGCTCTTCTCCATTTCGTGAGAGACTTCAGCTAGTGGCGTTGGAGGGGCGGGTGGACTGGAGAGGGAAGGGGTGTCAAAGAAACACTGAAACCCAAACAGCCTCATTTCCATCCTGATGTCAGGTTTACAACGAGCAACCACACTGAAATGAACACTGTTGCCCCTCTTCCTGACACAGTCAGCACAGGGTTTAGGAAAAAGGCCGTGTAGCAACTCCTAGACGGGCATAGACTTCTCCACATGGCCCACCCCCATGCCAGTAAAATCAGTGTGCGTCTATAAAGGGACTGGAATTCACTTTCACAGTTGTGTAGCCTGGGAATATAGGGCACAGCAGGAGGCCAGAAGAGGAAGAAAAATCATCAGTAGCAAAACCCGACTGGGGAGGTATTTAAGCCTAAAGGCTTATCCTGGAGACAACAGGGTGATGACAGGTCAGCAGAGAAGTGAAAACAAACTGTTACCCATTTTCTGGTTCTTAGGGGTCACCTGGGCCACAGCCCCATCCCCACCTCCTTTCTTCCCAACTGACCTTGAACTACAAACTCCATGGAGTCTTAAAATTCAGAACCAAATATGAGGGTACAGCAGGGCTTCTGGGCGGGTGCGGTGGCAGCAGGAGCCAGCAGGGGTCACAGAGGAGCCAGGACAGGACCCCCTCCTCTAGGCCCCAGCAGCTCTGCTCTCTGTCCCCGTGTGCCACTCGAGGGCCACCCTCTTCCCCTAGGAAATAGGTTGAGAATAGCCTCACGCTTGGTTTAATGTCCTACAATTGCCATCTTGAAATGCTTAGTAATTTTTAAACAAAGGGCTCTGCCAATTATGTAGCCAGCTGGAGTACAGAACAAGAGAAAGGAGGAAAAGGGAGAAGAAAAGACATTCAAGGGTCAAACTGCATCTTGGAACAGTACAGCAGGAAACAGCGCTAAACTGGGTTCTGGGGCAGAGGGCGCAGCAACATCAAATGAACAGACGTTTACCAAAGAAAAAACTCAAAATAAAATCAATACCTTCCACTAGGTATCCTAGAGTGCCCTTTGCCACAACGTAGGGTTTCAAGTAAAACAGTTCAGAACAGGGTGAGCCAGAGGCAGAGGCAGCAAACAGAGGTCCCAAAGAGAGGGAAGTTCGGGTGTGAACCGCAGGGGACACAGAGGAGCAGGGTCTGGTCAATGAGCCTTGCGAGCCGCTGACCCTGCTCCACGTCTGACTGCGACCAGCCGGACCACCCGATCAGCCTCTTGGCCTCAGGAGGATCAGGGGGAGCAGTTTCTTTGTTTAGTTTCAGGGCAAAGTTTCAAGGATTTGCTTTTTGGTTTACTGGCAAAAAGGGAATACTTCACAGTTTCAGGTTAAATATACAGACTACCCAGCATCCAGGATGCCCTCTGTTAAGGGAAAGGGTTTCTCCAGGATCTTAACCCTGGCTAGGTTCCAGTACCACCTCTCTCAAATCTGGTCATTAAAAAAATCAGTCCTACCCTGACTGGTGCAGCTCAGTGGATTGACGGTGGGCTGCGAACCAAAGGGTCACTAGTTCGATTCCCAGTCAGGACACATGCCTGGGTTGCGGGCCAGGTCCCCAATACAGGGCACTCAAGAGGTAACAGTGATGTTTCTCTCCCTCTCTTTCTCCTTCTCTTCCCCTCTGTCTAAAAATGAATAAATAAAATCTTTTAAAAAAATACTAAAAAAAAAAAAAAAATCAGTCCTTACCAACAGCCTGGGAGGGATCACTCAGGCTTGAAAAGCTTAGCAGACACTCGACCCTCATCTTTTACATATTTTCCTTCTTAAATTTCTAATGGTCAGTGTGAGAAAGAGAGAAGCCAGCCAGGGATGGAAAGTCTCAGCACTGCTTTCCTGACAAGTATGTCTGAAGAAGATTTAACAAGCTGGGTTTAGATGGTGAAGGTGCCACTCGTACAAATCCCTTTATGTAACGGCCACCGCACCAGAGAGCCACACACTCAACTCAGAGGCTTTATAAGCTTAGGGCTGGGGAGAGAGGCAGCAGGTCCACCAAAGACAGAGCTTTGGTTTGCCTGTATATCTTAATGCAGCTTTCCGAGTTTAGGAGCAATGAGAAAATGTGCAAAAAGGTCCTTCATGTGACTGGATCCGCTCAGCCCAGGCCCCAATCTCCCCATCACAGGGTGGAAGGAGGACGAAAGGCCTAGGAATTTCACAAGCCCCAGCTTCCTAGAGCATACGTCCATTGCCTGAAAGGTCCTCTGGGTCTATTCTGGAAGAGCCTATCTGGAGAGAAAGGAGAGAATTTGCTTATTTAAAGGCATGACACGTTCTCTCCCAGTTCTGGCCTATTTCCCAAATCTCTGGCCGGGACTGTCCCCTGGAACATGGCTCCTTGCTGGAGAGAAACTCATTTTCCTGAAGTCTCTTATCCAAAAGAGATGCTGGGTAATATGCATACAAAAATAAAAATAAATAAATATTAACGTCAAAAAAGGCTTTGTGAGTTCATTAAAACCACTTGCTTGTGAAACAGCCCCGGGTGCTGCTGAGTCCCACGAGGGGCAGTGTCAGGGCCCAGGCCGGGGCCTCCCACAGCACGCCTGAGCGGTGAGGTAGTATGAGGTACTGAGGTGAGCCAGTGAGGATGCGAGACAAAGGGCCCTCTCACTCAAGCCTTCTTTGGGCAAGACCCCCTCAAAAGTCAACTAAGAACAAAACAGCTTGGGCTGGGCAGAAACGTTTCCCAGACACCTAGGGAGGGCCTGAACTAGGGGCCAACAAATAGAGCCCCCTGGTGGCAATGCAAAGACAGATCAGGATAAATTCCAGCAGGTCAAAAGTTAGCTGCCAAAGCTCCTGCCCAGCTGCACAAAGTAAACAACAGGTTACCCAGATGGGCCAGAGACACATTCCACCACACACCACCAGTCACTCGGTCCCTTTAATCCTGTAGGGCTCCCAGTCCATCACTCCACCTCACGGGGTCTTCTCATCTACGCTACAGGTCAAACACACATGTAGGTGGGAGACAGGGCGTAAATTAAGGCAAGGCTGCTGCTGTCAGAGACATCCCCACCTCTCCACCAGAAAACTCAAGGTTGACAGAGGTGAGATAACAGATGACTATGTCAAATGGTTCCCTGTCCTCTTTGCCCCACAGGGAAGGCCTGACGTCCTGGGCCGTCACTCCATAAAATCATGTTTCTTTGGAATTGAGAAGAGAAACCTCCCTTCCTGTCCATCCAGGCTGACACTGAAGGACCTCTTCTGGCTGGCAAGGAATCATCCCAAAGCTTTCTGGTCTAAACAGAAAGCCTAGTCCCCAGTTTGGATCTAGCTTCCACAAGACTTTACTCTCCAACCAGCAGATAGACTAGAGCTGTGGAATAAGCAGGCACCTCTATCCCTGATGCCTTTTCCCTGCTGAAGCTTGGGACCGGAACCTGGAGTGGGCTGCCCTCTGACTAGTCTTTTCTGAATGAACACATTGCCAAAATCTCTCACAGTCAGTTGTCTCAGTGGGAGATCTGGCGGTTACACCCACAGCGAAAACCTCTCTCCACCTCCTCTATTCGGTGAGGCTGTTGGTTGGATTCCTAGCAGCATACGACTCGCAAGGCTGGAGAAGGGGATCTAGCTGACACCAACCGCCTGATGAGATCCCAAGACCGGCCTCAAAAGAACCGAAAACACAGCCCTTCGTGGGCAAGAATGGGAAAGGAGGTAAACATGATAGGGCCATTGCTTCTCAAAAACATGTGCTATTTCTTCTTTTTTCTTCTTTAAACACAAGACAGGGCAGAATTCCTACCAAGGCAAAGTTGTAACTTCAGTTGGGGTGGGAGCAACAGCCATTAGAAAATTAATGTCCTGGCTGCCACCTGGGAGCTCTCCTTGGCTCTGCTGCGACCCAGTCAGCTGTCCGGGTTCTTTTCCGCCTCTTTGGAATGGATAATGTACATGAAGGTCTGCTCAATGGTGAAGTCAGGCGGAAGGCTGCCTTTGTGCACGCCGACGTGCTTGCTCATGAGGTTAAGGGTGGAGCTGTAGTGGCCACAGACTGTGCAGCGATACATGAGGGCCCCTGAATGTGTCTTCAGGTGGCACTTGATAGTTGAGCGGCCTCGGAAGAACTTGTGGCACACCTTACACTGGTACGGCTTCTCGCCTGTGTGGATCCGCCGGTGGTAGTTAAACTCGCTTGTGTGGGCAAACCTCTTGCCACAGACTTTGCAGCTATATTTGCTGTTCCCAGGTTGGCCCTGTAGAGCCAGCTCCTCGCTCAGGAGTTCCTCCGCTGGCAGCTTCCGCTTCTGGAGAGCTGACTGCTGTATCCCAAAGCCAGGCCGCGGATCAAGGCCACTGTTGCATTTGTGCTGGCTGACGTGGTAGCGATAGGCAGCCTCTGACTTGAAGCTCTGGCTACACAAGTGGCAGCGGAAGAGGGTGTCTTCCAGGCTCTGGTGCACAGCCATGTGCTTCTCTAGGAGATGCCAGTCCACAAAGCTGTTTGCACAGACGGAGCAGGAGAAGACTGAAATGCCGAGATGGGAGAGCATGTGCCACATGAGGCTGCAGAGGTTGAGGTGGCGCTGGTCACAGACACTGCAGGCCTGGCCTTTCACGTTTAGGTGGTCGAGGATGTGGCCCCGGACCATGTGGAAATCTTTGGCCAATGCCTTCCCACAGGCAGCACACTTCAATTCTGCAGAGCCAGCCCCTGAAAACAAACTCAGCTTCCCAGGCAGGGGATCATTGGGGTGGACAATGATGTTGTTCTCAAATATTCCATCCCGTCGGTGGAGGGTCAGCTGCCACTGGGTAAAGAATTTAGTTTCACACATGTCGCAGGAGAAGAGGAAAATACCAATGTGAGACAGAACATGGGTCACCCGGGAGTTTCGGTCCTGGAAGTGGGTCTCACATACCTTACAGTTGCCTGTCAACAGGTCCACGTGGTCTCGAGCATGCTGTCGAATCAGTTGAATGTTGGGCTCTAGAACTTTCTTGCACACCTGGCAGGGCATGGCCTTATTCTCTCGGTTGTCATTCTCTCCAAAGGTCAGCTCATCCTCACTGTCGTCACTCAATTCAATCACCTCCTCCGCTGTCCCTATGTCCTCAGTGGGGTCTTCAAATTGCAAGTCATCATCCCCCAGGTCCTCCAGCTGGAGCTCATCTATCTGCTCAAAGGCTGGATCTTTGGAGTGGTCGCTGTTGCTCAGACAGGAGTTGGTCCCAGTGGTAATGTCTACTGCATTGTCAGGGGAGAAGAAGCTGTTTTTACTGAAGTCTCCATTGCTCTGAAGTTTGTATGGCTGGCAGGAGCTCGTGCTGGTTTGGATGCCCATGCTGACAGTGCCTAGGACTGGCTGGGTCACCACATTAGGTACAGACGTGAAAGGAGCAGGGTTACCACGGTCTTCCGTCTTTGATGGCAGCGGCTGCTGTGGCAGAGGCAGGCCATGGTTAGTGTCACTGGTAACATTTCTCTCTTCTTCTTTATAGTTTCCTCCAGCATCGCTAGGTAAGACATAGTTTCTTTCAGGACCAAAGTGCTCCCCACTGCCCCGGAGTTCTCCAAGGGGATGGGCAGGTTCTGCTGAGCTATAACTCAGCGTGCCAGAGTGGCTCTCACTGGTGCTGGTCAGGGGGTTGGCCACGGCCGTGCTCTCCAGGTCAGGAAAGGTGGAATGACAGGCCCGGAGGAGGTCCTCCATACCCAGACGCTCGGCTACCTCGTAGATAACCCCAACATTGATCAGGTCCGTGAAAAGCTCCGACGTGTAGACAAAGCTCAGAATCTTCTCAAAGTTGGCAGGGGTGATAAAGTCTACCACATAGGTCCTGGCAGCATCAAGCCCAGTATTTAGGAAGAGGTTTTGGAAGTAGCCAGCTGCACAGGCCAGCACAGCTTTGTGGGCCGGGAAGGAGCGACTCCCCACCACAATGGTGACGTCGCACATGGTCTCTGAGAGCCGACACTTGTTGAGTTCCTTCAGCAGGTTGTTGGGGTGGTTGGTACTTTGCAGTTTGATCCTCATGCCCATCTTAGCAGCTCCTACGAAGTTGCCTCCTTACCAGCACGGTTAATCTGTGAACTGCAAAAGGAAAAAATGGATGGCCAAACACATCCCTGCAAGCAAGGCACTCTGCAGGAGAAAACAGCACCAGTCTGAGAATTTCAAAGCCCAAGGTAGGGAGCGGAGTGAATAGACACGGAGAGCTGCTCCATTCTGCTGAGAGCAAGGACAGCAAAATAACAGAACAATGACCTTTCCCCCTGCACATAACCAAAAAGAGTTGTCATGACAAAAGCCAAAACCACTGAAAAAAACCTGACAGCTCAGTCTTTAAGATTCAGTAAGAAAGGCTATAGGCCTGGTTGGACAGAAGCTAGTGCCTTATAGCCAAGCCAGAGGTATCCTCACAGATGCTATCTTATACCTCATTTCCGGAACAAATGTCCCAAATCTTTCTCATGTTAATTCCCTAATTTCCTCCTATCTTATTGGGTACACTCTCTTCCTTACAATGTCATGTCATATGCTTATTTGAACACAATTAATCAAAGCTAAGAAAAAGATAAGGATGCTCCTTCCACCTTTTAGTTTTTTAGCACTGCTGTGTCCTTTCAGATCCTAGATAAATCTCTTCCTCATTTTTGAGTTCCTATCTTTTCCTACCTGTACTACCTGCCTAGTCTCTTGTCTCCACAACCCAGAGCCACTCCGATACTACTCTAGCGCATTCTCTGCGAACTGTGATGAAGTAAAAATACTTCAGAACCCAACGGAGTAAAAGCAAAGTAGAACACAAGTGTGGTACTTAATAATGCTTAAATATGCTTTATTTCTATATACCACCCTTTCCGGGATTTATACTAATGTCGACCAGAACTAAGAGATATACCTGTTGCCATAAGAAGACATCTACGGTAATTGTATAGGTAAGACTCCTAAAAAGCTTGCTCAATACTACTTTCCCCCCTTTGAATCTTGAATGCCCAAGGAAGAGAAGACCAGTAACATTCTTCTGTCTCACTTTTCGTCCTGCGCAACACAGTCCCCTGCACCTCACCACACATTCTACTAACTCCCAACTTTTGCCGGGGCCCAGAAAGCTTCTGAGCATTGTTTAGGTGCCAGCCAAGCAGCTCCCAGGCCCTGGTGGCCACGCATCAACGGTCAGCAGGTCGGGGCTCTAGGAAGCCTGACTAGGGGCCCGAGAGGGACAGATTCGCAACTTCCAAGAAGGTACCCCAACAATCCCGTGGTGCCGCAGTCTTCCCTCTGGAGGTCGAATCCGAGAGGAAGGGCGTTGGATCGGGCTAGGGCACTCCATCTGGGCGGCACCGAGCACTTTGGTCTCTCCCCAAAGAGCCGCGATTCCACGGACGAACTCCGGGAGGGACGGAGGCACGCAGGGCGCAGGGCCGCCCGGAGGCCAGGGATGGGCAGCGGGGTCAGGCAGGGTCGACGCGCGGTCCGGGAGGTTGGGTCCCGCCGAAGGGAGCGGGCAGGAGGGAGCCCAGTGAGAGCGAGAAAGGCCAGGACAGGGGTCGGGCCTCGGCCAAGGACAGCCCTCGGCCGGGCCGCGCTTACCCGACTCCGCTGGGCCTGAGTACCATCGCCACAGCCACCTCACACAAAGGCCCCGGCCCGCCGTGCCCGGCCCGACAAGGAGGCGGCGCCGCCGGCCACGGCCAGACTCTCCATCCGCTGCGCTGCTCGCAGTGCCGGCCCGGGCCGTCCCCGCTGCCCGGCCCGCAGCGCCCCCCGCCGTCCCGGAGGAGGCAGCGCCCCCCCGCCGCTCGACCGCAGCGCCCCCCCATGGTGGGACCTGGAGCGAGGTGGGCGGGGCGCAAAGCCACAGAACCAACAAGCTGGCAGCTGGTCCCAACGAGGCCAGGAATCCCCGTCGCGGAGCTGCCTCAATTTATGCCCTGGCCCTGGGCCTGCCCCGTGTGAGCTGTTGTGGGGGCGTTTCCAATCCCCTCCACCCCCCAAGTCTGGCTTTTCGAAAGCACTAATCCACCAGGTGGAGGACCACTCCTTCCTCCCGCTGGTACCTGGAGAAGCAGAAAAACCCCTATCCCACTCGAAGCTCTTATCGCCTCCGCTGTTCTATGGCTCTCCCTCCTCAATACATAGGAATCTCTCAAGCTCCAGGACCCTTCTGTTTCAGCCTCTCTCCTGTCTCATCCTACCACTGCCCGGTGATAGGCAGCCAGGCCTAAACTCTCATACAGGGATACAGTAGGGCTTAGTATTTCCTGGATGGATGAGTGGAAAGAGGGGGACACACAGGATGATGCCAGCTGATCTAAGCCAGTTTGGCTGGTTAACAATCATCAGTTATTTCGATGAATTTGGGAGATTGTGTGTCCCCTTTTCCACTCTCACTAACTGGTGGTAGATTATGCTGAAAGCAAACATTCTACTAAATGCTGCCAAACATGTAATATTTATTAGCACGGGGATACAAAAACTGCCATACAACCTGTTCTTGTAGTTTGGGAGCAGGCAATCCAGTCAGCTCTCTGGTGAAAGGATCAGCTGGAGACTGATACATGTTGCAAGGCAGGCCCGACCCCTGCAGCTGAGGCCACCAAGTGCTCCTGAAGTGGAATATCTTACAACCAACAAACTCCAAACCTCCAGCATGACTCTGAAGCATTAGGCTGCAAGACTTGCAAGAGTCCTGGACCTGTTCAATCTTTCTAACCAACTGCATTAACCATCTGTTAAAGACAGACAGACAGACAGACAGACAGACAGACAACAGACGCCAAATGGAGTCACTTGTGCTAAGTCCACATTAACAACCAAAACATAATACCTAACCGAACTGCAGTTTCAGCCTCTCCCAGGAATGTAATCCTAACCGGTCAGTCTGGAATTTCCCGGTCAGCACTCGTGAGGCAATCTGCCTGATAGTCCGCTGCCCCGGCGGGCGGGAGGGGGGAGGGGGGACAGAGGAAGGTGGCCTTGCTACAATACTCAACTCTGCTGACTCACTTCCTTGTCCCACCCCCTTTTTGCCTTTAAGGCCTTTCCTTTTCTACAGCTCTTTTTTGCTTCTTTCTATTTGCTACATGGGATTAGTTGCCTGATTTATAAATTTTTTAATAAAGCCAATTTGATCTTTGCATTTATTTGGCTGAATTTTGGTTTTTAACAGTGGCAGCTCTGCATCAGGCAAATCTATCAGCGCCATTTTGCCAACAGATTCAGAAAACAATTAGCATTTTTTGGCAATAAAGTATTTTTTAATTAAGATATGTACATTACTTTTTTAGACATAATGCTACTGCTCATCTAATAGACTACAGTATAGTGCGAACATAACTTTTATATGCACTGGAAAACCAAAAATATTCCGTAACTCGCTTTATTGCAATATTCACTTAATTGCAGTGGTCTAAAATAAAACCTGTAATATCTCCAAGGTATGCATGTATATATTTGGTCTTCATACCTGTTCCAGACAGAGTTCCTAAAAAACCTTGGAGTTTCCTAAGAGATTCAGAGCTGGAAAGATGTCTTCTATTATGTTAATGAGTGACTTTTGAAGTGGATGTAAGGATGGGGGCTGGTTGCCAGAAGGCTTGAGCTAGAAATAAATGCTAATGATTTATTCAAGGATCTTAGGGTTTACAAACCATAAACACAACTAGGCAATACCCAGAGTATTCTGAAGAAGAAAGAAAAGCTAAGAGTTCTCATGAGCGCAGGCCTGCGAACCAGAAGGTCACCAGTTCTATTCCCAGTGAGGCCACATGCCTGGGTTGTGCACCAGCGTGAGAGGCAACCAATCAATGTTTCTCTCACACGCACATAGGTGTTTTTCTCCCTCTCTTTCTCCCTCCCTTCCTCTCTCTCTAAAAATAAAAATTAATTTAAAATCTTTTTTTAATTATTATTTTTTAAGATTTTATTTATTTTTATTTTTAGAGAGGGAAGGGAGGGAGATATAGAGAGAGAGAGAGAAACATCAATGTGCGGTTGCTGGGGGTTCTGGCCTGCAACCCAGGAACATACCCTGGCTGGGAATCGAACCTGGGACACTTTGGTTCCCAGCCTGTGCTCAATCCACTGAGCTACGCCAGCCAGGGCTCAATTTAAAATCTTTAAAAAATTTTTTTTAACGTACATTCTTGAGAAGAATCAGCCTGGTGTTCTTAGCCTCTGGATTGGTCCAACATGTTATTCCTCTAGATGACCAGTGGTCTGGATAATGGATGTCAGGTGGTCTTGATATGTGAATAATCTATTCTTAGTCTTTTGGGGGAGTAATTAGACAGTTATTTGGAGGTTTGGTGTACATCAGGCATTGACAAAGGACTGAAAAGTTCAAAAGTTTTACTTTTCAGTCTAGTTAGAACAAACATAGAATCATTTTCTCATGCCTCAAACTGCTTGATTTCAGTAATTTAGCAGCTTGACTATAGCAACTCCATTTTATTTCTTTACTTTTCCTCAGTGCCTATTGTGGACAAAAAGGGGCCTCACACTGCACCTGACGAGCTCGGGGGAGGCCTGCACCGTGGGCCCAACACACTCAGCAACGGAAAGCAATCACAGAGGATGGTCCGAAAGTAAAACTTTCTGGCTAAAAGCAAGTCATGGCAAGTAGGCATGTCCCAGGCTGGTGTCTTTCTTGACAAAGGTTAATCTTTGACGTAACTGAGCCTGTCTGAGCCTGTCTATTGTCTTTTTGCATCTGCAATAATGTTTCTTGGGAATGTCAGAATAATCCCCCTTTCCCAGACCCTTTGGCGCACACTCTCCACAGGATCATTGTCACCTCACTCACCTGCACACCACCTCTCTGTGCTGTAAACGTTCATTGTTGACTATCCTCTACCCACCAATTAGTCTCCTCATTTTATTTTTTTTTTCTTAAAATATATTTTATTGATCTCTTCTCAGGCTTTTGGCTAAGATCAAGTGTAGTATCTGTTCTTATCAGTTTAAATATATTTTATGGATTATGCTATTACAGTTGTCCCATTCCCCCCCCTCACTCCCCTCTACCCTGCACACCCTCTCCCACCTGTATTTTATCAAATCTCAGAGATTCGCCTGCTTTGCTTTCTCCCACCTCCCTGATCTTTCATCAGTGAATTTCAGGTAACCCTCCTTGCTCCTTCTCCTTTGATTCTAATGCACAAAATAAGGTGCAAAACTGCCATCGTCTGGAGCATTTTCTCAATCTGTTGAGGTTTTGTTTCCCAGCAATTGTTGTCAGTTTGGCTCAAATAAATTCATTAAAATTCTTACAGGTTTGGAAGTTTCTTACATCAACACTATGTAATGAAGCTTCTACAAAAACAAAAATCAAAGTTCAAAGTTCAGAGAGCTCCTGGGTTGGTGAACTCTTGGAGATTCGGGGAGAAGAGAGTTTTGTACTCAGAGAAATCATAGAAGCTCTGTGCCCTTTCCCCATGCCTTCACCTATGCATCCTTTTCACCTGGCTCTTCCAGAGTTATATCCTTTTATAATAAACTGAGAGTAGTTTATTGAACCCAGGCCATAGGTCATGAGAACCTCCAATCTGCAGAAGGTTGGTCAGAAGCAGGGTAACAACCTGATCCTGAACTGACATGTGAAGTTGTGGGGTAATCTTTTCAGGATAAGCCCTTGCCCTGGCTGGTGTGGCTCAGTGGACTGAGTGCCGGACTGCAAACTGAAAGGTCTCCAATCCCATTCCTGGTCAGGGCACATGCCTGGGTTGCAGGCCAGGTGCCCACCTGGGGTTGTGTATGAGAAGCAACTGATCACACATCAGTGTTTCTCCCTCTCTTTCTCCCTTTCTTCCTCCTCTCTAGAAATAAATAAATAAAAGAATAAGCCCTCAACACATGGAATCTGATATTGTATTTGGGTAGATAGTCACAGCATGGCTTGTTGGTGTAGGTCAACCTTCTCCTACACACAGTGGAACTGGGTCCAGAGCCTTTAGTACTGAAGTCTTTTCAAAGTAAATCACCATGGAAGCCCTGGCCATGTAGCTCAGTTGATCAGAGTGTCGTCCCAATACACCAAGGCTGGGGGATCAATCTCCAGCTTGGGCACATACAAGAGTCAACCAATGAATTCATTAATAAGTGGAGCGACAGCTGATGTTCCCCTCTCTCTAAAAATCAATGCGTTAAAAATATTTTAAGCAGCAAAAGGATTTAGGAATTTTGTCTGTGAGAATTGCACACCTACGCAAAGCTAAATGAAGAAGGGCCGTGAATTCATCTGAGGTCTTGGTGACTAGCTGTCCTTAGGCATGAACCTCTGTATATGGACGAGGAGGGCCAGGATTCCTTCACCATTCTCCAAGTACAAAACAGGAGTCTGATTTAAAACGTCTCTCCATTTTCCAGGAGTCCCAGTCCTGCAGTTTTCGTTGGTCCCAGCAGAGAGCGGCCTTTCTGCATTTATGCTCCTACTTGGCAAAGCACTAGTCCTCTCAGCACACTCGTCAGACTCCGGAGTGGGAGTAGAACCAACTGGATGATTTTATGATCCACATAAATTCCCAAGACTGCAAAAAGTAAACCCTCTACACAGATAATTTTGAAAAGACACTAGATGACTCACCAAAGAAAGCCTTGAGGATCTGAAGTGAGGACATCCTTTGACCTCTAGCAATAAATGTGACGCCAAAGATGCTGAGTTGAGCTCTTCTTCCTCCCCAGCCCCACGGCACAGCTCTGAGTCCAAAGTTGCCCCAGCCAGGTTCTGGGAAGAAAGAACTCTCACTGGCCTGAAGGAACTGCAGAAAGTGGTGTCTGGCTCCATGGCCCTGTCTTTATGCCGCCTTGAGAGAGCTGAATGTTGGGTAGTTCAGAAGCTTGGCCAAGGCCCCTGCTCCAGGCTAAAACAAGAAGCTTGAGGACTTCCCAGGCTGTCATTAGGACACAGAAGTCCCCTTGGGACCAGTGGGCTGTGATAGCACATCAGTTTAATAAAAGACACCCATATACACCTCATTGAAGTGCCTTGTATACTGCAGACCTGCTATATGCTGGTAACAATAGCATTATAGAAGAATTTTTTTTAAAGATTTTATTCATTTATTTTTAGAGAGAGGGGAAGGGAGGGAGAAAGAGAGGGAGAGAAACATCAATGTGTGGTTGCCTCTCATGTGTCCCCTACTGGGGTCCTGGCCTGCAACCCAGGCATGTGCCCCAACTGGGAATTGAACCGGCTACCCTTTGGTTCACAGGCCCATATTTAATCTACTGAGCTACACCAGCTGGGCCGCATTATAGAAGAATTTCAAATAAATGTTTCTCTTTATAGTAACTAAGGTGGTCAATGAACACTCAAAATATCTGCTCCCTTCTTTCTCAGCTGCTTCAGTAATTTCCCCATCCACGCCCCATCCTAGCAGGATCAGAGTGGTTTGTGTGTCCATGGCTTTGCTAGACTAAAAAGTCTGTGTAGGGGTCACCATCTCATCTCCATGACCTGTTGTTTCAGGACCCATGCTTGACATCTGGGGACAGAATAATGACACGGTGCTAGAGATGCATCCTCCTCTGTGGCTGGATCTTTGCACAGCCTTGATACCCACCTCCCTCCTCTGAACAGAGTCAAGTTCAGCGATTGGTGTCTCCCACGCCCATCCTAGAAGTACAGATAAGCCCTTCAGGATATCTGTTTTTTCTTTATCTGAAGCTAGTCTCTGAAATTCTTGGAGTGCTAGAAACCATCTTCCAAATTCATTTATCTGTTCTTTTAATCACTAAATAATTTTCTGATACTAATTGTATGAAGCACTGAGTAAGACACTGTTGGAAAAAATTATGCATACAAAATACTTTCATTTATATATGATATGTTTGTATGTGTGCATATCCTATATAAGCATGTACATATATAAGCATATACATATGATGTAGTTGGGAGAGTTAAGGAAGAGAAAAAAAACACCCATCCACCAGACAAAAACATACATCACTCCAGGTCATATGTAAAAATCCTTTATTGTTGAGGAAGCCAGGGCAGTCTACAGTCCGTGCCGGGTGGGGCAGGGGGTGCTCACTATGCAGTTTCTACATCAGCGCTGGGGAGAGGGGTGGGAAAGGGGTCTAAGCGGAGGAGTGTCACAAGGCTGGGAAGAGCAAGGGAAATAGGAGTGCATGCACCTGGGGATTCGGAGAGGGGGGCAGGCTGTCTGCATGAAGCAGCCCAGGAGTCCAGGAACGGAGTGCTGAGGACAGAAAAATGAAGTCACATCTTCTGTCCTGTCAAACTCCCACCAACCACCCGCTGGGGAAGCAGAAAGAGAAGGGGAGGGGCATCTGTACAGGAAAAGGAGAGAGAACAGAAGTCTTAGGCAAAGCTGTCCCTCAACCTTTGAACTAGAGGACTGAACTCTCCTAGCTGCAGGTGCCAGCACCCTTCCAGCCGTGTGTTTCTAACGCTACTTATAAACATCTGTGCTCGTGGTCGGTGGGAGCCCATGTGAAAAAAAATGTAGCAACAAAACAAAGTTCCTGTTATCTTAGCATGCCCGTGAGCCAGGCACACAATACACACAGCCCCATCCAGTGCACCCTGGTGCTAAGGCTCCCCCAGCCTCCCCCAGACCCCCTCATCTTCCCAGAACCCCCACCCTGCCATTCCCCACTCCCCAGCAAGAGCAGGCCCAGGGATCACTTCCTTTTTCAGCAGTTTCACATGAATAAAATAAGATGATAAAATGATCTTCATTAGATGACTCTAATCTCCTTTAAATGCCAGCCACCGAGGACCTTATGTCCTAGTCTTCCTGGCACCTAACAGGTTGAGAATGCTCCATCAGTGGTGAGATTGTGAAGGCTGCAATTATACGCCTGGTCCCTCTGAAAGAACCTAGATTCACCAGCAAGCAGTAAAAGTAGATTTCCACAATGCACTTGTTTCTGCTATTTGTATAAAATACTATAGCAAAATTGCACTGTAATTATCTTTATGGCTGATGCATAACGCTGGGGGAGAGTATGTCATCCAGATATAGTTGCCCGTATAATTATCTGGCGGTCGGCAGGACTGAAATAACCATCTAATGAGAGCAAAATGATATGGTAAGTACCATGTAATCAGCGAGTTACGATTATTACGGCTCTTTGCACCCTCTCACCTAACACTGAATGGGGGCCAGGCCCCGTCTCTGGGCTCAGGGAGTCATGCACAGGCAGTTTCATTGAGAGCCAGCTCTTGCTCCTTGGAGCTCCCTTGAGACCAATGAGTGTGGGTAATAGGGACACAGGGAGAGAGGCAACTGTCCCTTTGTGATAACTGAGGTTTCTGAATGCCTGTCCTTCTCTCCCCCACCGCCCTTCTTTGGAACTCAGTCGAGCCGCTATTGCCATGCATGGGAAGATGATGCCCGGGTGGAAGCCTCGGTGTTTTGACTAGACACTTCCCCAGGGGACTCACACTTGCATACCAAGTGAGAGATCCGTCAGCCCACTCAGGCCAGGGCTCAGCCCAGACCGCTCTAGGCAGACAGACCAGAGCCAGCCAGGGAAACACAAGCACGTTCCCCACACCTCCCAGACCACAAGTCGTACCAAAGCCAACGCAGAGCGCTGTGTGCCCAGTGCTGTTCCGAATGATGGACCTGTACTCAGTCCTCAGGTCCACAGGTTCTATTATCACCCCCATTTTTCAGATGGGTAAACCAAGGCACAGGGGGTGTATGTGACCTGACCAAGGGAACACAGCCAGGGAGGGATTCAAAGTCAGGCCACGCTCTTGCCCATTACGCTATACGGATCAACTAAGATAAAGGTTCTGGCCACCCTGCCCCATGAGATTTCAAGAGTCCCTTGCATTTCTTCCTAAACCACTCCTGCATAGAACTACACATGGACCCAGTAGAGGAGATTCTGAATAACCTAACACCTAACGGTTCAGCCTACCTGGGAGGCAAAACACTTCACCTGTGAATTGGATGTGATAACTAACTATCAGGAGATGATCTCCCCATCTTTGGCACAAATCGGGAAGAGGACAGAACCCAGACAACAGAAGTTGCCCCTCAGAGAAGCAGCAGGGGGCAGAGATGAGATGAAAAGGGGGCCGTGTGCACATGTGGTCACAGATGAGCAGTCCCTCTGAGTGGCGATGTGTCTGGCAGTGTGCTGGGCACTGGCAGTGTATTTTAGGGCGAGTTTATGTGCATTAAAGCCTGCAGCATCATAGGAAATGCTTGTCTGGAAACCCCCACCCCCAGTCCGTCTCCTCTCCCTGACCAATCACCCCTACCTCATTCCACATTGCGGGGATACTCGAGGCTGCCAAAGCCAGGGACGCTCTCCCGGTTCACACCGATAGGGGTGTCTGGGGTAAAGTAAACCGTGTAGTTAGAATTTTTCTGAATGTAACCTTCGCCCTGACCCTAAAACGAAGGGCTGGCTATGAAGGGCAACGTTGGAAGACAGAGGTGGGGAGAAGAGCCATGCTTAGTTTGGGAGACTGGGAGGAAGCGAAGTCCTCCTGACCGAACCGCGCCCCCGCCCCCGCTCCGAGCCGCAGCAGCACTGCCTTGCACAGGTCTCCCAGGGCACACATGCTGCACTGGGCACCCAAGCCGCCTGGGCAGACAGGGTGAAGGAATCTTCACTGTAGCTAAGAGAAGTCTCGTCTTTCTCTCTGAGGACAAATAGGAGGCTTTTGACATCTGCATGGCTTGGGCAGTTCCCTAAATCCTGTCACTGTCCCTCCACACACTCTTACCTGGCTGGATGTTCCTCTTGCCCATAAGTCCCACAAAGAAGTCATGCATGTCACCTGCAGGAAAGGGGCCAACATAACAGCCAGTCCCTGGGCCCCAAGCCCCTGGAGCAAGTGGTCGGCAGAGATAGCCAGGGAGAAGAAGCTACTCACGTTTCTGGAGAAGTGACAGTTTCTTAGGGTCTGTGAAAACAGAACAAGCGTGTAACTGGGGAGCAGAATCTGGAAAGCGATGATTCAGGGCGGTCTGGGTCACAACTCTTAGCTGTTCACGGAGCCATCTCCCCCCTGAGGGGGCTCCCAGGCCTATGTAATCTTCCGAATCCTGCCCCGTACGTACGCCCCTCCCCCTAGGGACACTTCCTACCCTTGCCCGCCTTGCCCAGGGTTTTGAGCAGTTCATCCACGGAGACTGAGCCGCTGCCAGAGAGTGTCTTGAGCAACTGGTTGATATCTGGGAACTTCTAGGGGAGAGAGGCAGAGAGGGCTGAGTCAGGAGGCTCGCACCCGATCCACTCACGGTTTTCCCACAAGGAACCAACTTTTCTTGAGTTTATCACAGCTGAACCTGACATCTTTTTTCTTTCAGGATTTCCTCTGGCCTGCAGTGAAAGAGAAGAAGGCTCTCAAAGTGTGATCCGTGGGCCAGCAGCAGCACCCCTGGACGCTTGTTAGACACGTGCACTCTCGGTCCTACCCCAGGTCCGCTGAGACAGAATCTGCGTTTCACCCGGGCCCCCAGGTGACTCGTGTGCCTGGCGAGGTTTGAGAAGCCCTGGTAAAGGGAACACACTGGGTGTTCGTCCCTGCAGACTGACCAACTGTCCCTGTTTGCCCAAGACCTTAAAGGCCACCCTGGGATGTGGGGCTTTCAGAGCTCAAGCTGAGGTGGTCCAAGCGAAGCAGCCTGTTGGTCATGCTCTCTCCGGGCTCAGGGGCCCCTGTGGGCCCTTTCCGTCGAGGACCTTTCTGGCTCCTGCCGCCTCTCAGTGGGAAGGGCCTCCGGTTCTTTGCTCCCTGGCACATCGGGAGCTAGTTTGCCCAAGGATGTGGTGGCCCCACTGAGTGAGCCATGAGCTGCCCCACTCACAAGACAGGCCCCTCAGACAAAGCAAATGTCCTCCGGTCTGTGCTCCGTGTCTGACCTGCAGACAGGACTCGATCCTAGGGACGGGCCGGGGTAGGAGCCAGGGCACACCAGCAGCCACGCCCCTCTCTGTGCCGTGTCTGTGGGTATTCCTCTCCCTGCATTTCCCACTGCCTCTCACCTTTTCTTCCCCATGGGTGTCTGCCTCTGATTTTCTTTCCTTCTCCCCCTTCTCCCCTAGGAAGGCGGCGGTTCAGAGCAACACCACTTCTCCTCCATCCCATGGATGAACCCAATTCTGGACCTGCTGCCAAGCAGGGGCTCTGAATTGCCTTAGTGATTTTTTTTAGCCACTTGAGCACAGCAGCATGGCTGGGGGGCACACACCACACGCCCAGCCTATTGTAGCTGCAGAGACAACAACAAGGGTCATGTCTGGAGACTCACCTCGAATCTCAGAGGTGCCTCTCTCTCCAGAGTCCCCTGTCCCTGGGTGCTGAGCACACACAGAAGCACACTGACACAGGACGAACCCCCACACCGGTCGACCCTGTGCACCCATGTGTCCCTCCCGCTTCCCTCCCCACGTTTCCCTCTTTCTCACAGACCCGCCAGCGGAAGGGATGAGACAGCAATCTCTCTCTTTCATTGACCAAGAGGGGAAAGGTCTCAAAGCAGGATTGTCTCAAAGGAATATACCCAGATATTCTATCTTGAGTTGGAATTTTTGGCTCCAAACAGTGTCCAGCCTGTCTTTGGCATGCCCTGTGTATTTTTTGAACGGGTCCTGTCTTTCGAATCTGGCACCACTGCCGCCACCTGCTAGGCAGCCAGCCCCCCGAGCCCTGCTCCACCTCACCAGCTGCGTGGAGGCTGGCGAGCTCTCTGGCCAGCACACAGCTTCCCAGGCAGCCACTTTCCCCAAATTATTCAAATGCTCTGCCCACCTCCTGCAATGAGATGCTAAACAGATTTGAGCTAGAAAGGCAGTTAGACTTCACACACTGAATTTGTAATAAGTTCCACCTACGATCATCTTAAAAGCATTCGTACCAATGTAACTGCTATCATTTCAAAACCTTAAAAAGACTTCCTGTCTGTTCTCCTCCTGGAGCACTACCCTGACAAGTCCTATTCTTTTCCTTAGAGGAACTGTGGAAATCTAGGTCTAACCTGGCTGGTGTTTGTTTTCGTTATTATTTTCCTACCCTGACTAAGCAGAGGCTAGAGAGGAGCAAAAGAGAGAAGAAAGGAAAGGCTGGATCTTAGGAACACCTCAGGTTCCCAGGGGTGGAGGGGTAGAGGAGCAGTGGAATTCTGAAAACAAAATAATACACATAGCTGCCAGGTAAAAGAGCATACAAATGACAATTCAGGTGAGAAATTCTGATCGTGTTGAACGCCATCCAGGCAATAGACAGGAGCTCTCTCCACCGCCCCTCCCGCCGCCCTGTAAAGGGACAGAACCTGAGCTGGACCATAGAGAACCTCAGACCAACCTGGCCCACCCCAGCCTGCCCCTGTAAGTACCATCTGCTCGTCAGGTCACCAGTTGGTCATACTGGGAGGGCACCTCTTACACACAAGGAGTCAAATTCGTGCATGGGGACAGAGATACTTATAAACCTAACTAAAAACAGTGAGAACATGAGCTGACCGGAAAGGCCAGGAAATCCAGCCCTGTGATGGACAGATAATCCAGGTAACTCCCACCCACGGGCCACACCTTCCCCTGCAGCTTTTGGAACCAGCAAAGCTATTCTCCCATGATGTTACACAGGACCCTGCCAAGGCGGGCCCCGCTGGAGGAATGCCTTACCTCCCTGCGGCCCCCACGGGGCACCACCTGCTCCTGTGACTCCTCACAGACAGCCCCTAGAGCCAGGCTGAGGGCCAGAATGACAGCCAACAGCAGGGCGCTCCGCATGGTGCCTAGGAGAGCAAAGAGACAGGAAGGGAAGGCAGGGAGGAGGAGGAGGATGCAATACAGGAAACATTCCGCACCAGCAGCGTGACTTGACCCTGCTTCACGATACTCCGATTCTCCCACCCAACCCCTGGTCTGGGGAGAGTATCGCTGAGCAGGGGGGTGGTCCACTGGGCTTGGGCTCCCTGCTGCCCCATCAGACACATCTCCCCGGGATGGGCAACTGGCACCAATGAACCATGGAGCAACAGTGCAGGGGACGGTAGGTACCAAAGGAAGATGACAGATTTATAGGACATGCATGGGTCTTTTTCCTTAGTTGGCTTGAGGAGGGGCCCTGGGTGCTATTTTCCAGCACTAGGCAACCCCAAGACTTAGGCAAAAACTTTCTAATGTGGAAAAATTCATCTGCACCCACAAGCTCCAAACATGACTGGCTCTCAACCCCTTTTTTCTGCTTTCTGCTCACTTCCCAATGAATACCCCACTCCCCGGTCAGAAGCTGCCACTTCTTTTATTTCTCCTGACTCTGGCCCCTGTCCTTTGGTTCCAGCTTCAGTCCTTCCAATGTTCTCCCATCCGCACCTACCTTTGGAGCAGCTCTGAGCCTACAGTTGGGTGGTCTAGTAGAATCAGGGAGCCGGCCGGGATTTCTGCCCTGCTTCCCAGGAAAGCTGGTGCTGCTGGTGCTGCTGGTGCTGCTGTGAAGAGGGAATCAGGGAATGGGGAGGATCTGGGAATGTGGAGGATCTCCAGACCAGCTCCCTGATAAAGGCTCTGGGAGGGTCTGGGGGAGCCGGGGGAGGGGCTGAGAATCGCCAATCCCAGGATGGCTGGAGGGGAGGGGGAAGGCTGATGTTTAGGAGGGTGCAGAATGCAGACACACACACACACACACACACACACACACACACACACACACACCACAAGCCCAGCAGTGAGCTGGGGTTATCCAGCAGCCCACTTTCTAACAGTCCTTCAGCTGGGAATAATTTGCATGTTCTTTGTCACAAAATTTACCTGCTGAGTGTAGCTCAATAAGTGTGGTCCCTGGGCCTCTTTCTCCTCCTTATTCACAACCTCTAGCTCCTTGCCCTTTAAATTGCCAGGCTAGAACAATTCCAGACACGTGCTTCTCTGGCCCTCCCAGCACCAAGACAACCAGGACAGCAAAGTTCAGGACCGAGAGGATGAGGAGGTGACCCTGGCATCCTTTCTAGCCATCATGGTACCCTCGTTCTCGCAGCTGAAGTGGACCTATCACCTTGGTCCTCAGATCAACTGGGAGTCAGTACTTCTCCCTGACATTGAATGCAGAGATCTCATCAGTGTCCAGCCCCACCGGCCACCTCCCCTGTGCCAATGCCTCTCCCCTCGGCCTCCCCACTGCATGCCTCTGAGCCGGGAATCAGCTTGACTTAGTTGCATCATCCTAGAGTTCTAACTTCTGCTATAATCTCAGAAAGGAAGAACAAAACACTACAACTGAGCTCTTCCCCTACTTTGCCCCACCCCCAGCACTGATCTCTTAATTGCTTCTTTTTTTCCTCCTGGGTACACTTTTCCTCACTCTTATCTGTCTTCCTGTAGCTCAAGCACCTTCCTCCCTGACCTTTCAAACCTTGTTCTTGGCCCACACTGTTGAGAGGACTTACTCTGTTCATCTCACACCCAAGGCAGAGCCCCAGGGGAGAGGGGGAGTCACAGTCCGGACCAGAAAGAAGACCTGGAGAGAAAACATAAGGTGAGAGGCAAAGTGAGAGTCGCTTCAGAGCGACTAGTCACTTCCATCACTTCTAATGGGTGCAGGGTCACCATCTTGAGAGCAGGAAATATTCCCATGTTTCAGATGAGGAAACTGAGCGGCAGAAAGTTCAGTCATGTGCTCCAGGACAGACAGCTACTGCAGAACAGCCTCAAATTCAGATTTTGTCAATCTAAACTTGCCCATCATTTTATTGCACTGGTATGAGCTTTGACCAGCAATTGAATAGCTAACTTGCTCAGAGGAAGTGGTGACCCACCTCTCCAGGACACTTGCCGATTTGAGACTTTGGACTCTTCCAAATCTTGTGACTGGGGAGAGAACCTGCCCTGCTGTGTATATACATACCACAGTGCCTTCTGCTCACCAACACCTTCCCCAAACACCCTACTTAAAATCACTACCGTTTCATACTCCACACCCAAAGCCCGTTTCTTTCCCTCATACGCATCCTACATGCAACATGTTAAGTATTTCACTTCCAGTCTGTCTGCCCCACCCCTACCAGAATGTCAGTATGACGAGGGCAAGGACTTTTTCCATTTTGTTTGCTATTGGATCCCTAGCTCTATGGTGTTTGGAATATAATAGGTGTTCAATAAAAATTTATTTATAAAACAAAAAAAGAAAGCCCGTGCCCAGCTTCTCTTGTTGCACCCCCACAGTGTAGACCCTCCACAGAGCCTCCCCAGTGCAGTTAGGGTCCTGAACTGAGAGTCTCCCCACGCCACACTCCCAGCACCCTACCTGCTCTGGGACTTGGGTCATGCCGAAAGAAGCCACCCTGGCTGCACAGGGCTCCACCCAGGCTCACCCTGAGTGAGGGCAGCAGCCAGGATTCAAGGCCCCTTTATGTGAAAGGCTAATGACTCCTCATCAAAAGCTTCCCATTATCCACCTAATTAGAGGGCGAGGACCCAAGGTTGGGAGCCTTCAGTGGGCTGAGAAATAGAAGTGGGAGGCTGTTTATATATAAATGACATGAGCGGATCATTTCTTTGAAAAGCTCAGGGGCTGCTGCACTTGGACCTAGCCATCTCCCACCTCCTCCCTGCCGCCAATCTGGAGGAGTCCAAGCTTGGCAGGCTGGAAGGAGTCGGGAATGCAGCAGGGGAATGTGTTAGACTGAAGCCTAAAGACTAAAGCTTCCAGGGCCCATTTCTGTGTCAGTCTCCCTTCCCGTTCCCAAGCCCTGGCACCAGGGAAGTGGCTTCAGCAAAAGTTCACCATGAATAATGTCCTTTGATGATGTGGCATCTCACAAAGCGTGGCAGCAGCCGAGGGTGGGGGGAGCACGGGAATGGCAGGGAGAACTGATTGCCCCTTGATCTCTGGGATTAGCAGAGGCTTGAAAGAGCTGAGGCTAAACTAAGTCAGAGGTGGTGAAGGAGGGAGGCTTTGGAGGTGTTCAACAAGCAAAAATGAATGAGGCGGTTTTGCTAGAGTTAAATCACAAAGTTTTATTCAAGGGTCTTAAGATATGTAAATTTGAAAAACAAAAACAGAACACTGCCCGGTTAACAGAGTGTTCTGAAGAAAAGAGTTAAGGGTTCTCGTAGTAAAATTACATTCTTGAGAAAAATCAGTCTTGCATTCTTAGACTCCAGATTGGTCCAAGATGGTAATCTTCCAGATGTCCGGTGGTCTAGATAACGGATATCCGGTGGTCTGGACATGTAAACATTCTTTCCTAAGCTCTTCAGAGGATTATCTATAGGAATTTTGTGTATTTCCAGGCATTGATGCACAACTGAAACATTTAAGTTCTTAAGCTAGTTAAAATAAAATCTATTCCTCATGTTTCAGCTCATTTTTTAAATTTTTAATTTTTTTTAATTTTAGAGAGAGAAGAGAGGGAGAAAGAGGAGAGAAATATTGATTGGTTGCTTTCTGTAAGCATCCCAACATGGGACTGAACCCAGGCATGTGCCTGACTGGGAATCAAACCTGTGACCTTTCCGTTTGTGGAATGACACCCAACCAACTGAGCCACACCGGCCAGGCCAGTCCACTCTGATTTAAGTAACTTTGTTAACTTGGCTATGGTGACTTCATTTTGTTTCTTCACTCTTTCCTCAGATGGCTAGTGCAGGCCAGGCTTCATTTTGCCCACAAATCATATGCAAATGACTTATAGTGGGTGATGTGGCTGCAGAGTACCTAGATATTTTTTTCCTGTGAACATCTAAACTTTATTTGAGCCCCAGCTCAGATGCTGTCACTGGCCTAGAGGGGCAGGGTCCCTAGCAGATCCTCCCTCTGCAGTTCCCCCCCTTTGCTGGAAAGGTTGACGGTGAGGCCAGGAAAAGGGATGTAAGGCTGAGCTGAAAATGAGACGGGTTAGCCAGCTGTTCCCAGTGGGCAGAGGTGGAGGCTAACTCGGCACATGCTTGTATACACGAATGACCTGCACACCAAATGCACCATTTGGGTGCAACATCCTGGAGGGGTGCTTCAGGTGGGGAGGAGAGGCCAGGGCCATATGTGACACCAGCTGGAAACACCTGTGAAGAACGGAAGCATGGCAGCTTCTGCGTTCTGCCACGTCCTGCAGCCCAGAGACAGCTGGGGACAGGCCACAGAGCAAGAAACTCAAAATGTCCCTCAGAGCCTGGGAAGAAATGAGGGAGCCAGAAGGGCTGAGCTAGAGCTGGTGTGAGCTGTGAGACGCTGGAGTGGCTCCTTGTGGGGGTCAGGGGGCTCCAGGGTAGTCAGTGCCCCTCAGAAGCTCAAACAACCTAGACTGAGCAGGCTGGACGGGCCAAGTGGGGTGAGCCCAGGGCAGCAGATCCCCAGCTTCCCCCACCCTGATGGAGTGAATTCAAGCCCTAGGACACGGTGGGGACACTGAGCCCCCCAGGCTTCAGAGGAGGAAAACACACACTCCAGGGCTCTGGAAAAGAAGAGAGGCAGAGACAGAAGAGAGAAAGAGAGAGCTGGAGAGTGCAGAAGGAGAGGAACCCCTACCCTTCCTCCAACTGGTGTCCGCCCAAATGACCCGGGGAGAGGACAAGAGGGAGGGCAGGGACCCCGGCCCATCCCTACTCCTACCACCCCCACCCAGCCCAGAAGGCTGACAGTGCCTTCAGCCCTGGGAAAGGAAAAGCAGGGTTGGGAGCAGCAGCTGCATATTCTTCTGAAATTGCTTCAGAAAATGACCAGACACTTCACTGGAAGAGTGACGACCATTTGGGCCCTGGGAGCAGGAGATGAGACAGAGAGCGGGGGAGGTCAGGCTCTGGTCACCGCTCCCTCTCAGTCAGACAGAACCTGCGGGCTGATTCTGAGAAGTCAAGGATGGGGGAGATGCCATGGGTGGTGGGTGGCAGAAGATTGGCCAGAGCCTAAGGTACCCCCAATTTAGGACACAGCGCACCACAACAACTCTAGCCCCTTACCCGCCTAAAAGAACTGACTCCCTGGGTCCTATCTCAGCTCAGGTTGGGCTAGAATACGGGGCTTGCGCTCAAAGAGCAAGATTAATCTGCAGGCGAGAAGAGAAGTTAATCAGGTCTCCCACAGCATGATTACCTGGAGCCGTGAGCTGCTTGCAAATGGGCAGAAGCAGGGTAGAGGGAGACCCCAGCTTTAAGGCGCAGTGAGCTCAGTGGTGGAGAGAGGGAAGAGGCAGGAAAGGCAGAGACTGTGAAAGGGCAGAGAGACACCCAGAGACAGAAACAAAGGCAGCCATCTGCACAACTCTCACGGAGCACGGATCTAAAGTTTACTGCAGAAATAGGAGCTGCTTGTTCCTTGAAGGTAGACACTGGGGTGGGAGAGGCTGAGACAAGAGAGTCTATGAGGAAATACATATGAATGGGGGCATATTAAAGCATTATACAGCCTTGGCTGGGTAGCTCAGTTGGTTAGAGCATCATTCTCATAGGCCAAAGTTGTGGGTTCGAACCCAGTCAGGACACATACAAGAATCAACCAGGGAATGCACAAATAAGTAGGACAACAAATTGATGTTTCTCTCTCCCCCTCTTCCTCTCTCTTTCTAAAAATAAATTTTAAAAAACCGAATGAATTATTTTTAAAAAGGCATTATAGAGAAGATTATGTATTAATATTAGTCAGAGCCCACAGAAATGAGGACAAGATGGTATGAGACAGCTGAAAACGGAGAAAAAAAATGACGATAACGCAGGGGAAATAATGAAGCCGAGAGGGAAGGGGCCAATCCTCAGGATGGGGGAGTCTGGGTAGGGGAGCCTCCCCTGGCAAATGCCACCAGCTGCAGGCCTCAGCTGCAGACAGTGATTAGCAAGACAACTGTTGGCAGCAGCCTGGCATTTCTGGTGTACGGAAAGGAAGGGGGTGCCGGGTGGGGCAGGTGTGATGAAGCCCAGCGCGAAAAGAGGCTGAATTTCCAAAGGATCCCAGTTTTCGTCAAGACATGGACCCTCACTTCCCTCCAGGGACATACTTAATGAATCAGCCCGTTGGCCACCTGCGACCTCAGTCCCATTCCCAACCACCCTGCCCCCACCCCAGGCTCTCCAACCCTCCCCCCAGAGCTCAGCCGGTCAAGGACCCAGAGACAATTTCCCTTCTTTTCCATTCTTATTATCTGCATTAGCTGGCTCCAAGGAGCCTGAGGGAGGGGAAGGGGAAGCGGAGGGGGAGGGGGGGTCTGAGTACAAGTCAGTGAGAAGATGGGGAACGGTGAGCGCAACTGACCAAACCTTTGGGAAGTCATTTGTTTTATTAGTGGGCAAAGAAGGTGAGGGCGGAAGGAAGCTAAGTTTGGAGAAAAGATTGGGGTGGTTTGGGGGAAGAACGGTCCTCCTCGAGGGTTCTTGCGTCTCCGAGCACCAGCCCGTGATGAGAGGGCTGAGACGTGAGACCCTCCCACAAAGCGGGGTGGTAGGGCGGTGCCGATCAAGGAAGAAGGAACCGCCATCTCTACATCAAGCCCCCACCGCCTCACGGCACAGTCACTTCCAGGCCACGACTCCCCTTCTTCTTGCAACTTAGCTTGCCCTTCTCATGACTCTGAGGCCCCTGGATGACCTTGACAGTCACATCACTCTCCTTGAATCTCACAGAGAACCTGGAGGGGAATAGACAGAAAGGTGAAGCCAGTGCCCTCATCGCCTACGCCCGCACTTTCATGATGGGTTCCCCTCCTTTTCTTGAAGCAAATGCACCCCACCCCTCTGGCCACCAGAGGAGTCAAGACTCCAGAGAACTTGGGTAGGGAGACCATGAAGCGCCTCTGAGCCCTACTCTGACACAGTACGCTTTGCTTCCTGACTGCATGGATTTCCCTAGTCACAATGACCAACAACTTCGTCATCTGCCCCAGTCCGCCCCTCGGCCCAGCTCGTGGCCTTACTGCTCAGTCACGGAGACTGGAAGCTGCCGCTGCGTGGTGTCCAGCACAGCCCGGTGCATTCTGGTCAGCAGTTCAACCACATGCTCGCTGACCAACAGGAAGTCCCCCTTGGAACCCACTGATGATATCTTAGGGAGGTAAAAAAATAGCCAGGAAGGGATTCAGTTTTTTCTTCTCAGTAGCAGCCTGAGAGACATCCAAGGCCCAGAGGAAGAGGTTCGGTCCCCATCACCTCCAGCCCTCCCCAGCCCCTACCTTCTCCAGCCTGGGGCCCTGCCCCCAACCAGTCTGATACCTCACTCAGGTGCAAGCCAAAAAGCCCATCCTTGAAGGGGGAGACTGACACCCCAGTCACACTTTCCAGCCCAATGACAGTTTGGGCTTGGGACTTCTTGGTGTCTGCGAGAATCACATGCCCCTTGGTCAGGAGTAGAATTCGAGAGGAAGTCTAGGGACGGAATAGGAAAGGGTGAGGAAAGATGGGATCAACCCTCACCCTCCCAGCTGCCAGCCTGGGCCCTGGAACAGACTATGGGGAGGAGCTGGGATGCTGGCCTTCACCTTGCCGTTGCTACGATTGACCTTCTTCACAGTCTCTGCCACCAGAACAGACCCCTCCTCCCTGCTCTTCAGCTTCTGCAGCTTGGGGTTCCCTTGCAGCCCAATGTAGTCGCCACGGAACGGAATGGGAACGCTGAGGACACATAAGAAGTATGCAGTGGAGACAAAGTCCTCACCACTGACCCCCAGGCCCTGAGCCTCCCCCTAAGTTCTCATCTTCACCCCACAGTGCCCCTTCCCCCCACCACATCCTCTCTCAGTGGTTCTCAGAGTGTGGTCTGGGGCCAACATGGGTATCCCCTGGGAACCTGTCAGAAAGGCAGATTCTTGGGCCCTACCCCAGACCTGCTGAATCAGAAACTCTGAGAGGGGTGGTGCAACCATCTGGGTGTCAGCAGCTTGCTAGGTCACTCTGATGCACTGAAGCTTGGACCCACTGCTCCGTCCCACCTGGGGAATGTTCTCCTTCCTCATGATGAAACTGACGGGCAGGGTCTGAGAGGTCCTCACCTCTGGGGGTATGCAGCCTTCTTGCCCTTAAACAGTTCACTGGCACAGAGCTTCTCCCTCAGGATCTCTACCTGCTTTGGGGACAGCTGATCCCGGAATTTCTTGCACTGTGGGTGGGTTGGGGCAGAAGCTATGATCATAGAGGAAGAGGGCAGGGCTGGGAAGGGGCGGGGAGAACACGGAGATGTGGAAGGAGACAGGGACTACAGAATAAAGACAGAGGGAAAAAGGACTTCAGAGAGGAAAGAGGTTGGAGAAGCATTGGGGAGGGGACGGCGACTGAGGGACGCTGGAGTGGGGGTGAGAAGCAATAAAATACAAGCCCATGGGCTGTACGCCCAGAAAACAGCACAAGGCCCGGTCCCAGACAGGCGCTCCATAAGCACTTCCTGAGTAGAAGAGCACTGTGCTAAGTGAAATAAGCCAGACACGAAAGGGCAAACATTGTATGATTCCACTCATATGAGGCACCTAAAACAGGCATGCGCCACATAACGGCATTTCAGTCAACAGCAAACTGCATGCACCATGGTGGTCCCATAAGATCATAACAGAGCTGAAAAACTCCTGTTGGCTAATGACATCATAGCTGTAGTAACATTGTAGCGCACACGTTACTGACGTGTTTGTGGTGGTGTTGGTGTGAGCGAACGTATTGTATGACAGTCACATGAAGTACAGCACATACAATCACGTACATAATGTTGATAATGGTAATAAATGACTATGTTACTGGTTTATGTATCTATTACACTATTCTTTTTATCACTGTTTTAGCGTGCACCCTGCTTACATATTTTAAAGAGTTTGTTATAAACAGTATGCCACACTATGCCAGCAGCAGCCTCACATATCTCGTGTTTGTTTACCGCATCTCTCTTTTTTTAATCCTCACCCGAGGATATGATTACTGATTTTAGAGAGAGAGGAAGGGAGGGAGAGAGAGACATCAACGTGAGAGAGACACATCAATCGGTTGCCTCCTGTTCGTGCCCTGACTGGGGATTGAACCCACAACCCAGGTATGTGCCCTGACAGGGAATCGAACTGACAATCGTTTGCTGCATGGGATGATGTTCAACCCACTGAGCCACCTGGCCAGGTCACTGAGTTTCTTGATTGCGTCATTTTCTATTGTGCTTGATTTAATCTCATGTTGTTTTGTACAGTAACATGCTGTACAGGCTTGTAGCCTATAAGCAACAGGCTGCACCACATGACCAGCTGTGTAGTAGGATGTACCATCTAGGCTTGTATGAGTGCACAGTATGATGTTTGCACAACAAAATTCACCTAGTGATGCATTTCTCATAATGTACCCCCGTCGTAAAGCACCATATGACTCTAGCCAAATTCCTAGAGACAGAAAGTAGGCTGGGGGAGGGGAGAACAGGGAGTTACTGCTTAGTGGGTACAGAGTTTCAGTTTGGGATGATGGAAGAGTATGGAGATAGCCCTGGTCAGGTGGCTCAGTTGGTTGGAGTGCCATCCCATATACCAAAAGGTTTCCAGTTCGATCCTAGTTGGGGTGTATAGAGAAGGCAACCAATTGGTGTTTGTCTCTCACATCCATCTCTCTCTCTCTCTCTCTCCCTCTCTCCTCCTCTCACCTCTTCCTGTCTAAACATATCCTTGGGTGAGGATTAAAAAGAATTATGGAGATGGGTGGCGGTGATGATTGCACAGTGATATAAATGTGCCCAGTGCCACCAAACCATATACTTCAAAATGGTTAAAGTGGTAAATTTTGTTATGTATATTTTAACACAGTTTTTTTTTTAAAGAAAGAAAAAGATTTGAGCCCTGGCTAGTATCGCTCAGTGGATTGAGTGACGGCCTGCAAACCAAAGGGTCGCCGGTTCAATTCCCAGTCTGGGCACATGCCTGGGTTGCAGGTCAGGTCCCCAGTAGGGGGCACGCAAGAGGCAACTGCACATTGATGTTTCCCTTCTGCTCTTTCTCCCTCCCTTCCCCTCTCTCTAAAAGTGAATAAATAAAATCTTAAAAGAAAGAAAGAAAAAGAGTTGAAGAAAGAAGAAAAAAACCAGATGCAAGAGGAAAAAAAGGCAAATAAGGGGAGGCACGCAGGCCCCACTCACCTTCCATTGGTAGAAGAGCTGCTGCAGCTCCCGATTAGCTGTGTTGAAGCACTTGTAAGGGGCAGCTGGCCACTTTTTGTCCAAGACATTGGTAGATGGCAAATTGTTCTTCAGCCTCAGTAGGAATTTCTGCGCCTGCATTAGAAGTGATGGAATTGACAGTGCAATGATGAGAAGACAGACCCCCAACAGGCCCACCCACACCCAGATCCTGCCACTTAAACAGAGGAAGCCCACCCAGAGTGAGAGCCAGAGAGTGGAACTGAGGAGACTAGAGCTGAGGAGATGGAGGGGTGTCATCTCCCAGATCTCTTTCAGGGTGCAGTGTAGGCTTGGGGCTGGGCAGGAAGAGCGCGAATGGGAGTTTGAAGGAAGAGAGGATTAGTTTCTAGCTGAGACCCGCTACCCAGGGAAGTGAGGTGGGAGGAACCAATGTGAAAACTGGCCTTCATATGTTGTGCCTGCAGCTTCCTATTCTCTCAGCTGACTGTTGCCTCCAGCTGGCTGCCACTGTCTGCGCTAGCTGGTGGACAGGTACCAAGTCCTCCCTCCTTTCTGATCAGTCAAGCCCAACACCTCACCTGACGTTCAAAGTCTTTTCCTTAGAGCCCTAGCTCGTCACAGGATCCCCTGCGTTAGCCTGGCACACTGACCCCGCACTCCTTGCCTTGCCCTCTGCCCAGCCCATGCATCGCCACTGAGACGTTGCAGCTCACACTGCTCTCGGCTTCACATCGCCAGCCCACGTCCTACCCCTCCCTGCAGATGCAGTCCAAGAGGGCCTCTCCCTCTTCGGAGCCCACTAGCACTTTGTCTATACTTCTGTTTCTGTGTTACTGTTATTTGTGTGGAAATCTCCCCCTCTAGACAGTGAGTCCTTGGGAGTTAGTCTCCCAGGTCTTGACTTTTTTACCATTCAGCATTTACTGAGTGTCTGCTTTGTGTCTAAGTAAGGAGACACAGCAACGAGCAGAGCAAACAAAGCTCCTTATTCTCGAGGTTACATTCTACTGGGGCTGGGGAGGGAGACTGCCCACAGCAAATAAACACATAGAATGTGATGCCAGTTAATTATATATGCTATGATGCAAAAAAAGCAGGCCCCGAGACAGGAATGAGTGGAGGTGTGTTCCAGAAACAGAAAGAAAACCAGTGTGAGTGAACTGAATTGAGTAAAAGGAGGGTAGGTCAGAGGGATGGCTGGTCAAGGACAGATCATGCAGGGCCCTGTGGGCTATGGTAAGGACACAGGCTTTTACTAGGAGTGAAACAGAACACTGCTAGAGGGCTTTAAGGGGAGGCGTGGCATAATTTGACTTAAGGCTTAAAAAAATTTAATACAATCTATTTTCTTATTTTGAAAGTTTTTAAAACTTGCTTAAAAGTTAAAGAAAACATTACAATGAACATCTGTATACCATACACCCCCACCTAAGTTCACCAACTGACAACATTAACATCTTGCCCTATCTGCACTTTCTCTCTGACATACGCGCACACACACAACTCTTCATCGTCCTGCAGTAGGTGACAGGTATTAGAACATCCCCCCCTAAAACTTAAGCACACATCTCCCAAGAACTGGGATATTCACTTACATAATCACAATTCCATCACTACACCTAAGAAAATTAACATTAATTACATTTACTCATCTAACAGGAATACGTACTCAAATTTCTCCCAATGTCCTTTATAAACTTCTAAAATTGTCCTTTTTCCCTTTGTTTTTATTTTTTCTGTTCCAGGATCCAGTCAAGTTTCACCTGTGGCATCTAACTTCAGTTTCCCCCAGTCTAGAACCAGCACTCATAAGCCTCAGCACTTCGGGGAGTACCCAGCACCCTTTTGTTTTTGGGTTAGAGTTACTACCCAAGGTGTAGTAACTCTAGTTACTACAAGGTGTAGAAAATGACTCGAGCCCTGGCTGCTGTGGCTCAGCAGATTGAGCTCCGGCCTGGGAACTGAAAGGTCTCCGGTTGCAGGTTGCATTCCCAGTCAGGGCACGTTCCTGGGTTGCCGGCCAGGTACCTGGTTGGGGGCCTTCCGAGAGGCAACTGTCATCTCTCACACAATGACCTCTTTCTCCCTCCCTTCCCCTCTCCCTAAAAGTAAACAAATAAAATCTTTAAAAAAAAAGAAGAAGAAAAAGAAGAAAATGACTTGATCTTGACCACTTCCAAATTTGGGGAATTTTAATGAAAACTTTTTACTAAGACATTAGGTTTAAATAATTAAAACAGAAAAAAGCACAGCACACAGTATATTGCTCCAGGAACTATCCTAGCTCTCTGTATCTCCCACTACAAGGAGCTAGTGGGTTAGGTCTCATCCCCCTGGAGCCTCTAGTCCTTGGTCTGGTTTGATTTAACTCAATAAACATTCCTAAGCATCTCCCATAATCCCCCATGTTCCAATTCATGTGGAGTCTCTGCAGCTTTTCTTTTTTTAATTGTTTTTTTTTTTTATAGATATAGGAAGTTCTGCCTTTCCCTATGCAGCCCTCCCACCCCCAGGTCTACCCAAGGCCATGTAGGCCTGAGCTGCCCAGCCCTCTACTGGGGGCAGGGGGGCAGGCAGCTTTACACAGTGGTTAGAACTCTGGAGTCGAATAGTTTGTATCCCAGCGCTGCCATTTACCAACTGTAGGGGCTCCTAGCAAGTTATTCAATCTCTCTGAGCCTTAGTTGTTTTACCTATAAAATGGCCTATCTCTCAGGGTTGTTGATAGCATTAGAGTTAATGCACCTTGAACACAGGTAAGTGTTCAAGACATAGTAGGTCTTAGTATTGGTATTGGTATTGGTATTAGTATTAGTTATAGGCAAGGCAATCACAAAGTACAGACTAGCCAGAAACACTGCGGGAATGGATGCCTAGCGGCTCCCTGCACGCACTCTTCTGTACAGGGTGCAACTTGGTGAAATACTGATCTAAACCCAACAGCTCCTGAGGTGATGTTCAGCAGATGTCTGATAATATACAGGTGGAAGGATTTTAAAAAAGAGATAAATAAAAAATAAAAGAGCAGTCCTGGCTGGTGTGGCTCAGTGGACTGAGCACCAGCCTGCGAACCGAAGGATCATGGGTTTGATTCCCATTCGGGGCGCACGCCTGGGTTGTGGGCCGGGTCCCCAGATGGGGGCTTTAAGCAACCAATCAATATTTCTCTCCCTCTCTTTTTCCCCGCCTTCTCCTTTCTCTAAAAATAAATAAATATTAAAAAAAAACAAAACTAAAAGAACAAAAAGAAAGACAAGGCAGAAGAGGGGCAAGTCATGAGACAAGAGCAAAACCAGACCACAGGTCTCAGGAATGCAGTTCTGCAGCAAGAGAGCAGGCACTCCGAGAAAGCAGACACCCTGGTGCCTGTGAGGAGAGGCCAGGCAACTGAAGAGGCCAGGAAAACGGTGCCTCCGTGGGGAGTGGGGAGGGGGACACAATGAAGGCTCAGAGCCCCCATTCCGCCATTCGGCCCGGGGATCCAGTCTCTCCCACAACAAAGAGTTCCAGTGAATGTGTCTCGTGTCTGAATGAGCACAGTTAGTAAGAGTCCTAACAGTTGTCAAAAATCCAATCAGCGGAGGGCAGTTCCAATTTACCCCAGCCCTCTGTCTAAGACCCCTGTTCTTCCCCCTACTCTCTGGCCTTTCCCGAGGTCTCACTGGAAGTGCTGCTCCCTCCCTGTCTGCTTCCCCTCTGTCTACGACCCTTCTCTGCCCTGTTTTCCTCTCATTGGAAACTGCCCATAGTTTGAATGCCTGGCCTGCTCCTGGCTCCTTCCTGCCCACTCTGACCTCAGTCCTCCAGAGTTAAGATGCTTCCTGAGGCTTAATTTTAGACTTGCCCACTATAGTTTCAGAAGAGACAGAAGGAAAATATAATTCCTCCACCTTGGCCCCAACTGTAAAATGGACCTCGGAAGTTTGTATCAGCTAACCCTATATGTCCTCACCCTGGTATGCACTGAGGCTCAGCTCCTCAACTGCTGTGAACCATCCAGCCCCAGTCTCTTCTGGGGTGTGCTGAGGCCCCTTCCTACCACGAGGTGGCCTACAGTGTCCACTCAACCCCAAATGTGCCCTGATTTTGCCTCTGGGCCCTGAGGCATGCTGGTCAAGGAAGCTCTTGGGGAGAAAGCTTTGAGTCACCTCTTCTCAGACCCCACATCTTTCTCTATCAAACCTGTCCCTCCCTCCTCAACCCCCCACTTCCACCCTCAGCATTCCCCTCTTACCATGCTTTTGTAGATGAAATTTGTCAAGGTGAGAGTGGCCCCGGACCGGAAGTATTTTCGATAATCCTTGCGGGCCTGGCAGGGACATACAAGAAAGGAGCAAAAGGACAGGATAGTCAAACCTAGGAGACAGAAGACAGACCTCGAAGGGATTCTACTCTTTTTCAGCCACACAAAGAACAGAGGAAGATAAAGAGCTGAGACTGTGGCTGCAGAGAGTAAAGTCAGACAAATCGGCAACGAGGAGGACACTCAAAGCAGAAGGCAGAGCCACGCGCACCTGCAGATCTTCCCAGCACACAGCCACACTCCCAGACACACACAGGCACTCAGGCAGGCCATTGAGCAGAGGGATGCCCGCGGTTCCGGTTCGGACAGGGCTCACTTCCCGCTCCCCCCGCCGCCCCCCCCCTCCCCCCGCCCCGCCGCAGCTGGGACAATGCAGAAGGAACCATGTGGGGGAAGGAACCCCGTGTGTGTGAGGGGGAACCCCTCTCCCCTTTTCATTACCTTCCAACCTCTCACAAAAGCCTGGATCAGTAATACTGACGCTCTTATCTTTCCATAGCGTTTCTTTTGCTGCAGAAAATTATGGGCCTGTTAGAAAAACTCCACCCCCTGAACCACCTTTCCCACTTCCCACTCTCCTATTAGGGTGAGGGGATGGGACTTTTGGGGTAATCAGTACCCTGTTGCCCCGAAACCAGGAGGAAATGAGGATCTGACTCTTGCGCATCTGCTGGTAGTGGGTGCGGCAGCGCCAGCCTCGGTACATCTTCTGAATGAGAGTGGCCAGCTGCTGGATTCTAAGGCGCCTCTGCTCCTCCAGGTAGAAGAGCTGTGGAGAGGTGAGAGGGTGGAAGAGAGAGGCTGGCCTAGGGGACCGCGCTCTCTTCCTGTACCCCATAGCCCCAGAGGCTTCCCAGCCAGAGTTTTACTCGATCATTCCTTTGTCTTCTCAGTTGAGTCATTTATTAATCAATTAATTTAATGAGCATCCACATGGACTCTACTCTGTAGCAGGCACTGTGCTAGAATGTGCAAACTCAGACACGAGTGACACATCACCCAGACCCTCAAGGAGTCCCACGTCCAGTGGACACTCTCAGAGTGGTCCATGTAAGTAAGCACCCCTGACTCCTAGGGCTCACCAGGTAGGGTGGGAACCCGAGGATTCAGACCCCACAGAGACACCTCCTCATCCACTACCCATTCCAGGTTATAGACGCTCCCTTCCCCACCCAGCTCTCCCTCAGATAAGCTCTCCAGTTCTCTCCTGCCGCCCCGAACCAAATGCAAGTGCAATCTCCAACTCACAGTCTTGGGACTTTTAATGAAGATCTTTGTCTTCCCAAAGGTCACCTCCTTTGAGGACACACTCAGCTCCCCCAGGATCTTCTCAACCCCCTCCCTACAAGAGCAAACAGGGAAAACCGCCGAGGGGCAACTCAGGAGAGGGTCCTCTCCACCTTCCCCCTAATCCCTTTCACCCTGGGAGAAGAGATCGGAGCTTGAACCCAAGACTTCAGAGTCTCCTCCCCCACAGATGTTCCCTGCACTGCTCTTCGGCCCTTCTCTGCTCCCCACTGAGTCTTACCGGTCTCCCCCATTCCAGCGAGGCCAAGTGCTCCGGCTCAGCAGTCGGAACCTCTCCAGGAAGGGCCCATACGCCTGGCGGAAGGCATAACCCGCCCGACGCACCCGCACGTTCTCTAGCAGTCCCAGGTACTGGGCCTGGGTCGCCACCAGCTCCCAGGAGAACTGCCCTCGCTGCTGATGCTCATTGGGCTTTATACACCTGGTGGGAGGTAGGGCAAGGTACAGGCTTCAGGAACTTCACCTTTGCCAGTGTAACCCATGCTGGTCTCTACATCCCAATCCTGCACACATTTCCCTGAGGGGGAAAGTTTCAGAGGGAGTGGACACACTAGCCTTTCCGGCCTCACTCACTGTGGTATGGTCCCGACCCAAATCTGATGCTCTCCCTGCTGCAGGACCCTCAGTGACTCATCTGGCCATTTTCACGAGGAAATGACCTCTGACACCCTTATTCCAGAGACCCGCCCCCCTAGCCACGGACCTGTTCTACAGTACATGGACCATGCACATGCTGTCACACATGTAGCATGTTCCCCTGTGTGCCCAGTATGTTACCTGATGTAGTTGGGGTTCTTGGAATATAGGTTCTTCATGAGTATGGCCACAGAGCTCTTAAACTGGGCCCCAGCAGTGGGGGGGCGTTTGCGAGATGCCTGCTTAGGATCACCCTCAGGGAACAGGGACTGAAGGAGAGGGTGCCGGGCCTTCCACATGGCCTGGGACAAGTCCCGGAAGAGTAGGTCGTTATTCTTGTCAATGAAGCTGTTCACGTTATATGTCACCTGTAGAGGAACAGCTATTGGTCTGGAGAGCCCATGACCTTGTCCCAGCACTTGGCCCACTCTCGTTGTGAAGTATCCCTAGTTCTCATCTCCCCTCCCAGTTCCTCCCCCACTGCCTTCAGCCTGTGCTCAGCCCCAATCTTGACCCTCCAGCCCTGCCTTATCACCTTGCCCGCATAGTGGCAGATGCGGAAGCAGCTGAGGCCCATGGTGTGGTCATACTGGCGCTGGGCGTTCTGGGTGACTTTGCTCTCGTAGTAACTGTGCTTGGAATAGAGCTGGTTCAGCTTCGCTAGGAAGGTGGAGTCGCTGACCACCCCAGGCCGCAGGCACTCTTCGTCCAGCATGGCCAGGATGCCTCGCTGATTCTGGCCAGGGAACAAGATCAGCACAACCTAGACCTGGTCCTCCAGGGTGTCTGGACCTTCTGCCCACTCGTGCTTTGCCCTCTTTGCCATCCTCACTAAGTAGGCCGAGGGGAAGGGGATGACAAGGGCAGGGGAAGGATGCTCAGGGGAGGTCCCGAAGGTAAGAGGAGAACTCACATGCTCAATAAGGTTACAGATGGCGCCATTATCAAAGTAGTCCACTTTTTCCCACGGGATGCCCTGGCAAGGGGAGACACGGAACATTACAGGGAGCAGGTCCAAGGCAAGTTTTCAAAGAGCTCACTGGATCCAGGCCCCCTTTCATCCACCCCACAAGGGGCCTCAGAAAGCCCTATGGTTCAGAGGGGCCCTTGGTGAGGTTTCTGTTGACATCCCCACTCCCCCAAGGCTGACGATGAGTTTGTGGTGCGAGTGGAGAGGCGCATGGGAAGACCCAGAGCAGCAGTGAGGGGAGCGATGGAGAGAGCCCTGTAGGTGCCGTGGACAGAGAGGGAAGTGTGAGATGCTGGGGGGAGACAGGGTAGGGGTTACCCCGCTGTGGGGGTGGGGAGGGGTCCTTGGGTACGTGCGAGAGCCCGAGAGCCGAGGCCTCGCTGCTCTGCCAACAAACTACAAAACGACAGCACGGGAGGGAGTTTATCACCAAACAACAAAGCTAATTTGATGCATCTTCAAAGACCTACTTCAGCTATCCTCAGTATTCAGAGGCATCACAACTACCTGCATGGCTTGTTAAAGCACAGACTGCTGCCCCCGCCCCCAAATTTCGGATTCCACAGGTCTGAGACTGGGCCTGGGAATCTGCATTCTAACATGTTCCCAGGGGTGCTGACCCAGGACCTCAGCTGAGCCACTGATCTACATGATACTTTGGGACGGTATACTTTTCAAAAAACAAAAAATAAAAAAACAAGAATGGTACAGAAACAGAAAACCCAAAGACAATCTTCCTCTGCTTTAGGGATTTGCTAGGCACCAGGCCTGCAGGCAGGAGAGCTCCTGACCCCACCCAAGGGCCAGGTGGCGCAGTTCAGGCCGTTTCCAGGTGTGCCTGGGGAGCACAAGCCTTCCTCCCCGCCCCCACAGGTCTTTAGGGAATGCAGGGTGGCATTAAGGTCACTTCATTCCAAAATGCCTTCCCTGACTAATTAAAGGAATTATGATGTTCTTAAAATCCTATGTAACTGTAAAAAAGGCATCTTTATATACTGATACAGAAAAATCTCTTGTGAATGTATGAAAGCAAGGCACAGAAGAGAGTGTAGTCACAACATTAAATACATGCATGTTATGGGAAAATGCACTTACAGACTTGTCTGATCGCACATCAAGGACCCCCGGAAGGAAGGCCGCTTCAGGAGCCTCTAGATGGGGAGGAGGAGGAGGAGACTGGGGACAGGGTGAGAGCGAGGCCTTTCTTGACACACCTTTTTAAACTTTTTGAGTTTTGAAGCATGGGAATGTATTATCTACTTGATCATTTTAAATTTTAAAATAAAAACACGCAAAATACTTTAAAAACTTCTTCATCCATTGTTGCCACATTGCCTGAAATCCTGGCACAACAGATTCCTGAGAGCTCCCAGGGAGCATCCCTGGGAGGGTTTCGGTGTGTGAGACTCGGCCACTCACATGTCAGGGTGGATTAGCTCCATCGAGAGCTGTTCCAACACCCAGCTCAGCCCGAGGGCAGGGGAAGGGTGTGGAAATTCTGAGCCCCGGGCCCTTCTGGTGAGGAAGTCTGGGTGAGGGTGCTACCAGAGGGGAAGGCGGCATCAGCCGGGGCCTGGAGGAGACGAGGGTGCTGAGGCGTCAGAGAAGAGCACAGAAAAGGATGGGGGTGGGGGGTGCCAAGCCCAGGAGAAGTGTCGCTTCAGAACTGGGCTCACAGTATGCCCTAGGCCAAGCACAGCTGTCACTTCGCCCTTGTCATGACTGCCCCCGCTCCATCCCCTCAACACCCTTCTATCCATCTGCCCCCTTCCTTGCCTGGCCTGGAGTGGGAGGATGGAGAACTGGGGGGATGGAGAGCAGAAAATGAGGGCTTCTCGGTAAAGCTGAGTGTTGAGTTGTGCAGAGGAAACGTGCTGTCCTTTGTGTCCCCCCTGGGAACTACTGAGAGGAAACTGGGATCCAGGAGAAAGGCGGACCCGGCGGCGCCTGGAGTCGTGTAAGAGAGAAGTGAGGAGGAGACTTAGTTTACCTCTCTCTTATATTCCTCTTGCTCCTCTTTCAGCGTTATCTCGATGAACACCTGCTGCAGCTTCTCGTTGCAGTAGTTGATCACAAACTGCTCGAAGCTGTTGTCCTAAGCGAAGGCACACAGGTTAAAGGAGAAACCGGCTCAGCCCAAGAGGCATCCCTCCTTTCAGCCCTCTCTCCCCTCTTGTACACGCCCCTCTGAGCCCATCTGCCCCTAACCATAGGGAAGCAGGGCACCAGAGGGTGGACAAAGTTCTCTCACCTCTAGTATTTCAAAGCCGTAAATGTCCAGGACCCCCATTACCTTCTTCCTCTCCCCAGTGCCCACCTGGAGATGAGGAAAAGATAAATCTGAGCACAGGTTCTCTGTGAGGATGTGATGGGAGCAAGGGGCACACAGAACTGAGGTGAGCCTGGCCCGGCTGTGAAGGAACTGCTGTGATTCTCCCCTATTCCTCTTCTCTAAGCTGGACGCCAAGCAAAGAGGGAAGACAGGAGGAGAAGGAAGACGCCAGTAGATTCCCGCATGGTGCTCCCACGGTGTGTGGTAAAAAGACATTGAAGTCCTCTCAGGAGAATAACCATCTCCTATGTTTGTTGAGCATTTTGCAAAAAAAATTTAGGTTCTTATTTCATCACATCATAACACTATACGGTGTGATTATTCCCACTTTACAGGTAAAAAAGTCAAATTTCAAAAGGGCTTAATGTTTACCAAACCTAGATTCAAATCCCATTTTGCCCCATGTCTTTTAGTAATAGCGCCTAAATTGATGGCATTTTCATATATATAATTTTTTATAAAGGTCTATTTTGATCTAATTCACATATCAGAAAATTATTCTTTTTCTAGATTTTATTTATTTATTTTTTAGAGAGAAGGGAAGAGAAGAAGAGAAACATTGATGTGCCCAACCAACATCTATTGGTTACCTCTCAGAAGTCCCTGACTGGGAACCTGGCCTGCAACCCAGGCATGTGCCCTGACTGGGAATCGAACCGGTGACATTTTAGTTCACAAGCCAGCACTCAATCAACTGAGCCACACCAGCCAGGGCCAGAAAATTTACCCTTTAAAGGTATATAATTCAGTGGGCTTTTAAAGTATATTCGTCACCACTACCCAATTCCAGAGCACTTCATTGTCCTTCCAAAGACACCTTGTACCCATACCCATCAGCAGTTACTCCCCATTCCCCTCTCCCTGCCCACACCAGCCCTTGTGACCACTGATCTACTTCCCACGTCTACGGATTTGCCAAGACTGGAAATTTTGTATAAAGGTCATACAAAATGTGTCCTTTGCATCTGGCTTCTTGTGCTCAATATGTTTTCAAGATTCATCCATGTTGAGTATATATGTATTTTATTCCTTTTTATGGTTAAATAACACCCCATTGTATATGAATATACCACATTTATTTATCCATTCATTGGTTGATGGACAATGGGGTTGTTTGCATGTTTTGCTTATTAAGAATAATGTCTCGCCCTGGCTGGCATAGCTCAGTGGATTGAGCATGGGCTGCGAACCAAAGTGTCGCAGGTTCGATTCCCAGTCAGGGTACATACCTCGGTTGCGGGCCATGACCCCCAGCAACCGCACATTGATGTTTCTCTCTCTCGCTCTTCCTCCCTTCCCTCTCTAAAAATAAACAAATAAAATCTTAAAAAAGAAAGAAGAATGTCTCTATGAACTTCATATAGAGGATCCAGCAGAAGTAATGCCTGCTGAGTGTGGCTGGTAGGATAATAATATGGCTGACATGATTTAAGGTTTTAATTAGAACATTTCACCTAAAATGTCATGTGGTGTGCTTGAGTGTGATATTGTTATGTTACAGAATTACCTGCTTATGATTTTGTAATAAAAAGTTGTGTAATAAAAAGGGGGCATTATTTGTGCTGTACCCTGTATATCTGTTTTCAGTTTGCTCGGATAGATACCCAGGAGTGGAATTGTTGGTTACGTGGTGACCATGCCCATCATCTTATCTGATCCTCGCTAAACCTGTGAAGCAGGTAGGCATTAACATCCCATTTTCCAATTCAAGAAACTAAGGCTCAGAATCCTTGTGAGATTGAAAGGCCACATGGCTCGCTCGTAAGTAGTGTATCCAGGTAGTCAGGCTCCAAAGCCAGCGATGTTTCCACAACACACTGCCGGGAAAAACTGTACACTACTCCTCACTGTCCTTACTCTATTCATCTCAGACCCCAAGGCATGGGGCTGGTGACCAGGGCAAGGGCAGCCAGGCAGGCAGGGGAGTGCTGAGGGAGGAGGGTGGTCTCTCACCTTGATACTCTCATTGATTCGATTCACTATCCAGTTGAAGAGGCGGCTATAGATGTTCTTAGCCAGAGCATCCCGAGCATACTGGGCCTACAGGGCAGGGCCAAGCCGGTTAGTGTGGCAGCCGCAGAGCACCCTCAGAATCATATCCTTCCATAGGGCCCCTTACCTGGATGGCATTCAGTGCAGTGACCACCTTTTCTTTAGCAGTTTCCATGGTTCTTGAGCACAAAGCTCTCTCTAGTTCCTCTGAATTCAACCCTGCAATTTCCCCAATCTCCCGAATACCTAGGGTGATGGGACAATACAACATGGCCTGAGAGAGGGCTTTCTCCCTGGGAGGGAAGAAGGGTCGGTAAGTGAAATTGCTGGGAGATTGGTGTCCCTGAGTCTTGCTGGAGAAGTCCCTGCAGCTAATTCAGAACATGGACCTGAAGAAGGCCTGGGGAGGAGGAGGAGGAAAGGGAGATCTGGGAACTTTGTATTCCTTATCTCCTTCGAGACTCTCCTGAATTAGGTGTAATTGTCTCTATTCTGCAAAAATCAGCTGAGACTCAGATAGGTCTCAGAACCTTCATCTATCAAACTTCAAAACCTCATTTCCATATGCCTTACTGGGGGTTCTCAGTGAGTATGTTTGGGGTAGAACTCAGGAGCAGGCTGAGTGGAACTAAATCAGAGTGCAGCTAATGATGCTTGAGTGGGCGGGAGGACAGCAGGAGGTTCGGGGAGCTGGGCAGGGCTTCAGCAGGAGACTGCAGACCTCTCTCATCACAGATGCCACTTGCTGGAATCCCATTGGCCTGGCACTCGTTTGACAGCTCCACGTTCCCCAGCTTCAGCACCAGGGCCGTCACCTCTAGCACCCATCGCATCTCCTCCTCAGAGAACCCAATCACAGTCATGGCACTCTACAGGAGAAAGTGAAAATCAGGACTGAACTGCGGTGCCGGTCCAATGCCTCCCTTCTCAAAAGCCTGGGCTCAGTGGGTGGCCTAAGGGCCCAAGCCTGTCCACCCTGGACACCCACCTGCATAGCCTTGAAGTTGGAGGCGTCATCCATGCCATCCACTCTGGACACTTCCCCGTTCAGATAGGCGTAGCCACTCGTGTCCCGCTCAAGCTTCAGGGCCTCTGGGAGGGCCAGTGTGCAGGGAGACAGTTAGGGTGCGGCTCTCTACAGCCCTCCAGCCTTGCCCTAGGTTGGTTCATTCACTTACTCAAGAATTTTTGTTTTAGTTTCTTTCCTTGCCTCCTTTGTTTTAGAATCATTAGTTCCTATAATAGACTAAATTTTTAAGTGGTATTTAGGATTTAGGTGTTGGTAATTACTGGGGTTTTCTCCCACCTTTCATGAAAGAAAAGCTTCATTTTACTCTGGTTCCTACCCTCAGCGTTCTAAACAATGAGAACAAACAGGCCGCCCTCCCCCACAGCTCCTGTCCCAGTGCCTCCAGAGGATGAAGGTAAGGTGAGGACAGGGGACACTGTCTCTCACCCGTCGCAGGCTGAACCTCTCGCCCGGGTTGGTGCCTTCACTGTTTTTTCATTAAGCACTGACAAAGCGGCAGGTTCTGCCTTCCGACCCTGAGCCCTCTTCTGGAGGGTTTTCCCTGGTGTGTCCGGCTGAGTGGCTCTCTGGTGTCCCCCGCCATGAATCTCTGTCCCAGCTCCTACCACATGCGCTGGGTTTCGTTTTCTCTCTCCCCCACAGATGCACAACCTGCCTGTGGGGGTTGTGTTTTCCATCTCCATATTCTGTGTACCTGGCTGACACCCAGGGACTTCTTTCTTTTAAATAAGTGAATCAAGGGGATGATCTAAGCTATTTACCTGAGATGGCAAGGAGCGGGTTAGTCAAGGCTTTAGGGACATCAGTGATCTGTTATTCAAAAGATCTGAGATTCAGTGAGTATCTCTCAAACTAGAATTTAATGGCGGCTTCTCCCCAGACATAGTTTTGAAAGCGAAGCTTGCAAAAGAGGGACGTCTGAACAGAGAAATGAGTCAGAAAGGCCCTGGGGTGGTGGCACTAGGGAGGCTCTGCCTGGACCCACCTTAAACCAGTGAGCAACAGAATCAGCCAGAATAAGACACTGGTGCCTGTGATTCAGACACATCGAACACAACCAAGACTATTAAGCCAGGAGAGGGTGAAACCTGTGGGGGCTCCTGAACCACAGAGATATGCTACAGGGAAAGAAGACACAGGCACAGACTCAGCACAGAATAACCAGAAACCAAAGGGACAGGTCCTCGGGGGCCAGACACCCACTGGGCTGACAGCTAGAGGGGGGACTAGGAAGCAAATTCTGACAGGGCCTTCGGTCTCACCACACCCTGCAGCGATGCCCACCCAGAGCCACCTCAAGCCGTGCAGCACCCAGGCCGGCATGGGCTCTTCCCCAGGATGAGGCAGCGTGCCCCACGCCTTCTGCACCTGTAGCCGTCAGCACAGGTCTACAGGCATGGACCGCACCACTCGCAGTGGGTCTGTTCACACGTCTGCCATCCCTGGGGGACTGTAAGTTCCTCAGGGGACAGGATCCTCGTCTTACTCAACTCCACACCCTTAGTGTTCAGTCATAGCAAATGTTCACTAGATGTTTGATGAGGGAATGAACGGAACCTGCGTAGATCTAAGAAGAGGAACTCAAGGACAGGGTCCTGGGTGAGGCGGATGCGGGCCCAGCACCACTTCAACTAAACTCATCAAAAGCTCTTGAACACTTGCAACGTCCTGCTTAATTTCCTGCTGAATTACCAATAAAATCCCTTTTAATTGAAGGTAGGAAAGGATAGTAGATGCAAACGGATATTCCATTTTTTGAAGCTAGCTTGGAGAAAGAGGAACCCAGGCAGGACAGAGGAATATAAGTGAAGAGGCAAGAAAGCTTCAGGAAAAGAGCACAGAGGTCACGGGATTTGTCCCCAGCGGTGGTGGATGAGATTCAGGTGAGGGACGCAGGAAGGAGAAATCTGAGGGGCTCCGGGGAGACAGGCTGCGCGGCCCAAAGGGGCTGAGTGACGGCGGGATGTCTGGGGCGGGCACGTACTCAGCAGCTGTGCGTCTGCTCCAGCCAGTAGCTGATAGAAGATGTGGAAGTTCCTTTCTCCTTTGAGTTGCTTCACCACTCGGGATTTCTCAAGCAGATCTGGCAGAGAATTAGAAACTAATGTCCTGAGGGTCTGGGAGATACCTCAGCTTCCCTCTAATTCTGCCCCCATCCCTGGTGTTGCTGGTGGTTGGGGAGCCTGGCAGGCTAATATGCCGCCGACCCACAGCAGCAGATTAGCAGGAAGGGACACCGTGGGGCCGGGGGAAATGAGAGGCGGTAAGCAGAATGGGGAGCTACATACAGTTTGTGATGACGCCACCAAGGGGGGATCCCTTGAAGTCAAACTCAATATCCATGTATTTTCCCTTCAGAGACCAGAGAGAGAGACTTTGTTTCCTCCTCTTGCCACCCCCCTGTCCAGAGAGGGCTGGCATACTCCTCCCCGTCGATCCTCCACACCCCTCCTCCCAGACTGGGGACAGAGGGGTCACTCACAAATCGAGAGGAGTTGTTGTTGCGGATGGTCTTGGCGTTGCCGAAAGCTGCAGAGATGAGGAGAGGGGCAGTGAGGTGGCTGAGGGGAGAAGAGGGACTCTAGAGGAGGAAAAGGAGGAAGGCCTTCCGGTCATTGTGCCCCCTCAGATTTTTCAGGCTGAATGAGAACGGTGGTTTTGGAACAACGGGGAAGAGGGTCTGGGGCTGAGTGACTCTGTGGGTGACAGGGTGGGGGTACAGGGAGAGCCTGGAATTCTCACCCTCCAGCACTGGGTTTGACTGAAGCAGTTGCTCCTTCACAGAGTTCACCTGCTCCCCTTTCCCACAGACAGCAGCCACGTAAGACATCACCAGCTTACTGGCCTCTGTGCAAGAGAAACCCTTATGTGGGTCCCCACGGTACCCTTCTTAACGTCCCTCATGCCAGCACCTCACACGCCCCCAGTCAGAAAAACCAAGAGGGAATTTCGAAGGTGGGAGAGGGGCAGGACTAGGCACGTCTTAGAAAGAGACGGGGGTAGTTCCAGTGGTGATTCCCCAGGCCAGGTGCCTCACCAGTCTTCCCGGCTCCACTCTCGCCCGTGATGAGGACACACTGGTCTTGGTCCCGGAACCGCAGTGACTGGTACGCCACATTTGCCACCGCATAGCTTGGGGGGAAGAAGTGGGTAAATGACTGTGGGGCCAGTCCAAGAGACTCTTTGTCTCGATCCCCAGCCTCCAAAGTCATCTACCCTCCAATTCTGAGGCAAGTGACAGGCCTAGGAAGGGGCCTCCAGAGGGCCAGGGGAAGAAGGGACAGCTGGAGAACCTCCTTCAGGAGAAAGGATAGAGGAAATTAGGATGTCTCATCACCAGGAGCATGCATCACCTTCCCTTGGTCCCTCTCTCTACTCACATATGGGGCTTCAGCTCATAGAAGGTATAGTCCCGGTATTTGTCGATGAACTCTGGGCCATAGATGGGCAGCTGTTGGTAGGGATTCACTGAAACCAGCACGTTCCCAATGTAGGTCTGGAGCCAGGGAAGAAGGTGACGGAAGTGAGGGTGTGTGGGAGCGGGAGCATGTGAGGTCCTCAGCCACACACCCACAGCCACAGTCGGGGCAACCACATGCACTCACATAAATCTCTTTCTTTTCATAGCGCAGCTGGAGGTTCTTGAGCAGAGACTCTTGCTCCAGAGGTTCCAGGAGCACAAGGTCCTCCACCCCTACGGAACCTTCCAGGAGAGTCATGTCCAGAGGGCCTACAGATCCTGGGAGTAAGGGGGGCAGTTGGCTGATGTCTTCTCAGCTTCAGAGACTAGTAAGTGAGAGGAGGGAGGCAGAAGGGCCTGAGAGAGCATTCCTCCCTTCCCCACCCCAGGCCCAGCCCCGGAGAGACCCCAGCCCAGAGAGGCCTCTGGACTAGCCCGGGATAACTGTGGAGGCTGCAGAAAACTTGACAGGAGGTGGGAGAATCCTCTGCTCCCTGGTCAGGGTTGGCAGGAACAGGGCAGGTATGGGATGGGACCACCTGCCCCTGACCACCAGGGTACGGGGACCCATGGGTGGCAACTGGGGAAGCACAGTTGCGCCTGCAAGAGAGAGGGTTGGGGAGGACAAGACAAGCAGAGCTTTGTGCCACAGCCGGCCACCGAACACTCTCTCCCTCCTGCACTGGTGCCCTGGCCAGGGTCTAGACTCTCTGACCATCGTCCCCAGCTCTCCTCCTCACCCCCTGACCTCCCACAGTCCCTGTTTCAGTCACCCAACCCACCCATGTCCATTTCAAAAGTTCTTCCAAAGGTCTCTCCCGGCCTCTCCTTGCTGCAGTGAGTCATTTTTTAAATGGAGACCAGACGAGGCAATGAGTTTGAGGACAGAGGCAGGTGTCCCTCCGTGAAAGACCGGAATACCCCAAGGAGAATACAGTAAGCTTTGTTTCCCCGACAAGCAAGAAGCTGTCAGGACCGGTGGCTGTGCCTGCCATCCCTACACTTCTGTCCCTATTTTTCTATTTACAGCTTTTACATGAATTCCTATAACCTGGCCTAGACCTCAGAGGGGCACATCTAGCTTTTCAGCAGCTGATGGGAATAAGCACGGAGGAGCGGAGCTGGAGACACAGGGAGCCTCAGCCTACTTCCTGGGCCTCGGGGACGCAGCAGGTGTTCCCTGAGGAGGAAGCCCAGCCCTCCTCAGCTTTTCCTGTGGGACCGAGGAGGCGGGGCGGCCTGGTACAGGTCGGAATTATTAGTACAATGGTCAATGCCACTCCCTACAGGAGTTAAAGAGCCATATCCTCCTCCTCTCCTGCATGCCGACTTGTGTGGGGGAGGGGAAGGAAGCAGGAACAGAAGATGGAACAAGAAGGGAACTCAAGCTGCCTTCTCCCTTCACTCCGCTTTCCCCAAGCTCCGGGAAAAGAAGAGCGCTCGTCACTTCCTGGAAGGACACAGTGAAGGGGCGACGAGAACACAGGTAGTAGCAGTCTCCAGCCGTCATGTAGTGATTACCAGGGGCCCGGCAGGGTTCTAAATACTATGCACACATTCATTCATTTGATACTTACAACACCCCCGGGAACTCAGTACTATTTTTATCTCAGATTTTCCAGGTTTTAAAAAAAGTTAAGTCATTAAGTAACTTGGCAGGGAAGGGTGAGAAGCTGAGCGGGGCTGGGAGAAGGCATCTTCTTTGAATTTGGATCTGAGGGTAGTGGAAATATGACTGATTGGGGGCAGGGAAGGGGCAAAGGAAGCAGCCCCTAGATGGGTGCCCTGAGATGAAAAAGAGCAGTGACAGGTCAAGGCTAGACTCACCCAACACGGGAACTAGGGTGTAACTTCACTGTCCCTTGGAGGATGATGGATGAAGTCCCAGTCTGGCAGGAAGGGGGCATAGGATGCCCAGCCCCAGGAGTGGAGAGGTGCCTTTGTTAACGGGAGCTGTCCATGGTGTCAGGAGACCAGGAAAGAGGCTCCCCTCCTTTTGCCAGTGTCCACTCTTCCTTCTGACCTTCCTCTGTGTCTGTCTCCTCCAGCAAGAGCTCTGTGTCAGTCAAACCAGAAGCCAGAGCCGGCTGCTCAGCACAAAGTCCGAGGCTGTTCCTGCTGCGGGTGTGGCTCACTTAACCCTTCACAGGTCTGAGCACTGCAGGGAGACAGTCACAGTGCCTCTGGGAGGAAAGGGTACCTGGCTGGCCTTAGCTGAGCAACTCAAGTCGACGTCTTCTGCCGTAGTCCCCAAAGTTTGGAAATGAGAGCAGGAGTGGAACTTATAGCCAAGGATGAGCTTTTCCAAAAAGTCAAAATTTTTTCAAGGAGGAAGGTAGGCTTGGGTGTCTTCCTAACAAAGCATTAGCACCTCCCTCAAACCTACCCTTCCTGTCTTCCCGAAAGTCAGGGGGTGTCAATGACATCACTTGGGGAACTAAGCAGACAAAATTTCCAAATCTCTTTCCACATGCCCCCGACCATGAATCAAACCCCATTATACAGATATAAAAACTAAAGGTAACAGTAACACCTGGCATTTGTATAGAAATCAGGTTCACTGATGACCACCTGCATCATCACACTGAATTGCACCGCCCTGTGAGGTAGGCAGTACAGACACTCCATTGAAAAGGAAAACCAGAGGCAAATATGGAGGCTCGGAGAGGTTACAAAATGTGCCCGTAGTTCCACCGACAGAACCAGGAACAGAACACTGTTTCCTGACCCTAAGTCAGGTTCCAGGCCAAGTCCTGGTCTAATTTTAATCTTTCTGTGCTAGGATACTGAGTAAGACCCCGAGATAATGTTTCCTGGGCATTTGCCCAGCTGAAAATATCTGCCTCCAACTGATAAGCTTATAAAATCCAATTTTCCAGGGTACTCCCTCACCCACCCAGGAAAATTCCTGAACAGCAGGCTCCCTCTGCCCACCGTTCTCCTTCCCGGGAGGCATGTACAAGGAGCAATTAGGTTATTACAGTCACTTAGCTGAAGACAGAGACTTGATTCTCCAACTTGCAGTCACAGCTGCTTGGTTCAAGGTCTAAACACTACTGCTTCACAGAAGCACTCTGCATAAGCCTGGCCCATCAGCAGTTCCATTATCAACCTGCCCTTTCATAATTTATTGGTTATTTATACACACACTCACAGAGAGGGGGAAAGGTAGAGCAGTATTGCAGTGTCAGAGGTAAAAATGACTGAAGATCCCCTCCGTCACAGTGGAGGAAACAGAGGAGCAGACCTGCGGTGAGAAAGCACTTCACCCAGCATTACACCACTGCAAACCTGGCTGAGGTGGGGCCAGAACCCAGCTCTCGTTTTCCAGGCCAGGAATTTGTAGCCACCTACAACTGGGATTTATCTGTGTGTCCACCCATTCACTCATTTACTGAGTGCCTACTGTGGGCTCACAAGAGAAGTGGCCTTTTTAAAAAATTCTCACCCAAGGATATTTTTTCATTGTTTTTTAAAGAGAAAGGGAGAAAGGAAACATTGATCAGTTCCTTCCCGTACATGCTGAGACCAGGGATCGAACATGCAACCTAGGTATGTGCCCTGACTGGAAATCAAATCCCCAACCTTTTGTTTAAGTGACAATGCTCCAACAGAGCCATGCCACCAGGGTGGGAAGTGGCTGTAAAATGAGATGGCAACCTTAGTCTTAGAAACAAGCTAGGGTGTCCATCTTGGTTTGTCCGGGACCTAAGATGAGTTCTCTGGACATAGGAATCTGCATGCTAAAACTAGGAAAGTTCTAGGCATACTAGGACAAATGAGTCACTCTAAATGAACAAGGTATAAAATAGACCTCCAAGTCAGCTAGGGTTTTAAGGTCTGTCAAAGCACTCCCCAGGTGAAGGGGACACATGGGGAGCTGTGCTCTCCCGTTTCCCAGACAAAACTGAAGCAACTGGAGCTTACTGGTCTTCCTCCATCGGACACCAAAATCACCTTCCTCTCCCCCCATTGAAAATTTCTAGTCTGTGTAGGGCATGAGGGAATTACTGGGGGTGATGGAAATGCTCTATATCATGATAGTGCAGATGGTTACACAACTATTTCCACTAGCCAGAACTCAGCAAAAGTTAAGACTGGTGAATTCTATTTTATATAAATATTTCAATAGAGATGGCAAAAAAAAAAAGAGAGAGAGAGAGAGAAAGAAACTTCTAATTCCTTTAGTGCTGATTTCTGATAGGAGTGTGGAGGCCAGCAATCTGATCAAACCAATTCACATTTATTAGTCCTCTCAGGGATATTCACTTTCTTAAAAAAGTGTATTTTATTTATTATGCTATTACGGTTGTCCTGTTACCCGCCCCCTTATTCCCCTCCACCCTGCACACCCTCTCCCACCCACATTCCCCTTTAGCTCATGTCCATGTGTTTATTGTAAGTTCTTTAGCTTCTACATTTCCCATACTATTCTTGCCCTCCCCGCCTATTTTCTACCTACCATCTATGCTACTTATTCTCCGTACCATTTCCCCCTCTTTCTTCCTCCCACTCCCGTTACTAACCCTCCATGTGATCTCCATTTCTGTGGTTCTGTTCCTGTTCTAGTTGTTTGCTTAGTTTGTTTTTGTTTTTCTTTTAGGTGTGGTTGTTAATAATTTTAAGTTTGCTGCCATTTTTATCTTCTTTTTCTTAGATAAGTCCCTTTAACATTTCGTAAAGTAAGAGCTTGGTGATGATGAACTCCTTTAATTTGACCTTATCTGGGAAGCACTTTATCTACCTTTCCATTCTACATAAAAGTTTTGCTGGATAGAGCCATCTTGGATGTAGGTCCTTGCCTTTCATGACTTTGAATAGTTCTTTTCAGCCCCTTCTTGCTTGTAAGGTCTCTTTTTGAGAAGTCAGCTGGCAGTCTTATGGGAACTCCTTTGTAGGTTACTGTCTCCTTATCTCTTGCTGCTTCTAGGATTCCCTCCTTCATTTTTACCTTGGCTAATGTAATTATGATGTGCTTTGGTGTGTTCCTCTTTGGGTCCAACTTCTTTGGGACTCTGAGCTTCCTGGACTTCCTGGAAGTCTATTTCCTTTGCCAGCATGGGGAAGTTCTCCTTTATTATTTGTTCAAATATCTTTTCCACTTGTTGCTCTTCCTCTTCCCCTTCTGGCACCCCTATAATTCAGATGTTGGAACATTTAAAGTTGTCCCAGAGGTTCCTAAGCCTCTCCTCATTTTTTTGAATTCTTGTTTCTTCATTCTTTTGTTTGGTTGTTTCTTCCTTCTGGTCCACTCCATTGAGTCCTATTTTCTTCCCATCAATGTTGGTTCCCTGTGCATTTTCCTTCATTTCACTTAGTGTAGCCTTCATTTTTTCATCTAATTTGCAAACAAAATCAACCAATTCTGTGAGCATCCTGATCACCAGTGCTTTGAACTGTGTATCAGATAGGTTGGCTATCTCTTAGTCGCTTAATTGTATTTGCTGTGGAGCTTTGATCTGTTCTTCTGTTTGAGCCATTTTTTGGTCTGGTGGCACCTGTTACATATGAGGGGCAGAGCCTTAGGTGTTCACCAGGGTGGGGCAACCAGTCCCTGGGTTATGATACTGTATGTGGGGGCAGAGCTTGAGAGGAAACAATGGTGCTTGATCTGCTCTCCATCAGACTTCAGTCCCTTCTGCCACTTCCCCCAAGCAAACTGGGCCCTTCTGGGGCTGATTTCCTGTGTGGGCGGGCTTGTGCACGTTCTAGGACCCCATGGGTCTCTCCAGTGAACTCTCCTTGAGGCTGGGAGTCTCTCCCTGCGCCTCAACCCTCACAGGTGTTTTCAATCAATGCTCCAAAGCTCAATTTCCCAGTGTTGGGACACTGGGTTGCATGCAGTGCCTTGCTTCACGATCGCCATCTCACTGGCTCTGCTGGTGGCCACCTGTGGCCAGGGTCTCCCACCTGCTGCCTGTGTGCCCAGGGTCTTGCGCACCTAGGATGCCTTGTGCGCCCAGTCTCACCACTCTTTGTGCCACAAGCCCTCTCCGCCCAGCTGCCTGACTCTGTCCTTCCTACCGGTCTGGATGAACACGTCTACTTTAACTCCTTGGTTGTCCAACTTCCATACAGTTCAATTTTCTATCAGTTCTGGTTGTTATTCTGTTCCTAAATTATTGTTGTCCCTATCTTGGTTGTGTGAGGAGGCACAGTGTGTTTGTCTACCTACGCCACCATCTTGGCCAGAAGTCTCAGATATTCACTTTTTAAAAGATGTTACACAATAAAAACACAGATTTCAGATACGGTGAATTCATTTGGTGGTAGAAGGTCTTCTTGTTTCTCACAAATTATCTGGTGTCAACCAGTAACATTGATCAAGTACTTATGATGTGTCAAGCGACACAGGTGCTTTCTGTTCTTGCCAAAGGCAGGCCTACAGACCAGCAGCATCTCAATCACCTGGAAGCTTATTAGAAATGCAGAATCTTGGACCCTAACCCAGACTTACTGAATCAGCAGTCTGCATTTTAACAAGCTCCCCAGATGTTTCTTACTCATGTTAAAGTGTTGAGAAGAATTGGTTTAAACAACTTACTTTTTTAAAAAAGCCTCCCTAAAACCCTATGATGTAGCACACCTGGCAGTTATGCTTTAAGTTTTATTAATTCAGCCATTAATGATCACCTATGCCTCTTATTTACCTAGTATAGTTATAGAGGCAGAGGAAAACATACGCTATTAGTGTGCATTAATCTACATAAATTTACATATGGTCTGCACCCTGTTTTCTTTCTCTTTCATCGTCTTTGAAAAATAGACAATGAATCTTCATGTAATCTAAATAACTATAAAAGGAGGAGACAGGTACAGAATGCAAATGCTGTAACAAATTTCCAAAGAAGGAAAAAAAAAAGGCAAAACATGAAAAATAGAAGGTACCAGATTCCTACTACAGAAGCTGGGCCTAGACTGAAGGTTTTATTCCATGCCCCCAATGCCCACTGCAGCACTGCTCCCTCCTCCACTCTACAGTTTTGGGCAGGCGTTTCACAGCTGGATCCCCGAGTCTTCCCCTCACCCCAGTGCAGAAATAAAACAAACACTTTCTATCATTAATAAGATGTTAAAGAACTAAAGTACAGAGTGGCTCCCTGGACCAGGAGTAACCTATACATGGTTCTTCTATGAGACAACACAATGGTATGACCTGCTACCTCTGTAAAAATATCTTAGAGGCCTTGCCTGTGTAGCTCAGTTAGTTAGAGGGCCATCTTGATACACCAAGGCTTCAGGTTTAGTCCCCAGTCAGGGCACATACATGAAGCAACCAATGAATGCATAAATGAGTGGAACAACAAATCAATCTCAATCAATCAATCAATCTCTCTCTCAAGTAAATTAAAAAACACACAACCCTTAGAGATGTGGCATGTTGGGAAACCACGCGGTGCAGGGCCGGAAGTGGTGTCAGACACAGCCAGGTGGGCAGCAGAGGTTAGGGCAGGCAGACAGCATGCAAGGCACATCACTGAAAAGGTAAAAGCAAGCAGCTAAGCACTGATTACCTGCAAACAAGAAATCCAGACAAAAAAAGTGCATGTTCACTAAAAGAAACCACTATATAGTCTATAAACTTTATTAAAATTGGGATTACTCACAAACTTGTACAGTAAAAATAAAAAAATATATAAGACATTGATATTTTTACTTACAGAAAAGAGTAAAAATGGGACCCAGGGCAAAGAGCCATCCCTGATCATTTTGTTCCTTTCAAACATTCAAGAACATTTATTTTAAATATAAATGAAAGTCTTTTTTTTAAATATTTTAAAATAACACTAAGGCATTACCCACACGCTGACTTGACCTAGTAATTCCTTACCCCTGCTATTTCACCGCCATGGGAAACTGGTAATTGCAGGCTGTAAGAGTGCTAATACATTGTAAGTTTTCTGCTATGTTAACGTGATACAGATGTCACCCACACCCTAGTAAAGTTCAGAGACAGTGATTTCATCATTTTCAAGTTATTGTCAAGAGTGTGGAGGAATTTGGGAAACTTTGTACACACCAAAAAGGGAGCGCTTGCACCACACAACAGGGAGAGAGAACTGCGTTGTCGAATACTTTGGCTGACAGAGAAGAAGCATTTCATGAACTTTAAAGCCATTATAAAATTCACTTTTTAAGCCATTTGGTTTTAATAAAAGTGTACAGATCATAAAGAAAAGAGTGTGAAGAGGAAGAGGACACATGAGAATTGGGGTGTGGGAACCCAAGGCCCCACATTTTGGGAGGCTGTGCGCCATCCCCGTCCTCACTAAGGCTGTGCACTGACGTTCATGTGAATTTGCATTGTTTATTCCCAGCAGGCTCTGGCTCCCGTCACATAAGGCACCGAACACTCTTAGAACCCAAGTCAACAGTAAGTTAATCCAGAAGCTAAGTCAGCGAGAGACACCACTGGGTCACAATTGCATAGGTTTCCCTAAGAAAGTAATTTCTGCTACACCGAAACAGAAGCAAAAGGTTTTAGGTGCATTTGCCTCAGACAATGGCTATTTTTATGTTCATTACTTGGTTCCAGGGCCTATGTAACAGGAAGGCATAACAGATCTGTCAAACTGTCCTCTCCTTGGTTCAGATAAAATTCTTGGCATTTCAATATAGGTTATTATCTCATATGTCATACCAAAGGAATACAAGAAGGACATTTAATTTCCTTTCCTCCTACTTCAACTTCCACTACTCAATTCAGAGAAAAGTTATGAGTACACAGCTAGAAACCATTTTTACTCATGCATCCATCTGAACCCACTACCCCACCCCCCCCGCCACCACCACTTTTTGGAACAGCAAGATTGAGGGCAATTGCATAATCCAGCCCCAAGACTTTTGCCAGGACCTATAGGGACTATCTGGTCTATTTGGGTCCTTTCATTCCTCAAATCCTGTCGTATATGCCCAGCGGAGATCAGACGGAAGGGAACACAGTTAATGCAGAGAGGGCTAGGCCCTGGAGTGGGATTTATTAGCACAAAGTGCAACACTGGAACTATAATGGAAGTATTATAAGCAAAATCTCCTTTATACTAGACATAAAAGTCATGAATTTGGGGTAGAAACAAACTAGTTCTGGTAAGATGAAGTGGCTGATAGAAATTTCTTGTCAGAAAATGTCAAAGTTGCTTAGCTTTCCTTATTTCTGGTCATTGGTCTCATGAAAGCCATCTGAGTGGGAAAGTGAAAGAGAAAGGTTTTGGGCCAGTCAGCTCGTGTTCCCATTAATGAAAGACATGCCCTACACAACTCAGTCAGGCCGACCACAGGCAATAGATTCCCAATGCCGATGAGTCCCTAGGCCTTTGCGCCAATTGACAGCTTCATATTTGCAGAGTAAGATGCTGACTGGGCAGCAGACGTGGCTCCATGTCCAGCTCACTCCATAGTTATCCCTTCAATAGTTCCCGATGAGGTCAGTCTGAGAGCTGAGACTGCTGAACTTGCAAAAGCTATAACTGCCAGAGAAAATTAAACGGGGGCTTCGAGTAGTGACTGAGCCAGCAGACTAAGTGGCCAACAGGGAGACAAGAGCAGCTTCTAAAGGCTTACTAGGTTAGGCAGTCTCTGAGCACACAGAGGCTCTAGCGCGTCCAGAGCAGAGCCACACAGGCAGACAGGCAGGGCAAGGATGCACAGCACACCAGAGGCACTGGCCTTCACTGTCTGACAGCAGCTCTCAGGCTTGGGGACCCATTGTCATCTCCACTACCTACAGCTCAGTCTCCAGCTTCCAGACAGAAGTAATGAACTGAGTTTGATTTTACTCACCCCAAACTCAAACACAGTGGAAAAACTGGTCTTGAGATGGAAACTTTATTTCACAAGGAATTTACTAAACATAAAAAGAGAAAAATCTTTCCCTAACTCATATCGCTTTCTCATTGAAATAAAAAGACGAGTCAGGAAAAATCCCCCTGGGGGCAAGCTACCGCCTTTCCTAAGTGGCTGTTTGGGGGAAGGCACTGAAGTCTCCAGGGAATGTGAGACTACTTGTACAGCTGCATTACTTTTTCAAATCAACTTATGCTCAAATACCCTAGGTCTCAATTTCTATAAATGAGGACAAAAATTGTGTATTACAGAGGTCTTAACAGTTCTTTGTAGAGATAACATTTTACTGTGTACATAACTCACAAAGGAATAAAGATTTCCCAATATAAAGCTCCCTTACTCTGTAACTTTAACCCATAGCTAGCATCTGCCCAAAAACTGCTTATTTTTCACTTTCCACTATATGTCTGCTGCCAATTGAGGTAGTTGTCACTTTAGGACAGTTTAAAGCTATGGGAAACATGGTTGGAAATAATCAGCTGACCACATGCTGGAAGTTAGTAATGGAGCCCAGGGCCTTTCAGAACTATCTGCTAAATGGCTGTTGTGAAGGAGTCATTAAGACTTTTTAAAAATCGTCTCTGATCATGGTGATCCAGCAGCCTAATGCTGTGCTCTTACCATCAGTGTCTATCTTCCCAGCCAGAGTAATTATAGCTTTTTTCAAGATATGAGGGAGAAGATCACAAAGACAGAACCCGCTAATGACAGAGACTTGGAAATCTGCTCCCTCATAAATGGCATTGCTGGTTTACAAGGGTAGTTTCTAATGGCAAAAGAATCTGAAATTAATGCCACTGTAATGAAAGGTAGCATGAATCTCTGATCAGAAATGGAATTGCAAACAAGTGTAACAAATTCATGGAAAAATGGTTCTAAACCCTGATAGCTAAATGAGCACCTGAAGGCATGAAGATTCCCTGAAGGTCTACCTCCTGGCAATGCGAACTGTGGCAGCTACATAGCTACAACTTGCATGTTTTATCAAGAAACGTCACAGTTTCAGAGCTTACAAAATTAGCCTGATTTCTTGGGGGAAGGGTGTGGACGGTCAGGAAAGACAGAGAGGAACAGTAAGAATGGGCAGACAAAGGAAGCAAAGGAAAAGGAGATAGCTTCCTGCTTCCATAGCCACTCAGAGACATGTGACTCACTGACAAGAAAAATGGAGAACCTGTAAAAACCACTTAAATTCCCTAAATAAGATCACTTCTAAATAGCAGGAGTAATGCTAAAAACCAAGAGGAAGAGAATATGAGAAATGAAACAAACTCTGAATTGTACATAACTTCACAGGTATGGAAACAGGCCCTTCTTGAAAAGGCAAAGGGAGCTAGGAGGAATGGGAAGGGGAGAATGCAAATTTGTTTTTAAGAAGGAATTGAAAGTTGACTATAATGAAAAGCCCAATGGGCCTCCCCTACAGAAGAGCCCACAGGCATGTTCCTAAAAGCAAGCAGGACTTAGAATACTGCATATAGGAGAACTAATTCAAACCTCAACACAACAGCTTTGATGGGTGATCCATATTAAGTATGTAGGGGCCTATGGGGCTTGTCTCTCTGGAGCATCTGCTGGTTCTAGAACATGAGTTTCCTACATTTTAAGAAATTAAAATTACATATATATTGAAAAAATAAGACAAGCAAATAAAATCCATTTTTCTCTTAAAACAAGGATTATTCTGAAGTAAAACCAGAAGTGAAGGAGGCTCAGATTTGTGGATTTCTCCACGGAACATAAGCCCAAGTGACAGTTCTCAGCCCTAAATGCCACGGCTGACTCAGCTTTCAGTTAGGAGACAGAATCCTGTCCTAGCTGTGCCCATCCTGTTCCTTTGGGAACACTGAAGGTGAGCTGATAGCTTAACCAATGGGAAGCATTCATGCTTTATCCACTCTCCTTCCTTAGGGGTCCCACAGAGACCACCAAGATCATTTTCAGAGGGACGCCTACTCAGGCCTCTAGCTTCAGTGAGGGAGTTTTTGCACGGCCTCCCTCTGTCTCAGAGAGTTGGGAAGCAACTGCACAGCAACACATGTGACCCAAGCCTTCAAGGCACCAAGCCAGTCCACGTACAAGTAACTGACTGCTACCTAACTCAAAAAACTGTTCTGCGTGATAGTGGGGTGCCAAGAATCTGAGTCCCCCTCCTCGGAGGACGTTTCTTCATCGATTTCATCCTGGGCAATGATGCTCCCTAATCCATACTCCTGCTCATGAACAGAAACCTCATTCGGTGTGAGGTGAAAAGAGCCCTCCACGAAGTCAGCAAATCTGGAAAAGAGAAGATAATATTCATTAGAAACCTTCTGTCCTTTCTGGTTTTATTTCAAAATAAGAATAAATTGAAACACTTGATATGCTCAAATTAAACCGAGTCTAGACAACCTCCCCTGTCCTTACTCTGGCAGTTAAGTAGACTAAAGCCAGAAACAAGGAGAAAGGGAAAGCTGGGGTCACAGGCCAACTTCCCTTGAAACTCCGTCCTGCTTAATAAGCAGCATTCTATCCTTTTTAGTTATGGAAGTGCCAAGGTTCCTTAGTCATCTGTAATCCTGATAAGAAAAGATTAAGGGTCATCACACATTTGTTCATGTTTATGGTCCCATAAACCTTATGCCATCAGGATTCCATATTGAAGCTTCATATACTCACTGGTGGAGTTGCTCCCAAATAAAAAGGAAAAAAAAAATCCCACCCCTTCCCCCTGCAAACAAAGAGAAAAAACACCCCTCAAAGAGCAATGCAATATTATCAGAGGGAAGTCCTGATATGGTAGTAGAGCCTTCTCATCTTAATGCTATGATCAAGCCAGAGAAGATGGTTCCTTGAGGAACCAAAAGACAGGCTACCATTTAACATACAATGAAGTACATACCCTCCTCTGGACTGCCCATACATGAACAGGAAAATAGAGCCACAAATACAGAATGATTACCTAGAAGTATGATCTTTGTCAAAACTCAAGGTCACAATTACCCTGACAAATGCTTGGCATATCTGGCCAAGAGTTTACCTCTTTGGGGACTGGATTCGAGAAATAGTCTTCCAAGCAGAGCAGTCTGGACTGTTACAATATTCTCGAAGCTCCTCCAAAGCCTTTTGGGTCTCCACTTCTCCTTGTATCCGATACTCTTCTTCTGTCAGGAGACGAGGGGGGGCAATCTTTTCTGTTGCCTTATACATCTTTCTGTGCTCACCAAAATAACACCATGAATCATTAACCAGTAATCTACTCGCACCCTTAGCTCTAGCTCCCTTCAGTGGACCAAGCACACAGCAGAGAGCCTGAACTTTAAGAGTCATGGCTCCCACCCTTCTGCCACAGATGCTTATAGTCATAATGTGCTCTTGACGTGTCAGACTATGCATGGCCAGTCAGGACAGGCAGCATTATTCACTAATATAAATAAATTCACATATTTGCCAATAAATGATAAAGTATTTATTTTCCAAAAACAGGGAAAATGACCAAAAAATGATGGTGTAAGACTGTGGCCCAGAAACTTGGTTCCCCAAACTGACGGTATCACCTGACTCTCTATAACAGAACCACCACTGGCAGCCTCAGGTCATTCCATTCGCACTACGTGAAGTGATAACCTGCTATGAATCACCCTTATGTTAAGACTAGGACTCCCAGAGCAATCTGTGAGCCAGTGTGAAATAATCTGAAACCCGGTGACCTGAGACATTTGATAGAAAAGGAGTATCTTTTGCACCACCTAGTGGTAATAGGAACACATGACGCCTTACTGGACACTTATTTTATATAAAATGACTAGAAATGATAAAAATGCCTATAGAGTCTAAAGAAAGAGACTGAGGAAGAACAAAAACAGAAGCAATGATATAATAAATATCCATCAGAAAATAGGCTCTGAGGTCAACACCTCTGTATCCTCTTGCTGCAACTGTGTCACATACTGCACATTTCAATAGTTACTTTGCCTTTCAGTCACCTGTAGGTGATGTACAGCCACCGAAGAGGATACTCCACATTCTTGGTACATAGTGCAATGATGACAATGGCAAGGGCAATGTGTGGGATCTGGATACCCAAGTACATGAAACACAGGCCAATCAGCTGCAAGGTCCAGGTCAGCAGGTTGATACTTCGCTCATTCTCCAAGGGCCCATACTTGTAACAGACTGCAAAACTCATGAACCCGACCGTGACGATATAGCCTATGAGAGGAGTTATCAGAAGACATTCTTTTTCATCTATAATTAGTAAAATAATGTGTGTGGGGAGCAGCAGTAAATTCACTACATAGCACCGATTAAACTGGGAAAATGAACAAGACCTTTATTCAATTAATTATTCATATTTTTTCATTACTCAGATATATTTATCTCTTTAAGTTCTACCTTTCCTTGTTCCAAATTTGCTTGGTTCAGATGGAGCACTACTACATATTGAGCAACTCGAGCAGAAGAGTCTGTTTAAAAAAACCCAATATATGCAAATCCAGGTTAATCACCTCTCAAAAGGTAGTTGAGGGTTATTATCTGTACAAAGGATTCTGGCTTAACAGATCAGATTCACCAGTTATTTTTTAATGTAATTGTATTTAAAATATAAATAAAGTCAAGTTATAGTTTTTCAGAAAGATGTCTATCATGTAAAGAAAGGTGTACTCGTCAACAAGTTCAAGTCTTCTCCTGAGCAGAATCATTTTAATTGAAGAGAAGCTAACAGCTGTTAGAAGTAAGTGAAGAACTATGATTCTTAAAAATTAATACAATGGCATGGACTTTAAACTCCTATAAGTTAATTTCATGATCAAATTAACTAAAATAGTCTATAAATATATTAAAAAGAAAGCAAAACTGACCACACTTACTTAAGAGATACTGCCAATAACACCTCCAGATCTCTTGTAAGTTTTTAAAAACTAGTTGAATGAGGTACAGCGAAAATGACCAGCCTCCCACCAGGATGATGTAAATGGGACTTTTCTAAGACAGAGTAGAAGTGAAAGCCATGAGTTACAAAAACCTTTCCATACATAAAAGCAAAATGGAACTACAGTTTAAAAAAAAAACTACTGAAAAACATCTCTTACAAAGATTTCTTTTATATTTAAAATGTACAGTCTACAAAGAACACTGGGAAAATGAGATGCTAAATAACTTAAAAGCCTGACTATGTAATAAGCAAACAGGAAGGAGACTTTAATCCTCCACTTAGCAAAGAATTTTAAATAAAAAGGGAGAGTTTGTATATAATCAGGCTCCAAGTTTCCTCACAGAAAGTACATTTCTGAATCAAGAAAGAGCAGGACATTGACTTAGCCATCAAAGCAAATTTGTAGTGCTCAAAGCTTACCCAAGAAAACCCATCCTTCAACTATCCAAGCTCATCTTAACCACATGAATATTCTGCTACTCACCTTGGGTATAAACTTGGACAGGACGAAAATGATGATTAGCAGAGAGGCCACAATCCCCACACTCATCCCAGTGGAATAGTAGAAGATTTGGCTTCTGCAGAGAGAAAATGTATTACATGACTACGTGTGTATTTGTCATACATGACATTGTTCCAACTAGGACAACTGTACCAGCCAAAAGATGGAGAAAAGGTACAAGATTAGAGCAGCTTTTTGCCCAAAACTTGAGGTCAGAAAACTGAAGAGAATGGAACAATACAGTTGCTGCCAGACTATGAGGATTAGCATCAAAGAGGCCCCTCCAGTACATCCCAATAATAAGACTCTGCTTAGTCTCCACTCCCATCCCAGGCCCTCTCCCAATCCAAATTTTAGTAAGAATCTTTCTTCTGAGGAACTCTACAGCTTCTCTGGGGAGAAGAAAGGAGCAGATACATGGTCTCTTGCAGAAACCGGAACTGAACTGATTACCCAAGAGGATAAAGCAAACAGGGCCTGGAACAGAGAGCTCCTTACTCTTATCCAGGCTCTTTCTATCAGTCACTCCTCCCTTGGTGAGTTTCTCTCAGGATCCCCCCAAAGATGGAACAACTCCCACCAACCTCACTCCAGCCCAACTCTGAACAACAACTGTTACTCTGTCATTCACTATTCCACAAGTATTCTTTTTACTTGTGTACAGAGTTAATGTTGGTTCTACCTTTGTTCCATTGAACAAATGGAACAAAGTTTGTTATCTATATGTTTTCTTTATATTTGCACACATCAGTTACACCTACTTTAGGTAGTAGGTTCCTAAAGGCAGGAAATGAGCAAGTGGTTAGTGTTTGTTTCTTCGCCTCTGAATGGCATGAAACGTGTCAACACATAGCCCAGTGAAAATAAGGGTTTGGCCCTGCCCAGGTAACACAGTTGGTTAGGGCATCATCTCAATAAGTCAAGGTTGTGAGTTTGATCCCTGGTCAGAGCACATACAAGAAGCAACCAATGAATGCATGAGTAAGTGAGACAACAAATTGATGTCTCTCTCTCTCCTTCTCTCTTTAAAATCAATAAATACAAATTTAAAAATAAAAGAAGGGCTTAACACATTATTTCTTTTCTAATGGTGGAAAGAGCGATTGATGTACTGGCTAAATCTCATCACAAGATGGGTCAACCTAACTGGGGGAATTCCTTAATTCCAATCTTCTTCAATACAAGAAAAAAAACCCAAAAGTTTTAACACACATATAAAATATTTTAAAAAATTATCCAAGCAGGCAATAGCCTAGCCATAAAGGTCCTGGAAAAAGGAATGGCAACACTTAAAGATTTTATGGTAAAAATTAGGCAGGGTGAGTCTGAGCCTCATCATTCCGCACTCTAGCCTTGTAACTTACCTGCTCAGTACGTCTCCACAAAAAAATAACGTAAGTCCAAGGAGGAAAACTAGAAAGAGTTTGGGGTCAAATCCTGAAATAAAGAGAGACTTCTGCTTAATAGGAGAACCAAACAGTTTAAGACATTATATTAGTCCTCCCTCATCTACGGGGTATACATTCCGAGACCCCCAGTGGATGCCTGAAGCAGTGAATGGTAATGAACCTTACATTTACTGTATTTTCTCACACACACATACACCTATGATAAAGTTTAATTTATAAAACAGGCACAGTAACCCTGGCTGGTATGGCTCAGTGGATTGAGTGACTGCCTGCGAACCAAAGGGTTGCTGGTTTGATCCCCAGTCAAGGCATATGCCTGGATTGTGGGCCTGGTCCCCAGTGCGGGATGGGGGGAGGGAGTGTGAGAGGCAACCACGCATTGATGTTTCTCTCCCTCTCTTTCTCTCTCCCTTTCTCTAAAAATAAATAAATAAAATCTTTAAAAAACAGGCACAGTAAGAGATTAACAACAATAACTAATAATTAAATAGAATAATTATAACAACACACTGTATTAAAAGTTACTACTTAAGTGAACGTGGTCATTCGTTTCAGGGATCCCTGGCTGAGGTCTTCATACAGGTTCAATATTTTCTGGAGCTACATACTTCCATTAATAGAAATGTGTTTTCTGTTCAGGTCTTCTACCCACAAATTTAATGCCTTTTTCATCTTAACTAAGCACTTAACATGCTCTGTGACTATAACTTCTGCAGTTTGAGGTGTGACAGCAAAACTAGCATGGAATTCTTTTTCCTTCTTCACAATTTCACGGATAGAAGATTTGTTCTCACCATTTTCCTTAGCAACCTCAGCATACAATTTTTACCCCTTAAGTCAGTAACTTTCACCTTTTTACTTAAAGAAAGCACTTTACAGCTTCTCTCGGGCATATCACAGTTGTCAACATCACTACTCTTGTGCTCTGGGGCCATTACTAAGTAAACGAAGAGAGACTTGAATGCGAGCACTGCCTACAGGGACAGTCAGCTGTGACAATTGATCTGCTAACCCAGACCTCTACGGAGCAGACAACAGAAGGGCAGCTTATGTGACGTGGATACACTGGACAAAGGGGTAACTTGTGTCCAGATGGGATGGTGCGAGATTTCATCATGCTACCCAGAACGGCACACAATTTAGAATTTATGAATTGTTTATTGAATATTTTTATTTCTGAAATTTCCCATTTAATATTTTCAACTGAGGTTGACCACAGGTAACTGAAACCACAGAAAGTGAAACCATGCATAAGGGGGAATTACTGTACAGAATAAATGGCAATGTTGGCATTATTGGTCAGCTAAGAAAATAAATGCTAACAGCCCACCAAAACAACATTAGAAATTCCACACAAAGCCTGGGCATCCTTCCAAAGACAAAGCGTGATTAGGTCGCTGTCTAATCTGAACTTTCCTGAAGATCTATCCTTATTTTGGCTACCTATACCAAGGCTAAATGAAACCAAGCTTTGCTTTGCACAGAATCAGGCATAGTGCCCTCAGTACTTTGTGCTATCGCCCACAAGGGGTCTCCACCACTCAGGCTTTCAAGGCTTAGGTCATTCACAGGCTGGGATTTACACTTGCCCAGAACTTTGGGTCAGGGCCCTCTGTTGTTCCCTAACTGGCTGTTTTTCTTGCCCAAACACCACCATTTACTTCCCCTCGCTACACAACCACTGTGCTGGAAAAGCCTCCCCTCAAACACATCTCACCCAGGACCAAGGAGCCCAAAGCAGAGGGCCCTTGGTGCTGTACCAGACACCCCCACAGCCTTCACATTCAAGAGCTCTGAGTCTTGGGGAGGTCCACAAACAGAACGGGAGCAAGAAGGATCAGCAAATATAAAAGGAATACCAAAAAAAGAAAAAAAACCCAATCATGCCAATCCTATACAACCAAAGAACTGTGGAACTCTAGGGCAATTAGAAGGGCCCAAAACATTGTATATAGCAAAACCCAGGAACAGTTCTACTACTCACAACAGTCCAGGACCCTGGGTGGTAAAAAAGGAGAGGCAACTCAGAGAATTCAAGAGGATAATGATCTCCTCTGTGAAACTTCCTCAGACATTTAGAGAGGGGAAAACTCCCAATTCCGCTGAAAAGACCTTAAACTGCAGTGATCTTCATATTTATCATTGCACAAATAGCTTTACCTGTGAAGTATTAATATTCAGTTCTATCTTCCTTCAGTTTTTATTGTTGAACCATTCATGTTTTCAAATGAAGACCCGTGCACTTCAGGGCATCTATCCTGGTCTAGGAGTGCCCAGAGGGCAGGAACACAGATCTGTTACTCTAAACAATGCTGGGAATACTAGGTCAGTGACACTGGAAGTATTCCGAATGCATGTCTTCATTATTCTAGGTAAGGAAATACTCAGAATGATCTAAAGTGAAGTCTTAATTCTACGCCTAAAGGGTTTAATGTGGGGTGGAGTCTCTCTAAACTGTTGGGAGCAGTGGTGAACTCAGGTTATAATCAGAACCAAAATGGAACTATCTTGGGCTGACTTCTCTGTTGCGCTAATTACACCCTCCAGTGTCCAGTCCCTTCTCATCATAGAATCCATGGGAAAAACACAGGTAAGACTTACTGCGGGTCACAGTGACACTGTACTTGGTGTCTTGCTCTATAATCTCAACTTTGAGGCAGGTTTTTGTGCTGTATAGACCCACGTTAACATAGGTGTCATTCAATTTCTCTTTTAGAAAGGAGGAAAAAAAGTTCCAGATACTAAACTGCTCTAGCTCCTTCAGTTTCTCTTCGTTTTCCACCTGGGTGACTCGTACCACTTTGGAACTATTCACCCGAATCTGTAACACAAATAATATCAAGGTGAGTTTTTCACAAATACAATTAAAAAAAACTTTAGAGTAAATATCTAAATCAGAAATGGCATTAGTTATATTTAGAGAAAAATATAAAGATGCAGCAGCTAAAACACTGCACATGGTACAGAGAGGCAGCTGTTAGAACGTCTTGTCAACATGATCTGAATCTACCATTAGGCCAGAACATAGGGAGGAAAAGACTCCCACAATACAGCTACTTACAAGAGATCATACAAAGCAAGGGTCTAGAATATTAAGAAAATTGCCAGGCATAAACAGTCCTGAAAATGTTTCCCATAATGACAGGCTGAGAAGTTTAATCCTTTGTCACAAATCACTGACTATGGTAAATGTTGGTTATAATTTGCCCCAGATGGAATATGATCTTTATATCAGACAATAAAGAGAATTAAAAAAAAAAAGAACACAAGCCCACCCTTATGTTTTTGATATGAACAAATGCCCTTGTCAGTAACTATGCTCATAGCAGTAGCAACATTTTCAAAAGGACTCATTTTGTTCAGTCTTTATTATGACCAGACATTGTTGCTCTACCAGCCAGTTTCATGGTGTTATGAAATAAATGAGATCGAAGTCATTCTATCGAGAGGAAACCTCAGAAGGTTTATGAAACATCTTGTGTAGAATCAACATAGGAGCAGCAAGGCAAAAGAGTTTACATCTGACAGACACGCAACAGTTTCCACGTCAAAGAAGGCATAAGGCCTTTAAAAAGACAGGGGTATGTAGGGTGTGTGTGTAAAGGAGAGAGGGCAAGAGAAAGAAGTTTCTTCTGGAAAAGGAGGAAGTTAGTTTACCTCAGGGTCAAGTACTGTAAGCTACTTAAATGAGCAGAGAGGAACATAAAGTAGGCATAAATGCTTACTGACAAAAACACAATTCAGGATAATCTCAACTCTACCAAGGTTGTTAATACTACTTTTTAAAATTGTGTGTCAGAGCAAAGAGTGTCAAAGTTCTCATGAACACAGACAGTCAGAGAAGCCACCCTGCCACGGGCCCAGACCATTACCTGTATCCGCGTCCATATGTCATGCCACTTTGGGACAAGCGCATTTTCATAACAGAACTGTTGCCCCGTAGTCTTATTATAAACTCGGGATTCCTGAAGCATGGCCACTTCTATATCAATTTCAGCTTTATGCAAAGAAAGGAAATAAGAATTAAATATAAATAGAACAAGCTGATAACTAGAACTCATTTCATAAAAAGATTTAAACTGACCACTTTCTTAAAGCTGGGGTTAAAATGTCACTGACTTAGAAACTCAAGATAACTGAGAAGAGAAAAGAAGTAAGGCAGTCTTATTTCTGTCAAATTATTTAAGTATTACAAACAGTCATTAACCCAGAAAGCAATAAAAGCTACTAATAAATGTCTTCTAAGACAGTATGCTGTCTCATTAACCCTCCCGACAATGTTATGAGGTAGGCACTCTCAAATCCCTACTGCACAAATGAAGAAACATACTTAAGAAGTATGACTTTGCCCAAAGTCACACAATTAAGTAGCTTAACTATTTAATAGAGTCATAGCCAGGTCCTGTTTCCCTTAAAAAGGCACAGCTAAAGTAACCCCATCTGGTGATTTTTTTTCTATCCCTTTCCTGATTAGGATGAACAGAACTGACAGTGATGATTATATGTGTATAGTACTTGAAGAGATACTAAAAGATCACAAAGTTGTTTTTTTCCTGTTTTGTTTCATTTAAAGTTTTAATAACAGTCAGTAAATATATAGGCACTCCCTTTGATTTTACCAAAACAGAACACTCTCCCCCTCAGGAGTTTTGTATTCAATCTCAACTAATCTAAGGTCTAAAAGTGAATACTGTTGCCCTGGCTGGTGTGGCTCAGCGAATTGAGCGCCAGCCTGCAAAACGAAAGGTTGCCGGTTCAATTCCCCATCCAGGCACATGCCTGGGTTTTGGGCAGATCCCCATAAGGGCGTGAATAAGAGGCAACCAATTGTTTCTTTAACACATCGATGTTTCTCTCCCTCTCTTTCTTCCTTCCTCCTCTCTCTGAAAATAAAATCTTCTTTTTTATGTGACCAGTCTTTTATCTTCCCACTCAAATTGTGCAAGCTACCTTCTTTATCACAAAACATTTAGTAACTTCTTCCTTGAGTTCTATATTGTACTTAGCAATTTATGAAGTGCTACTTTAAGTGGAAATGCAGTTATGTCTCTGGGTCTTTTTTTTTTTTTTAAGATTTTATTTATTTATTTTTAGAGAGGGAAGGGAGGGATAAAGAGAAAGAGAGAGAAACATCAATGTGCGGTTGCTGGGGACCTGGCCTGCAACCCAGGCATGTGCCCTGACTGGGAATGGAACCTGCGACACTTTGGTTCGAAGCCCGTGCTCAATCCACTGAGCTACGCCAGTCAGGGCATGTCTCTGGGTCTTAATATAAAAGTGGGTAGATTTAAATAAACTAAAAACACCAAAACCCATAAAAACACAAAAACCTCAACAAATCCTTGGGAAGACAAAGTTACATGCACACAAAAGATAACGATGCCTACTGATCCAAAATTGTTTTAAAGTAAAGCTAAGACTAATTTTGAAGTTAAATTCAGTCTTAAACCTAAATGTAAGAGCAAAAACTATAAAACTGATTAGAAAAGAACACAGGTGTAAATCTTCGTGACCTTGGATTAGGCAATGGTTTCTTAGATATGACACACTAAAGCATAGCAAACAAAAAAAGAAATCAGACTTCATAAAAACTTAAAAGTTTTATGTTTCAAAGAACACTATCAAGATAGTAAAAACAATCCACAAAATGGGAGAAAATATTTACAAATCTGTCCAGAAGGTATTCAGACATATAAAATGAAAAATAGAGACATTTATTGAAGATACAAGATATAAGAAACATTGTACATAGGACAATGATGCCTCAGTCCCCTTCAAGTGGGCACCTTGGGACCTCACACAGTTCTCCCAGTCGCCATCAGCTGCCTCACTGGATTTTCCTGAATCTCATCAACAGTCTGACTGAAATCTCTTCTCTTTCAAAGGTGACTTTAGATTTGGGAAAAGCCAGAAGTCACAGGGCACCAAATCTGAGCTGTAGGGGGCTGAGCCACCTGGGTGATTTCATGTTTTGCCAAAAATCTCTGCATGAGACATGATGCATGAGCAGGCACATTGTTGTGATGAAGCTGCCAATTACCAGTTGCCCATAGCTGCAGCCTTCTGAGTCATCTAATAGTTTCCATGGAGGAATGTTCAAGCTTAATGCACAATTTGATGCAGATTCACTGCTATATTGCTTGGTCATTTTGAATGTGATAGCCACACAGTACACACACTCACTCAATGGTGTCTACCGCCCCCACTGACTAGTACAGTGAAGTCATCATTGTTCACGCATGTGCATTCTAGTCCACTCTCCTTGGTTGCTAGGTTACACTGATGTTGGGCAAACTGTTCTCATTATATTAACAATGGCTGGACTTTTTTCCAGACAGATCTCGTATATTTGATAAGGGTCTAGTATTTAGAATATATAACAAACTACTACAATTCAACAATAAAAAGGGAAACACCCCACTTTTTTAATGGGCAAAGGACTTAAATAGACATTTCTCCAAAGAAGATATACCATGGCAAGAATGTGAAGAAAAGGGAATCCTTGTGTACTGTTGGTGGGAAGGCAGATTGGTACAGACACTATAGAAAAGAGTATGGAGTTTCCTAAAAAAATTAAAAGTCTGCCTTATAATCCAGCAATTCCACTTCTAGGGATTTATCCAAAGAAACCCAAACACTAATTCAAAAAAATATACGCATCCCTATGTTCATTGCAGCATTATTTACAATAGCTAAGATAGGGAAGCATCCCAAGTGCCCATCAATAGACAAGTGGATAAAAAAATCTGTGGTACAGCCCCTGCTGCTGTTGGCTCAGCGGATTGAGTGCCAGCCTGCAAGCCAAAGGGTCATGGGTTCGATTCCCGGTTAGGGCACATGCCTGAGTTGCAGGCCAGGTCCCCAGTTGAGGGCATGTGAGAGGGAACTGATTGATGTATCCCTCGCACATTGCTGTTTCTCTCCCTCTTTTTCTCCCTCCCTTCCCCTCTCTCTAAAAATAAATAAATAAAACCTTTAAAAAATTTTTAAAGTTGTAGTACATATAATATATACAATGGAATATTATCCGGCCATAAAAAAAGAATGAAATCTTATTTGTGACAGCATGAATAGACCTAGAGGGTATTATGCTTAGTGAAATAAGTCAGTCAGACAGAGAAAGACAAATAACATATGATTTGACTTAAATGTGGAATCTAAAGAACAAAATAAATGAACAAGCAAAACTAAAACAGATGCATAGGGAGGGAGGTCGGGGAACCAGGTAACAGTGGTGAAAGCATTAAGAAGTACAAATTGGTAGTTAGAAAATAGTTATAGGGATGTAAGTAAAGCATAGGAAATATAGTCAATAATATTACGATAACTATGTTCGGTGCCAGTTGGAGTACTAGAAATATTGAGAACATTATGTAAACATATGATGGTCTAACTACTAAGCTGAACACCTGAAACCAATGCAAAATAAAATTGAAAGAAAAAATGACCAATAAGCACATGGTTAGAGGCTCAACATCATTAGTCACTAAGGAAATACAAATCAAAACCACCACCTCAAACTCACTATGATGACTATAATCAAAATGAGGACATAAGTGTTAGTGAGGATGTGGAAAAACTGGAACCCTCAGACATTGCTAGTGAGGATGCGGAACGGTGCAGCTTCTTTGAAAAAGAGTTTGGCAGTTCCTCAAAAAGTTAAACATAGAGTTATTATATGACCCAGCAATTCCACTTCTACGTCTATACCCAAGAGAATTGAAAACATAATGTTCACACAAAAATTTCTACACAAAAATGTTCATAGCAGCAATATTCATAACCACCAAAAAGTAGAAACAACTCCAATGTCCGTCACTGATGAATGGATAAACACAATGAGGTACATGCATACAATGGAATATTATTCAGCCATACAAAGAAGTACTAAGCCCTGGCCAAGTGGCTCAGTTGGTTCAAACATCGTCCCAAAAGGTTGCAGGTTCAATCCCAGGTCAGAGCACATATCAAGGTTGCAGGTTTGATTCTTGGTTGGGGTATGAACAGGAGGCAACTGATCCATGTCACATCAACATTTCTTTTTCTCTCTCTCCCTTCCCCTCTCTCTAAAATCAATAAACGTATCCTCAGATGAAGAGGAAAAAAAAATAAGTACTGATACATACTACAATATGGATAAACCTTGAAAACACTATAATGAATGAAAAAATCCAGACCAAAACAAAGGCTACATATTGAACAATTCCATTTATACGAAATGTCTAGAATAGGCAAATCCAGAGAGAGGAAATAAATTAGTAGCTGCCAGGGGCTGGGAAGAAAGGGAGATGAAAAGAGAATGCTTAAAATGTATGGGGCCTCATTTGGGATGGATGAAAATATTCTAGAATGTGTCAGTGGTGATGGTTACACAACCTTCTGAATATACAACACTAAAAACCACTGAAAGGTGGATTTTATGGTATGCGAATTATAGCTCGACTCTTTTTTTTAAGTTAGTCTTGACACTGTAGGGGAGGGAAAAGTTTTCCTAGGCTCTCTTAGGGTCCTTAACTGGGTCTGAAAATTAAACTAACAAAGACAGAAAAGAATACAAATTTATTTAATGTTTACATGATATGAAGGCCTTCTTCATAAGGAAATGAGGACCTAAAGAAACCAGGAAACCAGCGTACTTTTATGCTGGGTTTGATGAAGAGAGGACAGTCCTGGAGGAACGAGACAGTTAAGGAGTATAAGGTAAATGAGGTAAACTAGGAGTGGCTGAGTAAGGCCTGTGTGTTAGGATTCTTCTTGGCAGCCCTTTGTCTTCAGAGATAAGGATGCTCCTTTCCTCCAGGTGTAGGGAGGGTACCTCCCACAGGAAGATTTTATGGACGGTGTCAGGAAAAAAGGGCAAAGTGGGAGAGGTCCCAGTGACCTTCCTGCTTCTGCTATTTTCTCAAATTCCCTCAGTTTAAAATATTCAATATGCCAAGGTACTGTATTTTAGGATAGTATGTCCTGCACCCTCGTCCACCAATTTCTTACGAGGAT